TTTTCCAATCTTCTTCCACCGACTCTTCTCCCAGGTCTCAGATTCTGCCAGTCATTTCCGCCAGTTCCATGTAGTCCATCAGCTTCATCTGCCATTCTTCCCTGGTAGGTAGGTCTTGTGTCTTCCAATGCTTTGCAATGAGTATTCTTGCCGCTGTTGTAGCATACATGAAGAAAACTCTGTCCTTCTTTGGCACCAATCGGCCCACCATGCCCAGGAGAAAGGCCTCTGGTTTCTTTAAGAAGGTATATTTAAATACCTTTTTCACTTCATTATAAATCATCTCCCAGAATGCCTTAATCTTTGGGCATGTCCACCAAAGGTGAAAGAAAGTACCTTCAGTTTCATTGCATTTCCAACATTTATTATCGGGCAAATGATAAATTTTTGCAAGCTTGACTGGTGTTATGTACCACCTGTAAATCATTTTCATTAAATTCTCTTTTAAGGCATTGCATGCCGTAAACTTCATACCAGTGGTCCATAACTGTTCCCAGTCAGCCATCATAATATTATGTCCAACATCCTGTGCCCATTTAATCATAGCAGATTTCACCATTTCATCCTGAGTATTCCATTTCAATAGCAAGTTATACATTCTTGACAAATTCTTAACTTTAGGGTCTAACAATTCTGTTTCCAGTTTTGAAATTATTTATACTTTTCAGGTTTATACATTTATACATTTATTACAATTTTCAATCATTTTAACATTTCAAAACTTGACTTCCTTCCCCCTCATTCTGTGCTTCCTTAAAATTTATTTTTAATAACTTCTGCATATCCAAATTAACTTAATTTGTTCATTTATTCATCTACTTTAAATATATACTCTGATCAAACTGCAGGTTATTACAATAATCCTACCAATGTTTTTATCTGTTTACAATTTACTTGTATATATTCCATAAACCATTTCCATTCTTTTATAAAAAGTTTGTTATCTTGATTTCTTCTTCTTCCGGTAAGTTTCACCATTTCTGCAGATTCCATAAGTTTTTGTATTCATTCTCATTGGTGGAGGAACGGGGGGGGGGGGGCAGGCAGGGGGAGTGCTTGCAGCTTCACCACTTTCCATTCTTCCTTTGCCGGGACTTTTGCTTCTTTCCATTTTTGGGCAAGTGGCATTCTTGCTGCTGTAGTCGTGTAAATGAATAAGTTCCTATACAGTTTTGGTAGTTCTGTCCCCATAATTCCCAAAAGAAAAGCTTCTGGGTTTTCTTTACAAACATTATTTTAAACATCCTTTTCAATTCATTATACAGTGGTACCTCCACTTAAGAACAGTCCAGTTTAAGTACGATTCGGTTTACAAACTCCGCAAAACCAGAAATAGTGTCCCGGTTTGAGAACTTTACCTCGATCTAGGAACGGAATCTGAACGGTGGAAGGGCACCGACGGCAGGAGGCCTCATTAGGGAAAGCACACCTTGGTTTAAGAACGGTTTCGGTTTAAGAACGGACTTCCGGAATGGATTAAGTTCGTAAACCGAGGTAACACTGTATATCATTTCCCAGTAAGCTTTAACCTTACTACAAGACGCCACATACGATAAAAAGAACCTTCTTTCTCTTTACATTTCCAACACTGATTTGATTTCGATTTATACATTTATGTCAATTTACTCGGTGTTAGATACCATCGATTTATCATTTTCATATAATTTTCTCTTAGACCATAAGATGCTGTAAATTTTATATCCCTATTCCACCATCGTTCCTATGCTTCCATGCCTCTATTATGCCAAATATCTATTGCCCAATGTATCATTGGGGATTTTACTTACTAATCTTTTGTCTCCCATTCCAATAATATTTTATACATTTCAGATAGCACTTTTACATTATATTCCAACAGTTCTCTCTCCAGTTGTGATATAATAATAAGCTATAGGTCTGTGATGCTTCAGTTCCCAGGATGTGTGTGTGTGTGTGTTAAAAATCTATGGTGTGCATGCAGCCATTTTGATGCCTGGTGCAAAGGAACAGGATTGTACAAAAGCCTTCCATGTTGTTGTTTAGTCGTGTCCGACTCTTTGTGACCCCATGGACCAGAGCACACCAGACCCTCCTGTCTTCCACTGCCTACCGCAGTTTGGTCAAACTCATGCTGGTAGCTTCGAGAACAGTGTCCAACCATCTCATCCTCTGTCGTCCCCTTCTCCTTGTGCCCTCCATCTTTCCCAACATCAGGGTCTTTTCCAGGGAGCCTTCTCTTCTCATGAGGTGGCCAAAGTATTGGAGCCTCAGCTTCAGGATCTGTCCTTCCAGTGAGCACTCAGGGCTGATTTCCTTCAGAATGGAGAGGTCTGATCCTCTTGCATAAACAGTGTGTAAACAGCCGAGGCTTTGGGTCAGCTTCTGCCAAATGGGCTGCTGTAGTCCTCAAGATTCCATAGGATTCTTTCTTTTCTTTTCCCCTCCTTCTTGGGGGAAATGTAGCTCTACGAGTTGCAAACTACAGTTCCCAGGATTATTTGCCAAGGAGTGTGGTGGAGTCTCCTTCTTTGGAGGTCTTTAAGCAGAGGCTTGACAACCATATGTCAGGAGTGCTCTGATGGTGTTTCCTGCTTGGCAGGGGGTTGGACTCGATGGCGCTTGTGGTCTCTTCCAACTCTATGATTCTATGATTTGGGCATGTGTGTTTGCTTTAATAATAATAATAATAATAATAATAATAATAATAATTTATTATTTGTACCCCGCCCATCTGGCTGGGTTTCCCCAGCCACTCTGGGCGGCTTCTACAAAGACCAAAAATACACTAATGTCATACATTAAAAACTTCCCTGAACAGGGCTGCCTTAAGACGTCTTCTGAATGTCAGGTAGTTATTTATGCTTTGACGTCTGATGGGAGGGAGTTCCACAGGGCAGGTGCCACTACCAAGAAGGCCCTCTGCTTGGTTCCCTGTAGCTTTGCTTCTCGCAATGAGGGAACCGCCAGAAGGCCCTCGGCGCTGGACCTCAATGTCCAGGCAAAACGATGGGTGTGGAGACGCTCCTTCAGGTATACTGGGCCGAGGCCGTTTAGGGCTTTGAAGGTCAGCACCAACACTTTGAATTGTGCTCGGAAACGTACTGGGAGCCAATGTAGGTCTTTCAAGACCGGTGTTATGTGGTCTCGGTGGCTGCCCCCAGTCACCAGTCTAGCTGCCCATTCTGGATTAGTTGTAGTTTCCAGGTCACCTTCAAAGGCAGCCCCACGTAGAGCGCATTGCAGTAGTCCAAGCGGGAGATAACTAGAGCATGCACCACTCTGGTGCGACAGTCTCAGCCTGCGTACCAGATGGAGCTGGTAAACAGCTGCCCTGGACACAGAATTGACCTGCACCTCCATGAACAGCTGTGAGTCCAAAATGACTCCCAGGCTGCGCACCGGGTCCTTCAGGGGCACAGTTACCCCATTCAGGACCAGGGAGTCCCCCACACCCGCCCGCCCCCTGTCCCCCCAAAACAGTACTTCTGTCTTGTCAGGATTCAACCTCAATCCATTAGCCACCATCCATCCTCCAACAGCCTCCAGGCACTCACACAGGACCTTCACCGCCTTTACTGGTTCTGATTTAAAGGAGAGGTAGAGCTGGGTATCATCTGCATACTGATGAACACCCAGCCCAAAGCCCCTGATGATCTCTCCCAGCGGCTTCATATAGATGTTAAAAAGCATGGGGGAGAGGACGGAACCCTGAGGCACCCCACAAGTGAGGGCCCAGGGGTCTGAACACTCATCCCCCACCACCACTTTCTGAACACGGCCCAGGAGGAAGGAGCGGAACCAATGTATAACAGTGCCCCCTGGTAGAGGGCCAATGTTTGGAGCTGCCGCCTTCTTCCAACCGTGCCGCTAGTCCTTAAGATTCTGCAAGATCTTCATCTTCCTTTCTTTCCGGGGAGGATGGAGCCTCTAGGACCCGGGACTTGGAGGCAGGAGAGAGGGTGGGGTCTGGAGAAGGAATAGACGCGAGTGTGAGCCCGGGGAGGGGAGGGAGCTGGGCTGGGAGCCAAATCCAGCTGCCTGCCTTTTTTTTTTCTTCCTCCTTCGCCCTTTCCCCCCCTCCTTTCTCTGCCTTTTTCTAAAGGTCTCTCTTTCTCGCTCTGCACGTTTTGGTGGCAAAGAAAAGGAGGAAGGAGCCGATTGCAAAAGGAGGAGAGCAGAAAAGAAAGAAGAGAAAGGAAAGGACGGGCGAGAGAAAGAAAGAAAGAAAGGAGGAGATTCTCCCGGCAGCCGCGGGAGGGAGGAGAGGAAAGAGAGAAAGAGAGAGAAAGAAAGAAAGAAAGAGTGGCAAAAGCTGAAAGGAGAAGAAGTGGCACATCCGGCATACCGGAGCCGGAGAGGGGGCGGGAAGCGCGACTTTTGCAGGGAGAAAGAAGGGAAGAGGACAAAATGGGAGAGGGAGGAGGAGGCGAGGGCGCCGCTCGCTCTCCAACAGATGGGAGCGAGAAGAAGTAATCCCTTCGCCCAAACTGGGAGGCGGGGAAAGAGAAAGGAGAGACGCGCGAGGAGAGAAGGAAAGAAGGAAAAGAAAGAAAGGAGGAGACAATGATGGAGAAGCCGCTTTGAAGTCCTCGAGGAGCCTCCGCTCTGCTTCCACCTCCTGCCCTCTTTCTGCTTTTCTTCTCCAACTCTCATTCATTCCTTTCTTTCCCCACGACCTCCTTTCCCCGGGTCGCTTTGCGCACCAGGATTGCGCACCAGGATCGCCTGTTTCCCTCCTTTCCACCTGATCCCTGCTTTCTCCTCCTCGTCCCCTTCTTTTCCTCTTCGTCGCCTACTTTCTGCCTCCCAGCCAGCTGTAATTTTCCTTTTCTCGACTGGCCTCCTTTCTCTCCCCTCACCCAGTTTCCATCCAGCAACTTGGTTTCTGACTTGGGACGCTCCCTGGGCCGGATAAATTGCTACCTTGCAAGGAAGGAGCAGGTCGGACCCTTCTATTATTGGCTTGAGTGGGAGCCAGGATCCCAGCCGAAGGGGGGAAAAAGGCCAAAACCCTAAATTTGTGGGTGTGGGTATCTGCTTTTCCTTGGAAGAGAGTTCCCCCATAATTAACCCTGCAGCAAACCCAAGCTGCTTGCCTCAGCATAAAATCGATTTGTGTAGGAAAGACCCAATATTTTTTTTCCCCCAAAAAAAAGAAAGGAAAAAAGATGGACCTGCGACCTTTCGAGAGAACTGGTCTCCCTCCAAAATGCAGAGCATCTGGAAAGCAAACCGCCAATCCCTCATTTTAAACCCACAGAAGAGGGAAAACATAACTTGGGAGTCTTGAGAGAGAAAATTGCTACTTTAGGTTAATATGGAAAGCTGGGGTCTAGTTTATCCAAGCTGACTGTTTGGACTTTGCTTATGGCAAATGACAGAGAGGAGTACGGTTGGTTTGGATCAGCTGCTTTTTCTTCTGGATTGTGCAGTCTTTTTCTGGATGCTGAAGATTAATTCAACTTCTAAAGTCCACCTCTGTCCACTTGGGTTGGGGTTGCAGCACGTATACATTTTCTGGATGTTGGACTCTGTCATTTGTCAACACTGATTCTGGATTGAATATTTGTGCTAACAAGTTATTTTTCTAGATTTTGGCAGCCCTCCAAATTACTTTTTTTGTTGTTGGAAAAACACTGCTTTTTCTGGATTATAAAGGGTGTGGAAACAACATCATGTGGAATTCCTCAAAATTTACAAATGATTTTGGGGGTTTTCTGAAGAGCCTCAAGTTTCCCATGCTTTGAAAAAGTTAAAATTATGATGTGCCATCTCCCCCATCACCACATCTCCCCTGTAGTTTGAGGGAGAAAACATAGGTCTTTCTTAGGCAATGAGCTTAAATTAATGTGCATCGTGATTTTTGAAATTTGATTTTTGTCAGTATTAGCATTTTCAAGCTTCACGTCTCCTGAAGATTTGGAGCTTTCTGCAAAGCAGACTGGATTTGTACACAGACGTTTTTATTATTATTATTTGGGAGGAAAACTGGATCAAACCTCAGGATTTAATGAAGAATTTAGTGTCCTGGGGCCTGGAGAAAGTCTGCAAAACATCTGGAAATTTCAAGACGTGGTAAATACTGCCTGCATTCTCAGGAAAAAAACTGACCTGCTGGATGTGTGTGTGTGCTTTTTTAATCTATTTCGGATATGGTATTTTGGATAAGTAGGAAAGTTTGTTAGCATCTGTGGATCTACAGACTCTGCTGGCAAGCCTTTTGGCTTGAAAGGAATAGCTCAGGCTTTCTGGATTTCATGACGATGCAAAAATCCCTGGTCGTTCTTCTGAGCGTGCCAGGTTTTTTTTAAACAAGGACCTTTGGAGAGAAGTACAGTATTGCAAATGCCTCTGTTTTGGGTTGCAATTCCACTCTGTGGTTGCAACACAAGCCCATGTTCCAACTTGTTACTCTTTCGCCTCGCCTGCCTCATCAATCCATGCAGCCTGCACGGCCTGGAAGCAGCCAGGCCTACTCAGATGGTTTTTCTGGGAAGCTTTTGCTGACCAAGAGATTTGGGAAGGCTTACAAAAACTTCTGGGGTGTGGGGCAAAGAGAATTGCAAATTGAAAGTGGCTGGACTTCTGAGAAACCAGACTCTAGCAATCAAAAGAGTTCGGTTGGAAATTACCTTTCCCTCCCACTTTGCGTTGGGATAGTGTTTTGCAACAAATTTGCCAACTTCTGTTGTTTTTGTTTTTTTTAAGAAACTCTTGTTTTGAATCTGTTCTTGCTTCTTCCATCCCCAAAGCATTGGATATATATTTTTCAAGGATATAAGAAACCAGTGTTGAATTTCTCAGGAATCTCTTCTTCGTTTCGGAACAACCGAGTGCATGGACAAATAATGCACCTAGAGGCAGGGATATTGTTTTCAGAAGCCGGGGGAACAGAGGCGTAATCTTCGTTCACAATCTCCTGGGTCTGTGGTTGTTCCTTTTCCACTTCTCGGTGTTCCACACCCTGCCTTTTGCGAAGCAACATGTCTGTAAGTATGCTCAGCTAGGAAAGAGAGCCAGATATTTAGCTAGCCCTGAGAGCAAAGTCTAGAGTTGAATCAGGAATCGAGAGCTCTTTTAACCTTGGACAAAAGATTTGTTTCGGGGTCACTGGGCCACAGCATGTTCCAGGTGTACAAACAGTGAAGACTAAGGGGAAAAGTACATAGCTGTAAAAAAACCTCTCCTGGGAACGTTTGCCAATGGAAAACCATTTTTAATTTCCCTCACAATTCCCTGCAGATGTTTAATCTGTGGGGGGGGGTCCCAAATTCACCTGAGATTTTGCTTCAGGTGAAATTGGATGGCGTTGCTCAGCTCGTTTGGTTGAAGGGGGGTTGTGGCTTTCACTGGGCCTTGGCCCCAGCACCTGTTTGAATGCTGAAGCTCAGAATAGCCAAGTGTCGCCAACTATATTCAGTAGGTCTTTGCTTAATAACGTGATTTAATACATTCGGGGGCAGAGGATCTGGCTGCTTTTGTAGGTTTGAGCCCCCGGGTCTTTCAACTTTCTCAAATCAAGGCACGTCTCAATTTATTTTATCTTACTTTCTGCAGCTTTACCAAAGAGAGAGAGAGAGAAGGACAGGGATCCCTCAGCAGGGACTCTCCCCCTATAGAGAAACACATGTTAACTTCTTGAACGTTGCCCTCATTTCAGAGCAGTCATGCACCCAACTCCCTAATGAGATCATCCCTGGCAAAGCATTATCTGTCAGCACCCAAATTGGCTCTTTCCCTCCCCCCACCCACCCCTTGATTGCCAGATACTCTGAATTTCTCCTCCAATACTGGAATAACAAGGAACATATCCTATTAGTGGCCAAGATCTGCATTATATTTTAATCTGATTATTTTTATTGTCGTAGGCCACTTTCGGAACTGGTTTGACTGGAAAGCAAGTTAGCAGTAGCGACAGGGATCTGGCGCCCTAAGGGCTATTTTATCTGCCACCGCCACGCCCCCCCCCCGAAACTCTTCCTAAATTTTAATCAAGGGATCAGCAACACAATAAAATGCCCCCTTTTTTGCACATAATGTAAAGGTCACTGCTAACCCTACACAGAGCTGACCCATTGAAATGAATGGACCTAAGTTAGTCATAGTGATTAACTTCAGTGGGTCTTCTTTTGAGCATTGGATACAACCCATTGCTTTTCAAAGCTGTGGGAGTGAGGGATTTCCAGATGAGTCAGTCATTTCAGCAAAAAACAAACCCAAAGTCTCGAAGATTTCACCGATTCAATGTCACATCTATCCTTTGGGATTTGAATGTTCACATTTGCAAGTCATTCGGAGTGTGAATATGCACGTTCCGTAGCATCTCTTACTAATGTGCTCTGACTGATAGATGAGGCAACTTTACTGTGGAGCCTGGCTGCCAATTTGTGTTGCGAAATGCAACTGCCATCTGGAAAATGGGTATATATATATCTCTGAGCAGTGCAGTCGTACCTTGGTAGTCGAACGGAACCCGTTCCGGAAGTCCATTCAACTTACAAAATGTTCGAAAATCAAAGCACGGCGTCTGATTGGCCGCAGGAACCTCCTGTGGCCAATTGGAAGCCACACTGGCTGTTTGGCTTCCGAAAATCATTTGAAAACCGGAACACTCACTTCCGGGTTTCGATCGTTCAGGAGCCGATTTGTTCGGGAGCCGAGGTGTTCAAGACCCAAGGTACGACTGGATAAAATCCCCCTCTTAGGAAGGCATCTGTTGAGCAATTCCACCCCAGGAAGCGGGTAATATTAAAAAGGGAAGGCAGATGCATGCATCCAAAAAAAAATAAAAAAAATCATGATACAGCCTTCCTTGGACTATACCACTTCAGAATATTGGGGTGGGAGTGGAGTTTGAATCCTACTCTGCAACTCTCTGCTGTTTAAAGTGGCAGAGCCCCGCTTCCAAAAGGCAGAGAGGGTTGTACCTGTTTTGTGTGTCTGTTTGTGTCTCTTTGTGTCTGCATGCACTTCCGCTTAGCCGGTAGCCCCGTCCAGGAGTCCCTGCCACATTTGGACTTTTGCCAGCCTGTGCTGGTGGCCGTGAATTATAAGCTACGACTTGGGAGAAACAGATGGCAGCCTGGGATTTAGGGGGATTTGGGTGTCGAAAGCGAGAGTGTTGGAGAGAATGCTTTGCTCCGCACCAGATAGGGGTCTCGCCCTGAGCTCATTTATCGCTTCCTGGGTTGCATCTAACTAACTGGGTTACCGGCATCTGGGCCCGTCGCTATCCAGGGTTAACGCAACAGTGTGAACATCTGCATTTGGAGCAGCTTTGTCTGGGAAACACCCTGGATCGAGGGACAACCCTTGTGATATATATATATCCCATGTGGGGAACGGGTGGGTTCTCCAGCTCCTAGCCAAGGAGTATAGAACCACAAAATATAGAATCACTATAGAGTTGGAAGGGACCCCGAGGGTCATCCAGTCCAACCCCCTGCAATGCAGAAATCTTTCGCCCAACATGGGGCTCTGCCGGCACGACAAAGAGCCAGGGATGATGGGGGTTGCGGTCTATAAGGACGCAGACATTGCACCATTGCAGATTGCAAAGGCAGCGCAGCTGGTGTCCTCTTTTGGGGGAACGATCTGTCTCCAGGCAGGTGAATCCCGAGTCATTTTTAGGGTTGTGCGGAGTCTGGAAGTGGGGGTACAGAATCTTTGTGTCGCTGTTGATCCGTAGGTGAAGTTTCGAGCGCCTGTCTTGGACACAGGCTTGTACGCTAAGGGTTTGTTTCCTGCTGAGTCTCGCTGTGTCTGAGCATCACCCCAAAAGGACAGCATGTGCCCATCTGGCTGTGTGGTGGCCTGTCCTTACGGCTGCGTGTTACGTCCTTAAAACTACCACCACGCAGGCAAGTCTGGGCGTTCGCCTCTCTTGGGTACGCTCAAGTGCCTGGGGCCAAATCAAGAACTGACCCACCCTCCCGAAGGCATCTCTCTGGCGCTGATCAAACTTTATGGCGCTTAAGCAAGCCAGGTCTTTTGTTTGAGGCAGCCGACCCCTTTCCACCTTTCTATTGACAGTGAAGCTGCCTTATCAAAGGCCTTGGAGCTAAATGAAACCTCCCTGCGTCAGGGCAGACAGGGACAAACAGTGTGGAAGGGGGTGGGTGATCTTTGTGCCTTCCTCATGTGCTTCCTGGTAGCATCTGATGGTGGTTGTGAAATGCAGGGTGTTCCTGAAAGCTGGGGTCCTGGCTGCCATTGGGACTACAACTCCCATCATCCCTAGCTAGCAGGACCAGTGGACAGGGATGATGGGAGTTGTAGTCCAACAGCAGCATGGGACCCAAGTTTGAGAAAAACACTGGCTAGGCAGACCCTCAAGAACCTCTCAGGTTCTCTCTGTGTGTGAGATTTGCACATCCCTGGGAGAAGACTGCAGTCTGTACTGGGATATCATTTCATGTTTTTGTTTCTTTAAATTTATACGCTGCTTGATTGGGAAGGGGTGGACTTCAAAGCGGTTTGCGAAAAGAGCGAAGAGCGGCGATTCGAAAAATAATTAAAACCAACAGCAAGCTAAAAGCATATCAAAGCACACGCCGGCAGTCCACATATTTGGGTAGGCTCGCCTAGACGGAAATGTTTTCAGCAGGCACCCAAAATTGTGCAGCGAAAGCGCCTTCCTGCTGTCAAGAGGCAGGGAGTTCCAAAGTCCAGGCACTGCCACACAAACGGAACAAGGATTCAATGCAGAGCAAGTATTAGGGGACATCCAGAGCAAGTTGGGCAGATTGAAGCAGTCAAGTTGGCATATGTGGAGTTTTGTGAAGAAGATACACCTCAGCTAGCAGAGCAGGAGACTCTTCTTAACCTCAGGGTTGTGGGTTCGAGCTCCACATTGGGCAAAAGATTCCTACACTGCAGGGGGTGCATAGCTGTCAACCATCCCTTATTTGGCAGGAAAGTCCCTTATCCCAGCGCCGTGTCCCGCTGCTGTCCCTTATTGATGATGTCCCTTAAATTTCCCGGGTTTCAAAGGAAGCAGCTCCTCTCCCTCCCTCCCTCCCTGCCAGCCAGGGAGGAGGGAGGCTCCCACTGGGTTGCTTGGCTGCATTGCTCACCCAATAAGGAGCCTCAGAACGACTGGGGGGTGGAGCTTGCATGCCTTGTGCCGATCAAATCGGCCGCATTGCCTGGGGACTCGCCTTTGCTCAGCGCTTCCCAGCGGAGAGGTGACGGTTTTCAAATCTGTAAGTTGACAGCTATGAGGGGGTGGGACTAGATGACCCTCGTGGTCCCTTCCAGCTCTGTGATTCTGTGAGCTCATATAGAGATGTAGTGACTTCATCAGCATTTTGAGGGATGCCTGACCTGCCCTCTGCTTCCGCCAGGCCCAGCTCTGCCGCGCCCTGTACGACAACGCCGCCGAGTGCCCGGATGAGCTCTCCTTCCGCAAAGGCGACTTGATGGTCCTGCTGCAGCCCGAAGCCCCGGGCCTGGAGGGCTGGCACCTCTGCTCCTTGCACGGGCAGCAGGGGATTGTGCCAGCCAACCGGGTCAGAGTCCTCCCCGAGCCAGGGTCTCCAGGGCCCACCCCTCGCCGGAACCACGTCCCAGCAGACGTCTACCAAGTGCCCAGGAAGGAGGCGGCAGCGGCAGCGGCCGGGACGGCCTACGAAGCGCCCCAAGATGAGCGGAGGAGGAGGGGGCGCAGGAAGGAGGAGCAGGAGGTGAGGAATTTGTTTATTGACTCTCCAGAATTTCAGAGGGGGAATCTCTCCTGGGCCCTGCTTGGAGCTGCTGTCAGAAATCAAACTTGGGACCCTCCGCAATGCAAAGCAGATTGAGCTCTATTTCCTAGAACCCCAAACTACAGCAAACCTTGAGATTTGAGGCCAATATTCCACTAGGTGTAACCCAGGGTGTGGGTGGGTGTGTGCAGCTACTGGTTTCTTAGCTCCACCCCTTCTCTTTTAGCCACGCCCCCTTTAGCGCTGCCACCTCCCCTTGACATTCTTGTCGTTATTAATTAAAATTGTATACTTTACCCATAGATCTCGGGGTGGTGCACAACACAAATATAACAAACACAAAGTACGCAGTGAAAAATAAGAACAATGACGAACCAATAATTCCCCCGTCCACAACACATTTAAAAGGCCGTGGAATATTAAATCAGCCAAAGGCCTGGTTGAAGAGGAACGTTTTTGCCTGGTGCCTAAAGGTGTATAATGAAGGAGCCAGGCAAGCCTCCCTGGGGAGATTGTCTCACAAATGGGGAGCCACCGCAGAAAAGGCCCTGTTCTCATGTTGCCGCCCTCCGGACCTCTCTGGAGTAAATTTATTTAAAGCAGCCTTCCCCCACCAGATGTTTTGGCCCTCAACATGGCTGAGGCCAGTGGGAGTTGTTTTCCCTTTTTTTAAAAAAAACGATATTTATTGATTTTCCATTTTATAACATATAAATACAATCTTTGTTTTTTCACATAAGTTCAAACACATTTGAGCTCATCGACTTCCCCCCTTCCCACCTCATGGTTTCTTTATTTCTTTGCTGTATCGTCACATTTGTAATTTCCCCGTTTTTACCTTACATTATTCCCTTGTCCTATTTAATTTTTCTGTAAAAAGGTAGAATTTTCAGCCTTATAAGCCTTTGTAAGTCATTCCTGCCAGTGTTGTTTTCCAAAACACCTGGAGGGCACCAGGTTGGCGAAGGTTGCTCTTAAGGTATTCCTCTGGGACTACGGCCAAATCTCACGGCTTGTACTGGCTGGCTTTTGTTACTGCAAAACAATCCCAACCATGAACCTCAGGATGAAGTCCTGGTTTGATTTCTCTCTCTTCCTCCTCCACCCCCAGGTTTATGAGGTGCCACCACCCGCCAGACCCTGCCCTCTGCCCCCCGAGGGGATCTATAGGGTGCCTCGCAGCACCAGACGAGACGGGGACCCTGCTGAGGTTAGTGCTTACACTCACCGGGAGAATTGCACGATGAAATCCGAGCGGCTGGCTACATTATTGTTGACCGCGATGGCGTACTGTGTTTAGTTAATTAACACGTTTTTTAAAATCACAATCCCTTCAAGGAGATCGGAGATATGCACACGGTTCATCCCTCTCTCTTCCGTCCTCTCAACAACCCTGAGAGGTAGGTCGGGAGAAGGCGTGTGACTGGGAGCTTCATGGATGATTTGGCCTCGGTCCTGTATATCTGAAGGAGCGTCTCCACCCCCATTGTTCTACCCGGACACTGAGGTCCAGCGCCAAGGGCCTTCTGGCGGTTCCCTCACTGTGAGGTTACAGGGAACCAGGCAGAGGGCCTTCTCGGTGGTGGCACCTGCCCTGTGGAACGCCCTCCCACCAGATGTCAAGGAAATAAACAACTATTTTACTTTTAAAAGACAACTGAAGGCGGCCCTGTTTAGGGAAGTTTTTAATGTCTGACGCTGTATTGTTTTTAATATTCGGTTGGAAGCCGCCCAGAGTGGCTGGGGAGACCCAGTCAGATAGGCGAGGTATAAATAATAAATTATTATTATTATTTGAAGCCAGGTCTTCTTGGCTGTCGTCTGACACTTCAATCACAGCGCCACACTTCCTGTAGGATTGGCACAGGGACTGCAGATGGCGGAAGCAGCATTTTTCAGTTGGAAAAAGGGCTTCAGTTTGCTGGGTGCCTGCAGACCAAAGTTTAAGGACCCCTGTTTCCAACTGGAGGCGGGTTGGGGCAGGGAGCCATTGCAAAGCACTAACGATTCCTGTGTTGCCGCGGGTTGGGCTAGATGACCCTCAGGGGTCCCTTCCAACTCAACGACGCTTTTGTATGCAATGTCACAGTAGTAAGGCTCATAAGAGCCTTCCGCTTTGTCGCACTAGCAGTACACTCGTTCGAAAACTAGCCCACTAATCCCTCAGCTCCCAGGGCTTTCCCCCCACCCGGAGTCCTGTTTTAACCTTTTCCCAAGGGTGAAGGCCCTGCCTTGTAGCCCAAGCTGTGGGTGGGAAGATGCATTTGATAACCATGCCATTTAAGACAACTGGGATTCGGCTGCCTGCTGTCGAGCATCCCCCCTCCGTTAGAGAGCTGCCTTTGTGGACAGCTGGACCCGTCTGTTGCTAAAGACAGCTGCGGCCGTGCCGGTCTCCGAGGGTAACTGTATCTCAGCCCAAATGCGGAGACTGCTGTCTCCGGACCAAACCAGTGTCCTTTTCAGCCCCTCAGCTGAGGCAGAGGTTGCCCTAGATGGATGAAAGCTTGGTGGGGAGTGGCAGGTGGGGTTGGTTAGAGAGGGGGCCAGTGGACCTGAAGGGCTGAATGTAAGAGATACACTCTTGAGTTTGGGGGTGCCGAGTGTGTGGGTCTGTGCCAAAGGATAGGGGGCAGCATCATGGGGGAACAGGCCACAGAAATCTGCCATGGGGCTCTTTGGGTTTTGGGGGGGGGGGCGTCTCTTCAAGGCGAATTTGTTTGGGATCGGGAAGCCGGGAACGGCTACTTAAAATGGTAGGAATGTCAGACGCCATCGTATACCAAGTTAAACCATCTAGGTCAGAAGTGTCCCTATTAGGGGTAGGCAACCTGCAGCCCATGGGTCAGTCATGGCCCACCAGGGGTATCGGTTTGGCCCACAAGGCCATATCTTCAAAGCCATGCCCACTTGTCAATCAGTTGGCATCGCTCCAGTGGGCAGGTGACGCTCACTAAGAGGTGGGGTTCAATTCTGTTTTAGCCGGTTCTTTGCAGGGTTTCCCCCCCTCCCGCCCTACCCATCTGACCTGTGCCCCTTGGAGGTTTGCCCATGATGAGATATACCCTCCCCCTACTGTCAAGAGTTTGCCACCCCTGTTGTCAACAATCCAGAAATCCCCTCTCTCCCAAATCTGTTGTTCTCCTCCTTTCTCTCTTGTTTCCTGGAGTTGATTAACACAGTACAGAATTCCTGGGAGGCTACTATTTCAGTCTGATGTTAGGGGGTTGTATATATCCAAGCACTTCCCCATATCTCCAGATAAGACACCTCCTCCTATATACATAGAAACATAAGGCTGTTGTCATGCTAGAGTTTGAATCCAGAGTGACAGCAGAAAGGCAGGCAAACAAGCAAGGAGCGGGGGAGGGGGCAGGTGGCCCAGGCAAGCTGTTTGGCAAACCCCTCTCTGAAGCGCCACCCCCTCTTTAAAAAGGGTTGTGGGGGGTTGGGCAAGCTGTGTGGGGGTAGGCGAGAGGAGGGGTGAAGTGTAAAGGGAGAAAGGGCAGGCTAGGTGTTTGGGAAACAGGGTTGGCAGGTAAGCGGAGTTGGTAAGCGGAGCAAAAAGGGACAGCAAGTGTGTGTGTGTCCCCACAAGTAGGTGAAGCCTTGAACCTTCTCACAAGCAGGCTAGTTTTCAACAGGTGAGGAGATTTTGATGTGAAGAAACACTCAGAGGTGCGACTCCTCATTCCCTCCGTGAAACAGTGCACTCCAAGCAACGTTATAAAAAGTGACGGATATGAACCCAAAGTTTGGCGTTTCCACCCAGCAGCTTAAACCTCGTTCTCTCTCTCCTTCGTCGTCATCATCCCTATTCTGCTGTGCTCCTCAGGTTTATGACGTCCCCTCCTCCCTCATCCGAGACTCTCTGTCCGACACCTACGACTCGCCTTCCCCTTGCCCGAAGAAAGTGGCCCGTGTTGCCCCTCAGCCCTCAGCCCCTCCGCCCTCCGACGACCCCTACGACGTGCCCCTCGCCTTCAAGAAGCCCGCCGGTTCAGAGGAGGACGGAGACGCGGATGACGGGGGCCCAGAGGGGCCCCTCGTCTACGCCACCCCTTCAAACCTGCGTCGCGCCTCAGCCTTGCTGAACTTGTACGAGTCGCCCGAGGAAGTGTTGGCGGGAGGCGGAGAAGAGGAAGAGGACGGGGGCATCTACGACGTCCCTCTGCTGGCGCCCGGCTCCCCGCCCCTCGAGGGGGCGCTGCAGGGACTGAGCTTGCGGGATCCGGGACCCCCTTCGAGACCCCGTTTGCCCTCAGCCGAAAGCCTGTCGCGGCGCCCCCTACCTGCCCTACCCAGCGAGGAACGGCTTTCCGTCGAGCCCCCGCCGCCGTCCCCGAGTATTGTGCGGAAAGGGAGCATCCAGGACCGCCCTCTGCCCCCGCCCCCACCCCGGCTGGGGGGTCTTGGGGCAGGAGAGCAGCTGGAGCAAGTCGCAGATGACGGGCACAACGAATACGAGGGAATCCGCCTGGCGGAGGAATACGACTACGTTCACCTTAAGGTGAGTTCAGCGGTGAACGGCTTGCCGCAATGTGTGTGGGTCAGCCTTTGACCCCAGGGCCAAGGCAGGGTCAGAAACCCCTTCATCGTCACTCTGGGTTTGCATTTGATCCGACAAGGCTCTCACGCGCAAAAATTGTTTGTTTTCCTGCACTGAAATTAATTGTTTTTGTTGGTTTAATTGTATTGCTGTTGTTATTGTTCTTTCAGTGAAGTTCAATAAGTGGCGGTGATTTTCCAGGATAGTGATGGGGAAAGCTAAATCTGCTTAACCGCTGAATGGCAGGCAGAAATCCAACAGGTTTTTCCATCACTGTATCCTCACTCTGAAAATCCCAAGGGATCCTGGGAAATGGGATCAGCGTTCTCTAAACATAGCATCCTCATGAAATGCAATCCCTTGGGTGTCTTGACGGCTGAACCAGATTTTAAAACACCTGAGCCACATTTGCAGTGAAGCTATGCTCAGTTCTGCTTCCATCTCCTAAGAACCATTAAAATTATTATCACCACCACCACGTTTCTGTGGTCTTCACCCAAAATCTGTGGCATAAAAGCTTAGCTGTGTATCATTTACATGGTGTTTTTTAAAAAAAAATTAGAAAGAAAGATTTGTACATTGCTTAATCACAAAGCTCTAATAAATAAAACTACCTGTGAAACACAGCTGAAGAGTACGAAACTGTCACCGAAACAAATATATACAAGATAAGTATCAATAAAACAAATGAAATTGGTAAAACTCTTAAAACAAAGAGAACTACATTATATGTTTGAGGAGGCAGATCTTTGAGCAGAGGGTCTCATTCTGTGTGGATAGCTAGATTGTGTAGCAATTTCGGAGGTCAAATAAAAGACTTTCCCCCCAAAAGGCATGGACCATGGTACATTCCCGCCAAACACGAGACCGTTATGTTTCTCAAGGAGACTGGGAAAGGGGTGGGGGGACAGGGTCAAACCATAATAAGGCATGAAGCAGCAGGAACAGGTTGCAAGGACCTGTGAAGGCTACCTGAATGTACTGGATAAGTGGCTGGTTTCTGTGTTGTGTTACTGATGGCATTTTCTGGATCTTTTGATACAAAATTTGATCTTCTTTGGAGACCAAGCACCTCATCACCTTCTAAGCTTTCTGTTCCACTTCCCTTGCACACATACCTACAATCCTGCCTCTCTCTTTCTTCCCAGGGAGCAGATAAAACCCAGCCCAAAGCTACAACTTCTGAAGGAAGCCTCGGACTCGCCCTTTCTGCAGACACAGCCCAGGCTGAAGAAATGGTACGTCTCGCTTTTTAAAATGTCTTCAGCTTAGGCTGGGGACGGATGCCAGCATCTCCTTATGGAATTTGTCCTCCCTGTGAGGCAGGCCTCTTGGTTTTTTGGGGTTTCCCCCCTGCCAAAGGAGAGCCGAGACCGTGAAGAGACTCTGCCAAGGCCAAGGTGGGGTGGGACCTGGGTGGCGCTGCAGTCTAAACCACTGAGCCTCTTGGGCTTGCCGATCAGAAGGTCGGTGGTTCGAATCCCCGCAACGGGGTGAGCTCCCATTGCTCTGTCCCTGCTCCTGCCAACCTAGCAGTTCGAAAGCACGCCAGTGCAAGTAGATAAATAGGTACCGCTGAGGCGGGAAGGTAAACGGCATTTCCGTGCGCTCTGGTTTCCATCACAGTGTCCCGTTGTGACAAAAGCGATTTAGTCCTGCTGTCTGCATGACCTGGAAAGATGTCTGTGGACAAACGCCAGCTCCCTTGGCCCGAAAGTGAGACGAGCACCGCAACCCCATAGTCGCCTTTGACTGGACTTAACCGTCCAGGGGTCCTTTACCTAGAGGTGGGGTTCTAAGATGGTCTTCCCACAAACCACACTCTTGGTCCAGCAGTGTGCATGACACACATGCACCCTTAAAATATAAGCAGGCAGAGGGGGAAGGTGGCTGCCATCTTGAATTTCCCATAATGCCCTGGGAGGGATGCTACATAACTGCACTTGGTTATGTCTCAAGAGCCAAGGAGACACACATACAACAAGGCGGCTACAGATGAGGCAGTTAGCTCCCACTGAAGCCTTATGTGGACCAGGATTTTGCTAGGCTCTTCCTCCCAGTCAAAAATTTGGTGTCCTCCAGCCAGGAAGGCCCAAAATAAGACACAAGCAAGAAGTGGAGCCTTTTTGACAGCTTGTGGGCCATGTTCCAGGGCCAGAGGCAGCAAGTGGAGGCAGCCACAGACCCTTAATTTCAGCTTAGAAGGCCATATTCCAGCCACACAGAAGCACTTGAGGACAGTGTGGAGCAGGGCTAAGGAGGGGCATGGCCTAGAGAGAGACCTGAGGGCCTGATGTGAGGGCATGGAGGGCCTGAGACTCCTGTCCCCCCCACAAGGAAGAAGCCCGGATCTCATCCTCACTGGGTTCCTCTGACATGTGCAATGTAAGAGATCCTCTGATAGTTCTGGGGCATTATGGGAAATTGGAGCAGCAACGAGGGACAGAGAAGAGCACCAGAGAATTTTGAGGTCCTTGCCCTCAAAACCATCAAATTGCCCCCCTCAAGTCTTCTCTTGTGCCAGTGAGGGAGATTTTCGTTCTGTTGTAAAAAGCATGCCACTTAAATAAGTCTCCCCATGTTTGATCTGCTTGAATTTTCAGAATTGCACACAGACATGTTTCTCTGGCGCCCAATGGGAAAGATTTTCCAGGCAAAGGAATCAGCCAGCCATCTCTCATCTCTGAAAATAATGCACACAAACACACAGCCAGAGTGAACAAAATGGCAGCCGTCTTAATCTTTTTCTCTTCGGTTTATAGGCTCCGCCTTCCCCTGAGGACAGCCAGCTTCTGCAATTCTACACGGGCCAGTGCCAGACGCATTATACCACCCTGCTCTCAGCCATCGAGGCGCTCCTGGCCAGCGCCGGGGCCCACCAGCCCCCGTGGGTCTTCGTGCCCCACGGGAAGTTCGTCATCGTCACGGCGCACAAACTGGTCTTTGTGGGGGACACCGTGTCCCGCCTGGCGTCCTCTGCCACCGTGCGGGCGAGGGTGGGGGCAGCGAGCAGCACCCTCTGCCAGGCCCTGAAGGACGCCGTGCTCTCGGTCAAGGGGGCTGCCTTGCACTACCCCTCGCCGCCCGCCGCCCGGGAGATGCGCGAGTGCGTGGCAGAGCTCTCCCGGCAAGCCTTGGCCTTCACTTCCTTGCTTGGCACCCTGGCGCCATCTTGAATCCCGCGTCAGTGCCGATTCGCCACCAGCAAACTCCTGCCCTGAAGCTGTGAGACACTACGACCCCCTCCTGTGGCAATAACTGCAGCGCTGCTTGGTTTTCTGGAACCGAGCAGGCCCGAACCTGCCCCCCGGATAACTCAGGCCCTCACCTAAAAACAAACGTTTCCCTTGGGTTCCAGCTGCCATCTTGTCAGGGCCTTTTAACCCCCATGGCGTTCAGCGCCTGCAGCCAGAAGCAACGTTTAGTGACCTTCGACCCTCGGGTGCTCAGTTTCGACCCACAGAGGAGACAGCCTTGCTCGACTTCATGACAAGAAATGGTCCTTGTCCGTGCCAGACCTTTGCCTATTTGCTTTCACTCCCTCGCCCTTGCACCGGCCACCAGCCATCTTGGACGGTTTCCTAACCAAAGAACGTTCTGGACCTTCGGCCTTTGACCCAACACTGCGCATCATGACACCCATTTCCCTGCTCCAGTTAGGTTTTGCTAATTCTGACATGGGTTCCTTCCTGAAAACATCGAGGGTTTCTCAGATGCCCCTCGATAAAGATGGTGGCTTGAGGTCGTAAGACCAAAGACACGTCTCCCCGCTGGCTCTTCATAGACTTGACAACAGTTCTTTAAGAGTGCAAAAAAACCCCAAAACCCCTGAATGGGAAAGGAGCTGAAGGGAGACAGAATTGATGGGAAATGACCCTTGTCATCCTGTAACAAAAGATTCTGGAGCAATGGCTGGAGAAAGAGGGGGGATTGGGAGAATGGCCAATATTGCTGCAGCAGAGAGGGTTATGGGAAATTGCCAACAGGGGCAAAAGAAAACAAAATGCAGAGAGGCAGCCAAATGTGAAAAGAAGCAAATGAATCTGGGGCAGGAAGGAGGAAGCTGAGGGTGAACAGGAAACGATAAAAAAAAAGTGGACAACGGGGACGGGTCAGTATGGACACTATTACGATGCACAGTGTGAACTAGCAACACAAATAACTGGTCAGGGGGGTTATTGAGCCACTGCTAGGTCAGCGGAATAGAGCCAGCACCTGGAAGGGGTCAGTAATCTTAATAATAGAAGTCCTTCAGCTTGATCTATGGATTCATTCCTCAGGTTTGTTGTCTTCCTCTGAAAAACCCCCCTCTAGATATTGGATAGCCGCCAGACAATTCTGCAGTTTACAGCATCCGGCCCCACCTGCTCCCTGCGAAGACCCTCATCTCACTTCCTCACCAGGAAACAAGCGGGGTCAAGAATCTCTCTCTCAGGAAATATTTGCCAAGTTATTTTCTAGGTTTGATCATAATAAAAATGGGTGAAAAAACAAACACCCATGTTGTGTTGCTTCCTTCCACATCCTGAGTGGTTTCCCTCTCCTCTCCCCTCAAATCTCCCCCGACAACTTTGGCGTGCTTTGATTCCATTTCTGATTATTGATACACTGATGTTCAGGAAATATAACTTGCGGATTTAAAATATAAGCAACGAAAAAACGATAAAGCAGCTGTTAAAAGCAGACACACCCCCACACAAGAAACAACACAGCGAAACAGCCATAAACTAGGGGGAGACAGCAATCCATTTTCAACGGCAAACTGGGAATGAATTTAAAAGTTTTACACGAAAAGGCTCTGCGAGATCTAGATGTGGTCTAATAAAAGTTGACCACCTGGCAGCCTGGGAGAATGATGTGTGGCTCCAAGGTCATTAAATGCCAGAATGAATTTCAAAGCTGCAAAATTAAAAACTGGGTGGTATTCAACTAAGTTTAATTCAGAGTCTAACTACTGAAATATGACTTAAATTTGGTCTATTCATTTTGACAGGGCTGCTCTGAGTAAAGTTTAGTGGAGTACCACCCTGCAAAATTTTGAAAAACCTCAATTATATTTCTATATCTGCCTCCTGCAATTCCCGTTCTTGACGCGCTTGCCCCAGGTACAGTACATGCTTTAGTCATGGGGTCTAGAAGACTTGTGCCTATAAACAGTTAAGAAGCGAAGGAACGTGAACACTGATCTTGTTTATTAGCCTAGTATGATTGGTGAGGTGCGGAGCCAAGAGTTTGCCCAAGGCCAGCAAGAGGTGAAAACTGCACTGCAAAATTAAGCAAGAGAATCTCTCCGCCCTTTCAATGGAGTTGAATTCACGAGATTTTCAATGTGACGTTGCATTTATTTTTCACCAAATACATTTTAATTAATAATTTCATTTATGTCCCTTTCTCCGAGAAACTTGGAGCAGTGCCCACCCCACAACAACTTTGCAAGGTAGAGTAGGATAAGAAAAGGGCTCAGTTGGTTGAGCATCTGCCTTGCCTGCCTCGGGTTCAATCCCCGGTGTCTCCAATTAGGTTTGAGATCCACTGCCAGCCAGTGTGGACAATTCTGAGTTAGACAGACCCGCAGTGCACCTTCCTGAGAGGTCGCCCTGGGAGCCTTAGTGGCCAAAAAGCCATTTGAACCCAGATATAGCCCAGGACTCTAACCACTGCGCAACACTGCCTTGGCAAGGCCAAACATTTCCAGGAGATCCCTTTGACCCAACCACCTGCGCCGGGTTGGCCAGCGAAACCTGAGCTGAGGTAGACCCCAAAAAGAGATTCTGGAGCAGACGGGTTGCGAATAATCCGGATTCGCTGGTGCGCCAAGAGGCGCGGGGCGCGTGACGCATTTGGAGAGGGAGAGAAGCGCCGGTGGCGGCGGCGGCGCCGCGGATCGCGCTCTCTCGCCCTTGGCCGGTCTCCCTGCCCGGCTGGAGGTTGCGGGGCGGAGCAGGCTGTGCCGGGGGACGCGGCCGTGTGGGGCGGAGGCAGCCTCGCTCCGCCCCGGCCTGCGTCGCCCCCTTGCGCGATCCCAGCCTCCGGAGGCGCACGGAGCCCGATCTCGGGGCGCAGCGTCCCCCTCGGCCGCCTCCGCCGCTCCAGCCCCCTTCTTCGCCCATGGGGACCCTCCCGGAGCGCGGCCACCCGCCCTCGCCCCGCGCCTGGTGGTGAGTCGGGGCACCCGGGGCGCCCGTCCTTTGTCTCCCTTTCTCTCCCTCTTTCCTCTGCGCGCCCCCCTCTCCATCCCTCCTCCGGCCTCATCCATCCATCCATCCGCCCTTCTCTCTTTTCTCCCCCAAGACTTATGCTCCCCCCCCCATGTCCCGCCTCCCTCTCCCTATTCCTATTTTTTCTTTCTCTCCGCCTCCCTGTGACCCGGAATGCGGAAACAGGAGGCCTGCCTCGGCTCTCCACGCCATGGGACCCCCGCTTCCCTCTCCCGGCTCCCTCCATCGCCCACACCCCCTTCTCCCCTTATGGACCCTCCCCACCCTTCAAACACACCCAGTTATTATGAGTTTCCCTCCCTGCAGCGAAAACGGCCCCACCCACCCGATTTTTTGCTTACCTCCAACTCTGACCCCTGTATTTGCATTTCTATCCCCACCTTTTTCTCAAGGGGGTGGGCCTTATGGTGCTCCCCACGCCACCCCACTCCTTTAAAGTAGGTTTGGCTAAGAGGCGGGTGGCTGGGCTCAAGGTCACGCCTTCGTGGCCAGGTGGGGATTCGAACCCAGGTCTCTCACCTGGGTCCTAGTCCGAGGACACTCTAACCACTACGCAAGACCACAGTGCCCGCCCCCCTCCCGCTTCATTCAACCTAGTTCACCCTAGACATCCCAGGGATTGAATTGGGCGCGTTCTGCATTCAAGGCAGATACTTTACCCCTGAGCAAGATAAGTGTGGACCCCTTCTTCTCCTCTGCCCCACAGTCCAGCCCCCTTTTGTATCCTTTCCAGGCCCTCCCTATTCCTGCCACCTGCCCTTCTCCCTCCCTCCCTTCCATTCCTTCTGTTCCCCCTAATTAATTCATCCCACCTTTTACGCTTCTTTTCATTTGGGGAATTGTGGGATGAAACCCGAGCGGCTGGCTGCTTTATTGTTGACCTCAATAGTACTGTATTTAGTTAATTATTACATTTAAGGGGGTCAGAGCTAGGTACGCAATTCATTCCTCTCTCTTCCGTTCTCTCAACAACACTGAGAGGTAGGCTGGGCAGAAAGCATGAGACTTGCCCATGTTCACTCAGGGAACTTCATGGCTGATTCGAACCCAGCTCTTCCTGGCCATAGTCTGACAACTGGGGTCGAAGTTTGGGGACCCCTGTTCTCAACTGGAGGCTCCTTGGTGCAGAGAGACGTTGCTGAGCGTCAACGATTCTTCCATTTTAGGGGGTTAGGCTAGATGACCCCGGAGGGTCCCTTACAACTGGCGATTCTATGATCTGCTCTTTCTCTCACTGCAGACGCTGCCCCATGGATACCAGCCCCCCGACTCCGGACCCCGGGGGCCCGCGGAGGGACTTTGCGGCTTCTGACCAAGGACCCCCGTCTTTTGAGGGGCTTCTGGGGCGGCTGGGAGCTGGGGGGCGAAGGCAGCGCCTCCTCCTGGCCCTGACCTGCCTGCCATGCCTCCTCCTGGGGCTCGGAGCCGGCTCGGACGCCCTCTTCACTCTGACGCCTCCACGCCACTGCCGGGACCCCAACAGCACCCGGTTCCCGGACAACGCAACCTGCTGGGACCCCCACTGCCAGAGCTGGGAATACGGGGGTCTCCCAGCTCTCACCAACAATCCGGTGACCGAGGTGAGAGCCTCAAATCCCCTCTCGACGTTGCCACCCAGGTCCACTTCCTGGCCCCCCACCCTCACCGTACCCAGGAGAGGCAGAAGGGTGCAGTGGTTCTTGTGCTAGACCAAGGAGACCTGAGTTCGAATCCCCAGGAAGTTAACTGAGTGTGCTCTTGGGCCAGGCTGCATTACATGGTGGTTGTGTCTATAAAATGGACGGAGTGGGAATAACCAGTTATGCCTGTTCTTAGCTCTTTAAAGGAGGCAGACACAAACACACACACATATATATAGTGCCAGAAACTTTCTTACAGAACATGTTCCTTCACTCCTACACAAAGCAGTTAATTGGAGCCAGTCCACAAACTGGCTTTCAATGCTGGGCTCAAGCTGAATCACACGATATAATAATAATAATAATAATAATAATAATAATAATAATGGGGAGATTGCATCTGAGGCGTGGCGACAGGAGTGCTCCTGTGCATGTCTGGGGTCTTTTCTCCCTGTTCCTGTGCTGCTGGATAGTCACTGCCAGATCCTGAAACCAGGATCGGGGAACATGGGGGTCACACTTGTAGGTCACACTTGCCCCATCCTCCCTTCCAGCTCTTTGACGTCTGCTGCCGCAAGAATGCATCCATTCAGAGCTAATTTGACCCCGGACTTCTAGGATCTCAAATTTAGATCCTTGTTCATTTGGGGGTTATTGGTAATTTTTCGCAACCTGTTTTTACATGCGAGCCAAAATGCGTTGCAACTCTCTCAACTCAGAGCTGCAAATTTAAGCAAATGAGAGAAGCATTTGGTAAAAATCTATATGGCTGATAAAGATTTTGGCATATTAAATACTGAGAAATGTGCATATAAATGTTAATAAATATATAGGTTCTGATGGCACAAGATTAGACCTTTCCCATCAGCTGATTATAGAAACAAACCACTCACTCTATGGGACAGGGGAAAGCTGGATTTGTTTTTTTGTGGGGGGTCACGGAATCGTAGAGTTCGAAGGGACCCCGAGGGCAATCTAGTCCAACCCCCTGCAGTGGAGGAATCTAACATGGGGCTCGAACCCACAACCCTAAGAGTCTCTTGCTCTACTGGCTGGTGGTCCTTTTTTTTTTTATTTTAGTTACAGTTATGGGCCTCAAAAGCTGGAAGTGACCCAAGCCTCTCTGGACCTCTGAGAGGGGCTGCATCCACCACCCATATTCCTGCCCTCCTATAAACGTCATGTTCTCCATTGTTCCGCTGCTTTTAACCTCTCTTTCTCCTCAGTGGTCCCTGGACTGTTTCCGTGGATGGATTGTTCCCTTGGAGCAACTCTGCTTCCTCCTGGGTTTTGCTGCAGGCGCGCTGCTGCTGGGACACCTGGCAGACAGGTAAGCCAGAGGGTGAGGCAGCGGGCCTGTCGATGGGGCAGTTGGCAGGGGAAGCCATTTGTCGTGAAGACATTTGCTCCCACGAGATCCATAAGGAAAGCCTGCCGGATCGGGCCAGTCGAGCACATCCATTCCAGTTCTATCCTACATGACCTCTCCCTTGTTGGAGGTAGCCTGGCTCTGAGGGCCAGTTTTTGGGAGTCACAAATGCAGAGAGAGCGCTGCTATGCTCAAGTCCTGCTATGAGAACAGGGAAAATAAAGATAGGATACCCTTAATTCAATGGACTGACGATAGGACATCACTGGTACAGTGGTACCTCGCAAAACGAATGCCTCGCAAGACGAAAAACATGCAAGACGAAAGAGTTTTCCGTTTTTTGAGTCGTTCCACAAGACGAATTTCCTATGGGCTTGCTTCGCAAGACGAAACGTCTTGGAGTTCTTGCGAGTTTGTTTCCTTTTTCTTAAAGCCGCTAAGCCGCTAATAGCCGTGCTTCGCAAGACGAAAAAACCGCAAGACGAAGAGACTCGCGGAACGGATTAATTTCGTCTTGCGAGGCACCACTGTAATTTATGAACGCAGCCGCAGACTCCGTATGGATAAATACAATAACATCTGGAATGAGTTTATGCAAAATGTGGTAGGCTTTTCGTATTTACATAAGCACTAGGACAATAACACTATACCAATTTATACAAGAATGTCTGGGAATATCGTATATTGATTATACAATATATTATATATTATATATATATATATTATATATACAGTGGTACCTCAGGTTAAGTACTTAATTCGTTCCGGAGGTCCGTTCTTAACCTGAAACTGTTCTTAACCTGAAGCACCACTTTAGCTAATGGGGCCTCCTGCTGCCGCCGCACGGAGGAGCACAATTTCTATTCTCATCTTGAAGCAAAATTCTTAACCCGAGGTATTATTTCTGGGTTAGCGGAGTCTGTAACCTGAAGCATATGTAACCTTAAAATATCAATTACTTCCCTTCTCCCTTCTCTTTCCATGGTTCATTTTGCAAATCTTAAATTCCTGCGTATTTTACATAATCTAAACCATTCAGTATACCATTATTACATCCATCAAAACTTACTTACACTGTTGAATTTATCTTAACACTGCCAACGTTTTCCAGTGGACACAATTCCCCCCCATATATTCAATTAATATTTTCCAATCTCCTCTAAACTTATGTTCTTCTTGTTCTCTTATTCTGTATGTTAGGTCTGCAAGCTGCACATATTCTGTCAGCTTAAGTTGCCATTCTTCTTTAGTTGGGACCCCCCTCGTTTTCCATTAGGGGGGCTAACAAAACACGGTCCGCAGAAGTGGCATACATAAATAAACTTTTCTCATTTATTTATTGCATATTTTCTCTTTTATGTGTATCTTTGTGGTTGCTGTTTTACGCCCTCTCACTTTTCCTCCCCGCTCCCATCTCTTTATTTCTTTTAACTAAAATCACCTTAATAAATTATAAATATTAAAAAAAAAAAAAATCTGCTTTGGAGCTTCTCCTTGAGATGTCTGGTGAGAAGAGGATGGTGGGCTAGAGATGGAAACCCTTTTTGGCCTGCGATCCAGCAGCCAGCCTCTTCTTAATGGTTGCTGCTGGCATCCTTCTGTCTCAATGGAGTGCGCCTCTGGGCGTGAAGGTCAGACTGCTGCGTTAACAGCCCCAGAGTGACCTTCCCAGGGCCCAGGCCTGAGCAGTGGAAGTCCTGGGCTCCCCAGACGACAAGACCCCCATCTCGGTCTTGCTGGTGTGGCGCAAGGAAAAGCAGAGCAAGACTTTCGGCGCCATCTTGGCTGCAGGAGTTGCCGGAAAGAGGCGTACCAGGTGCCATGAAACCTCCTTAGGGACTCCGCTCAGGATTTCATTTTGCCCCATTTCATTTCACTTCTAATTTATACCCCGCCTTTCTGTATTACAGTGGTACCTCGGGTTACATATGCTTCAGGTTACATACACTTCAGGTTACAGACTCCACTAAGCCAGAAATAGTACCTTGGGTTAAGAACTTTGCTTCAGGATGAGAACAGAAATTGTGCTCTGGCGGCGCGGCAGCAGCAGGAGGCCCCACTAGCTAAAGTGGTGCTTCGGGTTAAGAACAGTTTCATGTTAAGAACAGACCTCCGGAACGAATTAAGTACGTAACCAGAGGTACCACTGTACTCTGCACAAGGCGGTTTGCGAGCTGAAGAAACAACAAAACAAGACAGCAAAAAATCACACCCCTAACAACAATCTGATCTGGTTCATAAAAAGCCGTAATAAAAACATAACTTTAAAATGAATGACTTAAACCAAACAAAGCAATATTCAATAATCCATTCAGGTATAGGAAAAAGTAAAATTAAATATCAGCAAGTAATAATTGAACGGTTTACAATAAAGACCCAGAATACAAAAATTACTAAACTACGATCAATAAAAATAGCGGCAAGTCACAGTGCATGAAATACAGTCGTGCCTTGGATCCTGAATGCCTAGTGAGTCGAACGTTTTGGCTCCCAAATCCTGCAAACTGTTCCAGTTTGCGAACGTTCTTTGGAAGCTGATTGTCTGACGGGGCTTCTGCGGCTTCCGATTGGCTGCAGGAGCTTCTTACAGCCAATCGGAAGCCGCGCTTTGGTTTCCAAACATTTTGGTAGTCAAATGGACTTCTAGAACGGCTTCCGAGGTACGACTGTACCACAAAACATACAAAACCATTTCAAAGGATCAAACTGAGAAACGAGGACACGCAACTTACAATTAAAAAATAAATAAATCCCCGAACCTTGATGAAAATAATTATAAAAAATCCCTGAGCCTGGATTTGCATAGGGTTTACTGCTTCCTCAAGAAAGTCTCAAAGTTGACCTTTTTATCCAGACCTTTGTGGAAGACTCGGAGGAGCTTGGGCTAGGAAGGAGAGAGAGGAGAATCGGCAGAGCAACCTCTCACCTCCTTTGTCTTTTCATCCGCAGCGTGGGGCGTCGCGGGACCCTCCTCCTGGCCCTGGCCCTGGGTTGCCCTGCGGGCTTCTTGGCTGCCTTTGCCGCCTCGCCCTCCGTCTTCATGTTGGGCCGTTGCCTCTGGGGGGCGATGCTGGGGGGCTTGCAGCTCTCCCTCTACCTTAGCCGTGAGTATCCTCGCCTACGTTGCGCAAGCGAATCCATCGGTTGGGAGGGTTCCTCCATTGCAGGCCTCAGCGTAGGAAACACAAGACGCTGCCTTCATTCAATAGTTTTAATTGGGGTTTGAATGAAGGTGCAATGGATTGTTGGGATGCGGGTGACACTGTGGTCTAAACCACTGAGCCTCTTCGAATCCCCGCGACGGAGTGAGCTCTCGTTACTCTGCCCCAGCTCCTGCCAACCTAGCAGTTCGAAAGCACACCAGTGCAAGTAGATAATTAGGTACCACTGCGGCAGGAAGGTAAATGGCGTTTCTGTGTGCTCTGGTTTTCATCACGGTCCTCCATGTGCCAGTAGTAGTTAGTCCTGCTGGCCACATGACCCGGAAAGCTGTCTGTGGATAAACATCGGCTCCCTCGGCCTGAAAGCAAGATGAGCGCCACAACCCCATAGTCGCCTTTAGTTGGACTTAACCATCCAAGGGTCCTTTACCTTTTTTTTTTTTACCTAAAGGTGCAATGGATTGTTGCTGTTTTGCGTTATTATATTCCTTAGTGGATTGTGCAAACCACGGTTTATCGTGCATTTTTACAGAGTAGGCGCTGGAGATGAGTTGCTGGAACCAAGGGGGCAGTAGCGAGAAAATGACCTTATCTAGCAGACCGGTAAATGCTCTCCTGAATTTCAGGCAAGGCTCTCTCATAGTCCTACCCAGAGATGCCTGGAGGGATTTGAATCTGGGGTCTCCTGCGTCCAAAGCAGACACTTTAACCCTGAGCTACGGCATTTCAGGAGTTTGACTTTTAAATATTAACTCTGTGAGATACGGCCAACCTTGGAAGTTGAACGGAATCCATTCCGGAAGTCCGTTCAACTTCCAAAACGTTCGGAAACCCAAGCGCGGCCAATCGGAAGCCCCGTCGGACGTTTGGGTTCCGAAAACCATTCGAAAACCGGAACACTCACTTTCGGGTTTCGATTGTTCGGTAGCCAAGGCGTTCAAGATCTAAGACTGTACTCAGTTTTGCTCTTTTACTTAGCTTTAGGGCCGTGGTTCCCAACAATTTGATTTTTAAGGGGGGAAATTCGAGAATGAGTTATTAACAGTTAATGGCCTTTTAGGCTTCCTCCACATGAATAGTTCATTTTTTTAATATTATATGCCATGGGGGGGCACATCAGGATTTTAGAGATGCTTAGGTGGGGCATGGCCAAAAAAAAGGTTGGGCACCACTGCTTTAGGGAGTTTCGTTGATGTTTTCATCTGGCGTTTTCATTGTTTTCCATGTCAACCGCTGCTCTGTCACCCCTGGAAAATATTTACAGTGGTAACTCGGGTTAAGAACTTAATTCGTTCTGGAGATCCGTTCTTAACCTGAAACTTTTCTTAACCTAAAGTACCACTTTAGCTAATGGGGCCTCCCGCTGCCGCTGCACGATTTCTGTTCTTATCCTGAAGCAAAGTTCTTAACCCGAGGCACTATTTCTGGGTTAGCAGAGTCTGTAACCTGAAGCTTCTGTAACCCAAGGTACCACTGTAATTGCAGCTTAGAAATTTGCCCCCTATTAAGTAGTGGGTTGACAAAGCAGACGACACAGAGATTTCTCCAAGTGGTTCTTTATAGTAAGCTGGAACTGAACTGAACTGAACAACTCAGCTGACCTGCTTGTATACTCCAGGGTTTCCCGCCTAAATTAACTGACGTGGACCTGAGTAAAAACTATACAGTCATACCTCGAGTTGAATGTGCTTCAGGTTGAGCGCTTTTGGGTTGCGCTCCGTGGCAACCAGGAAGTAATGGAGCACGTTACTTCCAGGTTTCGCTGCTCGCGCATGCGCAGTTGCTCAAAATGACGTCGTGCACATGCGCAGAAGCAGCAACACGCGTTTTACGTTCCATTCAGGATGTGAACAAGGCTCCGGAACGGATCCCTTTCGTATCCTGAGGTACCACTGTATACACAATACCCCTGGTGGCCAGGGTGAGAATTTCAATACATAACACACACCCCATCCTTTTTGCCTGGCCGTGCCTTGACTTAGCCGCTGCCTCTCTTCCTTTCCAGGCTTGGAGCTGTGCTGCCCGCCCCAGCGGCTGCCCGTGACCATGGCGGCAGACCTCCTCATGGTCGGGGGGCACTTCCTTCTTCTGGGGCTGGCATTGGCGTGTGGCAGTTGGAGGGTCTTGCAGGGCGTCATGGCGGCTGGGCTGGGCCTCTGCCTCCTCTATGGGTAAGTTGTGGCCGCGTCACTGAAACCTCTCGCCAAAACCAGGCAGAAGGCCTTTGGGGGGGGGGGGAAATAATATTTTTATTAGTTGTCAATTACAATAATTCAATAATAGCCTCATTAGAAGAAAGGGATATTAGCTCCACCCAAGGCATGAAGGAGAACAGCAACAACCAGGGAAAGGTAAACATAAAATTTTACAAGGACAAAAAAGAAACATCACGGACAGGCTATAGTTTGAACGCTTCACCTGTAGATTTATAAATCATTTAATGTGTCAATACAAATGGAAGTCATTAATATTGCTGTTGTTGTATAAGGGATTGCTATTTTGCCTGGAGCGTAATTGAAATTCATAAGATTTGGGGACTCAGAAATAAAGTACATCATCAAACCACCAATTCTAGCATGCGGGGGACCACCTAAATTACATAATTTGGCATCTGAATGATTGGTATTAGTAATTGTATTATAATTTGGCGTTGTTATAATGAGGCTGAAAGCCTTTTTGCTTGTTGCACCCAGTACGGGAAACTACCACCCGGCACAATTCCAAGTGTTGGTGCTGACCTTTAAAGCCCTAAACGGCCTCAAATGCCCAGTAGACCTGAAGGAGCGTCTCCACCCCCATCGTTCAGCCTGGACACTGAGGTTCAGCTCTGAGGGCCTTCTGGCGGTTCCTTCACTGCGAGAATTAAAGTTACAGGGAACCAGGCAGAGGGCCTTCTCGGTGGTGGCGCCCACCCTGTGGAACACCCTCCCATCAGATGTCAAGGAAATAAACAACTATCTGACTTTTAGAAGGCATCTGAAGGCAGCTCTGTTTAGGGAAGTTTTTAATGTTTGATATTTTATCGTGTTTTTAATATTCTGTTGGGAGCTGCCCAGAGTGGCTGGGGAGGCCTGGCCAGGTGGGTGGGGTATAAATAATAAGTTGTTGTTGTTGTTGTTGTTGTTGTTGCTGCTGCTGTTTTCTGCAGTCTTCAGATGAGGATTAGACTACGCAAAAAATGAATACAGTCATACCTTGGGTTAAATATGCTTCAGGTTGAGCGTTTTCAGGTTACACTCCGCGGCGACCCGGAAGTAAAGGAACACGTTACTTCCGGGTTTTGCTGTATGCGCAGACGCTCAAAATGACGTCACACGCATGCGCGGAAGCAGTGAATCATGCCACACGCAGATGCAAGTTGCATTCGCTTTAGGATGGGAACGGGGCTCCGGAACGGATCCCGTTCGCATCCAGAGGTACCACTGTATAAAATTTTAGCTGCAGTCCATTCATTTTCAGCTTTGTATTCTTTTTATTAAAAAAGTGTGCCTAGACATTCCGTTGCTGCGCCCATAACCTAGGTTTAAGGTGTCATTTAGCTCCTAGCTTTCATATCTCAGTTTCTAACACTGCCTGATACCCCTGATTTCCCCCCCCCCCGCCCGCCCCGATCCTGCTTAGGTGCCCTGGATTGTACCCAGACTCACCCCGGTGGCTCTTGGCCACTCGACGGACAGCCCAAGCCAAGGAGATCCTGCTAGCCCTGGCTGAGGGCAGTGGCAGCCAGGAGTCGGAGGCTCAGGAGGCCTTGGAAGGTGAGTCTCAAGAAGAGCATGCCCAGAGGGCTTTGATCCAAAGATTTTACAGAGGGCATGCCAATTTCTGCTTGAAGAACTGGGCTCTAGGTGAAGTGGGAAGCCTCTGCCCTCCTTTCCACCTGCCCCTTTAAAATATTTATAGAAATATATCTCTCTCTCTCAAACCTTTATTGAGCCGGACAATAACCAGCATTAAGAAAGCAAAGGGATTTTATTTTATTTTTAAGGAAATGAAGCACATTTATTCAGATACATATTACAGGGCAGAGCAACATAAATGAAAGTCGCAAGAGATTATATAGGCAGCAAGAAAATTAGAATTTATAGGCCTATCACAAACTCCGAAGAGGGAGGCTGCAAAATGTCTGGGGTCAATTCCCGGCGAGTTTTGAAAGCGAGAGATGCCTTTTGATTGTCCTGGCAGATTTAATAAATGGGGCTCAATGAAGACTTTGCATAGATTTTAGTAAAAGGAGCAATACAGGAGGAGAGCCGTGTGGCTGTAGCTTCTCCTCATGGGTGGAATGCCCTTTTCAACTCCTTTATTTTGTGTGTTTTCCCCTAAATCTGCTTCTGAAGAACTTGACAATGCCTGCCACCTCCCTGCTGCAGCCCAGATTTCATTCCGGGCCGTGCTGTCCTGCAGAAACATCTGGAAGAATGTTCTCATCCTCGGTTTCACTACGTAAGTCCACCTTCCTTTGTCCTGAACCAGAAAGTCTTGGCATTGGTGGGGGGTCAGGGAGGGTTCACAGAGCACCAGGTGGCTTTTAACATAGGGATCCACTCTTTTGGAACTTTTAATCAGCCATTGCACCATGCAAGGATCTAGAATGCATATAACCATTCCAGTGGTCCTAATTCCTTTCCTTTTTATAACATACAATTTCATCTCAACTTCCCTTGAGAGAAACTATGAGATTTATGCACTACCATTTACAACTTTATCACAGCTGAGTGGATCACTGTTTGGTTGCTCTTTTAAAAATATTTTTAAAGGTATTCGGCAGTTTTCCCTGTTATTTTCTCCCAACTCTACATTTCCACGATTTTTATATTTAAAAAACTCCTGCTGCTTTAATTTTTGTTCTTCTGTTTTCTTTTTCTTTTTCTTCAGGGTGCTTTTGGTTTGGATGCATTTTCTTCCAGCAAGCTCCTTTCAATATTATTAATATTAATATTATTTATTACTTATACCCCATCAATCTGGCTGGGTTTCCCCAGCCACTCTGGGCAGCTTGCAGCATATCTAAAAACATATTAAAAACATCAACCCTTAAAAACATCCCTAAACAGGGCTGCCTTCAGATGCCTTCTAAAAGTCAAAGAGTTATTTATTTCCTTGACATCTGGTGGGAGGGTGTTCCACAGTGCGGGCACCACCACCGAGAAGGCCCTCTGCCTGATTCCCAGTAACCTCACTTCTCGCAGGAAGGGAACCACCAGAAGGCCCTCAGAGCTGAACCTCAGTGTCTGGGCTGAACAATGGGGGTAGAGACGCTCCTTCAGGTATACTGGGCCTTTGAGGCCATTTAGGGCTTTAAAGGTCAGCACCAACACCTTGAACTGTGCTTGGAAACATACTGCGAGCCAATGTAGGGTTTTCAGGACTGGTGTTATATGGTCTCGGTGGCCACTCCCAGTCACCAGTCTGGCTGCCACATTCTGGATTAGTTGTAGTTTCCAGGACACCTTTCATTCCCTCCAATCCCCCCAAAATTGGATATACAGTGGTACCTCGGGTTACATACACTTCAGGTTACAGATTCCACTAACCCAGAAATATTACCGCAAGTTAAGAACTTTGCTTCAGGATGAGAACTGAAATCGTGCTCCAGCGGCGTGGCGACAGCAGGAGGCCCCATTAGCTAAAGTGGTGCTTCAGGTTAAGAACAGTTTCAGGTTAATAACGGACCTCTGGAATGAATTAAGTACTTAACCCGAGGTACCACTGTAAAAAGGGACACGGGTGGCGCTGTGGGTTAAACCACAGAGCCTAGGACTTGCCGATCTGAAGGTTGGCGGTTCGAATCCCCGCCACGGGGTGAGCTCCCGTTGCTCGGTCCCTGCTCCTGCCAACCTAGCAGTTCGAAAGCACGTCAAAGTGCAAGTAGATAAGTAGGTACCGCTCCAGCGGGAAGGTAAACGACGTTTCCGTGCGCTGCCCTGGTTTGCCAGAAGCGGCTTAGTCATGCTGGCCACATGACCCGGAAGCTGTACGCCGGCTCCCTTGGCCAATAAAGCGAGATGAGCAACCCCAGAGTCGGCCACGACTGGACCTTATGGTCGGGGGTCCCTTTACCTTTTACCACCGTACTGTAAAAAACTAAACTGCATTGATGTTGTTGTTGTTTTCTGTCTGGCACCTCTCCAGATTCATCGCCCACGCCATCTGCCACTGTTACCTGCTGGCCTGGGAATCCCTGGAGGATTCACGGGCCAACTTCTACCTCTCCTACCTGCTGTCATCCGGCAGTGCGGGCCTTGCCTGCCTCTTCCTGTGCCTGAGCGTCGACCGTTACGGACGCCGCGGGATTCTCCTCCTCACCACCACGCTGGCTGGCATCGCTTCCCTGATCCTGCTGGGCCTGGGAGAGTGTAAGTCGCTTCAAGTTAGTTTTCCTTTTTTAAAAAAAGCCGCTAAGGAGTTTCATTTGCAATCATGGTCACGCCCAAATTGAGGATGTGTGTCACAGGGCTCCTCTGCCCTTCCAGAAAGATGCACTAGGCAGATTGCAGAGACATGACCGCAGATCGAGGACTCAGTAGGCTGATAACAACCAGTCCTGTTTATTCTTTTTCCCCCATCAAATGTAGATGGGAAGCTGACCCAAAAGTCCAGGGGTTGCATTATTATCAATTTATGATGGGGTGGAAGGTTCACAAGCTAAGAAGGACTTGCTCACAAATTTATTGACAGCTGCATGAGTTATTATAGCTAGGAAGTGGAAGGGGCAAGCAGAATATAAAATAGAAGAATGGTATAAAGCGGTGTGGGATATAGCTATGAATGATACATTAACATGTGCCAGTAAGGTAAGGCAGGAGAAATATGCAGGAGAAATTATTCTGAGGAGATATGGAGGGTGCCTGTAGAATAAAACGGAAAGGGGTTGAAATTTTGGAAGGCTGGATAGTTGGAATGGTCTTAGTGGTGGGGTGCACATTTTTGTTCTTATTTATTCATGATTATTACTTTGTCAAAATAAAATAAAGTATCTTTTAAAAAAAATGTAGATGGAGAAGTTGCTGCTGGGCAGAAACAGCCCCTCAAATTAGTAAAATGTAATCCAGCATAGTGAAGCTCGATCCATAGAAGTCAGAGGTACAGTCAGTATGCAATTCTGTAATTAGAGAGGCAGTGTTCAGTCTGTTGCAATCTAGAATGGGTTGCACCCCTTTGAAATATCACAGTTGCAGGTGAGGAGCTACTGCTTGATCTAGGCCTGACTCTCAGTGTCTTCTATGCATGTGATAATTTTTTAGCCTCTTGTGAATGAATTTAAATGTGCATTTCCTTTAGTGATGCTTTCTTTTGACATGTTTAAGATAATGATCCTGTTGTTGTTGTTGTTAACTTAGCTGTGTTATATGTGCATTCTGTAGTTGACCTCGTTTGCAATGTTTCCTTTTGAAACCTTTTAAAGATATTATCTTCTCTTAAGTATGTTGTGGGAGGGACACAGGTGGCGCTGTGGGTTAAACCACAGAGCCTAGGACTTGCCGATCAGAAGGTCGGCGGTTCGAATCCCCGCCACGGGGTGAGCTCCCGTTGCTCGGTCCCTGCTCCTGCCAACCTAGCAGTTCGAAAGCACGTCAGAGTGCAAGTAGATAAATAGGTACCACTCTGGCAGGAAGGTAAACGGCGTTTCCGTGCGCTGCTCTGGTTCGCCAGAAGCGGCTTAGTCATGCTGGCCACATGACCCGGAAGCTGTCTGCGGACAAACGCCGGCTCCCTCGGCTAATAAAGCGAGATGAGCGCCGCAACCCCAGAGTCGGTCACGACTGGACCTAATGGTCAGGGGTCCCTTTACCTTTAAGTATGTTGCTTTGAATGTATACCTGACTTTCTTCAGTCGTGTTTTATTCTGGATTGTTTTGTTTGATGTTTTAATGTAAAGTAAACCGCTTCAAGGTTTTTTCCCTTAAAAATATAGCGTAGTTTAGAAATGAAATTAAGAAGAAGAAGAACATATAAAGCCCTGTTGAGTCACACCTGTGCAGGGCTAATTAGTGTCATGTCTTTGCACGTAATTTCTATATTTCAAAGGATACATTTTTCTTGTTTTAATTTGCATATTATTATTATTCATTATTGTTATTGTTTGTTGGTAGGTTATGTATTTTTGTGTTTTCACATTTTGAACCACCATAAGAATAATGATCATACAGTAATTGGTTAGTTGCTTTATCTTGCCCAGGGCAAAAAACAACTTACGAATAGATAGACAGACAGACAGAAGACCCCACATAGATATATTAAAACCAAGAGGATAAAGAAATACATTAAAAACACCCCACCCACTTCAAAAAGACCACAGATAGTTAAAGGCCAAAAGTATTATTATATACTTTTGATAGACAGAGGTCCGTACTTAACCTGAAACTGTTCTTAACCTGAAGCACCACTTTACCTAATGGGGCCTCCTGCTGCTGCCGTGCCGCCGGAGCCCGATTTCTGTTCTTATCCTGAAGCAAAGTTCTTAACCTGAAGCACTATTTCTGGGTTAGCGGAGTATGTAACCTGAAGCGTATGTAACCCAAAGCGTATGTAACCCGAGGTACCACTGTATTATATAGAGGTATAAGTGAACAGATAAGCTTCTTCTGCTTTGAGTGGAAAAATATTAGGAGCCACTTCTGTTGATTGAGACCTCTCTTAGGGACCGGTTGGTGTCTCCTTTTCACCGTTTCTGCCCTTTCCCTCCCTCCGCGTTGCAGATCTCAACGATGCTGCGCGGAGAACCTTCTCCATCCTTGGCCTCTTCTCCTCCCACGCAGCTGGATCCCTCAGCATCTTCTTCGCCTCCGAGGTCATCCCCACCGTGATCAGGTGAGGTGGAGAGAGCGAGAGGCCTCTCTCAGGCCCTTAACAAACTACAGCTCCCAGGATTCTTTGGGGGAAAGAAGCTGTACCATCATGTAAGGTTGTGGATGGGGAGTTGGGAAACTGCGAGAAGGTGGCCCTATTTTAAAACTCCACCCTGGCTATATCTCCTTTGGTAGTATAGTCCACCCTTCTTTCGCCAACTGCTTGGGAACAGCCGCCCTGGCCCCCATTTTTCTCTTTCATGTTTCTAGCCCTCATTCTGTGACCATTTTGTTGCTCTCCTTATTTCGCTTCCCCAACAGCTGCAGGTGAGGAAGTGCCGTAGCTCAGTAGAGTCTAATGCAGGCGTGGCCAAACTCGGCCCTCCAGATGTTTTGGGACTACAACTCCCATCATCCCTAGCTAACAGGACCAGTGGCCAGGGATGATGGGAATTGTAGTTCCAAAACAGCTGGAGGGCCAAGTTTGGCCATGCCTGGTCTAATGCCTGCTTTGAAAGGTTCCAGGTTCAGCTCATCACATCTGAAGGTAGGGCTAGGAATCCTAGATGGACCAGCAGTATATTCCTGTGTCTCTATAAATCCGTACAGCATTGCCACACATGCACAGAATTTGGTACTCAATCAGTCAAATCTTTATTACAGTCATAGACCAGCATAAGTAGGGTGGAGCACAATCATTTAGAATCTATAAAACGTTTTGGAAAGCTAAAAAGTATTAAAACAGACGGTATAGCTAAAGAACTATAGAAATCAAAAGAAACTAAAAGAATTTGGTACTGGTATCAGGACAGAGTTCTGCTTCATGAAAACCATGCTGTCCTTTTTTAAAAAAAGTTTCTAGTCCCTGGAAAACGAGCGAGGTACCAACTAGAAAAGAATGGCAACTTAAGCTGACAGAATATGTGCAGCTTGCAGGCTTAACATACAGAATAAGAGAACAAGAAGAACATACGTTTAGAGAAGATTGGAAAATGTTTATTGAATATATGGGGGCAAATTGTGTACACTTGAAAACTTTGGCAGCATTAAGATAAATTCAACTGTGTGAGTAAGTTTTGATGGATGTAATAATGGAATACTGAATGGTATCGTTTTTGTAAAATAGGCAGCGATTTATGATACGCAAAATGAACCATGGAAAGAGAAGAAGGGGAGTTCGCTGATATTTTAAGGATGTTTAAATGAGAATTCTAAATTGTAAAACAGAAAATTTAATAAAAATTATGTGTATATAAAATAAAGTAAGTTTCTAGTCCTTAAGACTGGGAACATAGGCAAACCTTGCTGAACTCTCTAAAATGCTGAGAGCAAGGAAAGCAGGCAAATGGCAGGAGCTGAGGTGTATTTAGCAGTCGGGATTCATCTTTCAGTGCCCTGCGTAACCTTTTGTGACTAACCCAAGTAAAATGTCATGCAGAGCCCTTCAAAACTCCATAAGCCACCAAGCACCTTAGGAGCGCAATAATTTTCATTTTCCCCTCATGCTTGTTTACTCCCCTTCCTCTGGAGGTTTTTAAGCAGAGGTTGGACGGCCATCTGGCATGGCGGCTTTAGTTCAGATTCCTGCATTTCAGGGGGTTGGTCTGGATGACCCTCAGGACCCATTCCAAGTCTACAATTCTATATTCTCTTTCGTTCCATTTACGGGAGCCTTGGGAAAAGGACCCCCCTTCCGCTCACAGCTCTTTCTCTAGCCTTCGCCGTCCACCTGTTTTGGAGAACTTTGTTAGATAACGCAGGAGCAAGGATTAACAACATCTGCTGAGCCCTTCCTGCCACTGGTTCAGCCTTGTCCTTGAGGCACGGGGAGCTCCGCGACCTTGGCGATAAGGTCCCTATGGCAACTGGTTTCAGGATCGCGTCACCAAGGCCCTCTCTCTTTCTCCCTCCACAGGGGCAAGGGCCTGGGCCTGATCCTGGCCGTGGCGTCCCTGGGCGGCCTGAGCGCCCCTCTGCTGCGGCTGCGAGAGCAACACGGCTCTTTCCTTGAGCACATCGTCCTGGCCTCCCTCAACATCCTGGCTCTCCTCTGCCTGATGCTGCTGCCTGAGAGCAAGAGGAAGGGGCTGCCAGAGGGCCTGCGTGACGGGGAACTCTACCGGAGGCCTTCGCTGCTACGCCGGGCCGGAGGAGGGGAGAGCCGGGACTCGGAAGGAGCCACCCGGCGGGACGACGTGCCTCTGCTGTCCACGCCGAACCCTGCCAGCTGATGCACCCTCTGCCGCCGCCGTACACACGCCCTGGCTGGATCTGGACCTCCTTTGCCCGCTGCGTGGTTTAGGACTTCACTGAGGCCTCACAAGGGCAGAAGAAGACATTGCCAAGCGGCCTCCACGTTTTCCGGTTTCGTTCTGCAGCCTAGCATGAGAACCAGCAGCCGCAGAGCTGCCCTTTCCTCCATCTCGCAGGCTGGGTGGGGGTAAACCATTAGCAACGCTGATCATTTATCTTTTTTCCTTCCTTTTTTTAATAAGCCTACGAACTGGCTCGCCCCCGCTCCTCGCACACACGCAGTTCAGTTGGCGATTCAGTGTGGCTCACCGGACGAGGCCCGGCCCAAGACCACACACCCACCCCCTGACCATGCAGGCTTTCGTGGTTGGGACAGTGAACCCTCACAAAACAAGACCGCTCCGTGTGCAGTAATAATAAGCTCCTAGGTACAGTATTTCCAGAAAGCCAGGTCCTTTCTCCGAGTTCCCTGCCCCGAAAGAGCAGCTATCTGCCTTGATCCCTCGTCTTGACCGCCTCTTCAAGTGGAAATTGACAGGTGAAGCTCTGTCCAAATTGGAGAATGGGGAACTAGGGAAAGCTACCCAGCCAGATGGGCAGGGTACAAATAATAAATTATTATTATTATTTCCCTGCCAGATTTCTGGCAGTCAGGTGTTAAAAGGCCCAGGAGCCCTGGCAGAAATAATAGAGTGTCAGATTTAGAGAGGTGTTTCCTCACCTCTCATCTGTTTTTGTAGTTTTTTCCTTAAAATGCTTGGCTGCTCTCCAGTCTGGAAAAAACATCCATACAGTATTGGATATTTAACCATCTTGGGGGTATAACTTGCCCCAAGATACTGAACCGTAGAGGATTCATTCGGATCAGATTGTTTCTGTTCCCATTTCACAGATTTAGGAAACTGAGGCCAAGATGGAACGTTTACGGGCCAGTTTCAAAGTCAGGGCCAGAGCTTTCAACCTATGCACTACATTCAGTCGTCGTTTTGATAGCACATCTCAGTGTACAAAGGGCTTTGAATGTCACTCTTGCCAGAGTTGACTTAACCCCAAAATGGAAGCAAGAGCCTTGTAAAAGTGGGCTGTTCTATATTCTTCTCCATGATCTTGCGAAAGATGGCTGCTCACTCAATCCCTATCCCACAATCCCCTGCTGCACTCCATGGCCATTGCTCAACACCTGGGGGTCAGGATTGCCTCTTATAAGCTGGGCGGCATTTCCCTGTTTTACCATCCTGGAGGGAGCAAAACCTTGTTGGATTTCTGCTTCCTTACTGTCAAAAGGAAGCAGCAAGCTGCAGGCTTACTTCCAGCACTAAGAGCAAGAAACCTAATTCCTTCTCTTCTCTCCTCCCTGCCTATTTGTATACTTTATAAAGCATTGACATGCACACCACATCAGGTACAACTGGTTGTTCCACCCCTCTGGGCCCAAGGAAAATGCTAATTTTTATCACCAAGGAGGAAGGGGGGGAAAGAGATGCCTGAATGTGGGAAGGAACAGACTGGGCCACTCTACTTGCTCTTTTGGCAACTCAAAACGCAACCCACACAGGAGACTCTGGGAGGACGGTTGGCTGCTTTCTACGGGAAACAAACTACTGACTGTTAATAAGCTAAATACAAATTAAAGGGGGGGCACTTCTTGAGAATCCTTTGCTTTGCCCCATTTATTTCGGCAGTGCTAGAAATGTTTGTCCGGGTTTCTCATGGAGTTGGGGTGCAACTGCAGCTGATGCCCTTCCTCAACGTGGAACAGCAACTGTCCCAGGACACCCCCCCCCCAAAATGCTAGCATTCCCCTCAAGCACAGGTAGGGAGCCTACAGCCCTCCTGATATTTCAGCTCCTTCCCACTCCAGGCAGTATGGCCAATGGGCAGGGATGGTGGGAGTTGGGCGTTCTCAAGACCTTGGGGGGGGGTGCAGGGGCTCCCCTGCCCTAAAGCATCCTCTCCTAACCTGGGGCTGATGGGATTTGTAGTTCAGAGCATCTGGAGAGAAGGCTGCCCTGAGAGGTCCTTGCATGGAAAAGCCAACTGGGTCTCTTGATGCAGAGTTGTATCGCATGCCCAGCAAGTTTGCTGCTCAAATGCTGGTAACAGGGCAGGTGCAAAGTTGCTGCAGAAACACATTTCCCTGTTCAATGCACAGATGAGAGAAGTCTCCAAACTTGGCAGTAAATGGGAGCTGCTCATCTCTCCTTGACTCACTATGTAAAAATTCTTTAAACACACCTAAGCATCTCTAGGGACGCAGGTGGCACTGTGGTCTAAACCACAGAGCCTAGGACTTGCCGATCAGAAGGTCGGCGGTTCGAATCCCCGTGACAGGGTGAGCTCCCGTTGCTCGGTCCCTGCTCCTGCCAACCTAGCAGTTTGAAAGCACATCAAAGTGCAAGTAGATAAATAGGTACGGCTCCGGCAGGAAGGTAAACGGCGTTTCCGTGCGCTGCTCTGGTTGGCCAGAAGTGGCTTAGTCATGCTGGCCCCATGACCCGGAAGCTGTACGCCGGCTCCCTCGGCCAATAAAGCGAGATGAGCGCCGCAACCCCAGAGTCGGCCGCGACTGGACCTAATGGTCAGGGATCCCTTTACCTTTACCTTTACCTTTACCTATCTCTACTTCAACCTCCCTGCTTTCTATTATGGTACCCGATTGTGCATTTTTTCCAGTCGGCTGTAGCAGGGGACTTCTGGCACCTCTTCCATCATTCTTCTTGCTTTCCAGAGCATGTTTTGTCCTTTCGACGTGTGAAAAGGCAGGGCTGCACTCTGACAAGACCCACATTTACAGCATCCCACAATACTCTTCCCCGCACATACCCCTTTATGATAAAAAAAAAATATTTGGGAGACACACCCGTTTTTCTGCACCTGTTGGTCCAGGACTCCCGCTCCCATCAACTCCAAGCAGTGAGTTCAGGGAAGATGGGACGGATAATCCTGTACCCCGCAATGGTCATTTGTGTGAAAAGCTCCTGCTGCAAATAGGGGGGTCCTGCTCAGCTCACTGGACAAGCTAACACACTGCCCCTCTCTTGCATCTCTGTTGTTGGGCATCCAGTTATGCAACATGCCGTTATGCTGAGAAATCTGTGCTGCACTGAAGTAGGGATTTTTTTAAAACGCAGGAAAATTCCTGCAGCAAGAAAGCATTGAGTAGGAGGTATGCAAAATCTGCAGCCTGCAAGCAGAGTATTTCTGGCAGTGATCCAGCCACTCTGAAGACAGAAGAGCTGTTTTAGAGAAGTACGTAGACCAATAAACCGCCGCCAAGCTCAGGCAATAAGTTTGGGGCTTGCCTGTATATTCTCTCTCTCTCACTCACTCACTCACTCACACACACACAAATACTGCAGATTCCCCAAAAGATGGCCAGGATTTCCAGCAGAAGCTAATTCCATTGCACCAGACTTCTAAAGCCCACAATGGTAGCATTGCTCCCATGGGACTACATTATTACTATTATTAATTAAATTTGTATACTTAAAGATCACGGGATAGTTCACAACATAAAAATACAACATAAGAACACAAAAAGGGTAATAAAAACAAACCAATACGCCCAACACATTTCCAAGGCCGTAGAATATTGGTCACCCAAAGGCCTGGGAGAAGTATGTTTTCATCTGGGACCTAAAGATATATAATGAAGGAGCAAGATGAGCCTCTCTGGCACAAACACAGCCACCACAGAAAAAAGGCCCATCCTAGTGTTGCTGCCCTCCAGACGGCTTGTGGAGGCAGATGAAGAAGAGCCTCAGGTGCCAATCACAGGGTCAGTTCATATGGGTAGAGGTAGTCCTTGAGGTATCGCGGTCCTGAGTTGCTCAAGACTTTATATGTCAAACACCAGCACTTTGAATTGGGCCTAGAAGCTAATTGGCAGCCAGTGCAATTGGGCCAGGATTGGTGCAAGAGGCTCAAAATGGCCTCCTAATTCGGCACGAGCTGAAGTTTCCAAACTTGGTTATGAGAGCAGAGACAACAGGTTAGGTTATCCCTGCCCAGATAGGGAAATAGCTGGGCTTCAGTCTTAATCTCGATTGAGTTTCAGATTGTTGGCTCTCATCCAGCCCATCACCAAGGCAAGGCAGTGGCTCAGCACATCCACTGCCCCACCTGCAGATGTAAAGTGGAGCTGGGTGTCAGCATATTGTTGACAATGAAACTCCAAACCTCTATTTAACTCAGTGCTCCACAACATGAGGACTAAAACTGAATCCTGAAGAGCCACACACACCTGGGGACCGCTCCCCAAGCTTTGCCCTCTAGAAATGAGCATCCAAGTAGGACCAGAACGACCCCAAGCGCTGCCACCCAGCCCAAACCTGGTATCGAAAGCCGCTGAGAGGTCGAGAATTCACGGGGGACATTTCCCGTCTCTCTCCGAATAGGCTTCATACAGGGCAATCAAAGCAGTTTCTGTGCCAAAACCCTGATTGGAATGGATGTAGAAAATTAGTTTTTTTTCTAAGAACTCCTGGATCTGGTCCACCACTCTAGAACTCTTCCCAAAGGGAGACGGGCAACTGGCCAGTAGTTACTTAACATTTCCCTGATATATAATGAGATGAAAAAGATGTTGAAATACATATTCTTAAAAAAACCAGAAGCGTTTTTACTTGGTATTATAGGCCGAGACATTAAATTATCTTGGCAAGATCTTAAATTGTTCTTATATGCAACAACAGTGGCAAGACTACTGTTACCCCAGAAATGGAAGCAAGAAGAAATTCTGACGAAAGAAGAATGGCAGACGAAATTAACGGACTATGCAGAATTGGACAAAATGACAGGAAAGATTCGAAACCTGCGGGACCAGAGATTTACAGAAGATTGGAAGAAGTATATGAATTATTTGAAGAGCAACTGCAATCAACAAATTACACTAGTAGGACTACAAGAAGTTTTGTAAGGAGAAATCTACAAAGTAGAAAAAGATAAGATATTGGTTATGAATTTGAAATGTAGCAGGGAAAATAAGAAATGCATACTAAGAGATTAGATTGGAAAATTTTCAGACAGGACTGATGGAAGTCAAAAAATTTGAATAAGATGTAAAAGTATGTTTAATTACTGTTGAAAATGGTATGTTAAATATATATATATATAGTTTAGTTACTTAACATTTCCCTCTCTTCTAAGGAGGCATTCACCTCGTTGTTTGGATCAGGCAGGACAGCCACTTGTGCTCTGACTCCCTGTCCCTTGTGGCTGATAAAAACAGGGAGGAGACAACTGGCTGGGCCAGGGAGCTGGATTAATGCCTTCTTAGGCAAGGGCCCAGAGTACACGTGGCTTTCCTGACTAATCCCAATGACCTTGTCCATCGAGCCTTACAAAGCGAAACTCATTCAACGCAACAGCACTAGAAAGTGCTCTGCGAAAGCCTTGAGATCCATCTGCTGTTAACAGCAGCCAAGGTTCCAGGGAATTAAAGGTTCATCCTCAAAATGCTTTGCAAAATCAACAGTGAGCTTCCGTTTGTTCCACCACCTACTTCAGGCCAGACGGGACCCAGAACAATGGAGGCAGCAAAATACACCTTTTCTGCCTTCGCTGCCACCAAGGAGGCTCAACATTTAGCCCTCACCGGTGTCCTCTTGTTTTCGACCAATTTTCCTCCACCGGCGTCCAAGCAGTCTTCCAAGTTGTTTCCTCACCCTAAGCACCTGTTTGCAAACTCTCAACTGCTGATTCAGCCATGCAACTTCCTCCTTGCTTGCTCACTTAAGGATTACAGTGGTACCTCGGGTTACATACGCTTCAGGTTACAGACTCCGCTAACCCAGAAACGGTGCTTCAGGTTAAGAACTTTGCTTCAGGATAAGAACAGAAATCATGCTCCGGCGGCGCAACAGCAGGAGGCCCCATTAGCTAAAGTGGTGCTTCAGGTTAACTACAGTTTCAGGTTAAGTACAGACCTCTGGAATGAATTAAGTACCGTATTTTTCGCTCTATAAGACGCACCAGACCACAAGACGCACCTAGTTTTTGGAGGAGGAAAACAAGAAAAAAAATATTCTGAATCTCAGAAGCCAGAACAGCAAGAGGGATTGCTGCGCAGTGAAAGCAGCAATCCCTCTTGCTGTTCTGGCTTCTGGGATAGCTGCACAGCCTGCATTCACACCATAAGATGCACACAGATTTCCCCTTACTTTTTAGGAGGGAAAAAGTGAGTCTTATAGAGCAAAAAATACGGTACTTAACCTGAGGTACCACTGTACCTGCCACAGTCCCACGGGAAGAGCCAACAGCCACATCGGCGCTCTGCGGCTCTAACTAGAAAAGGGAGAGCAGCTGCCACAGCTCATTGCTGACACCGCAGCCACTTTGTGTGTCTGTGTGTGTTTTGCTTATTTTCCCATCTGGCTGAAGGCAAGTTGATGCAGGGAGGCGATGTTTCTGTCAGCCAGAGGAGCTGCTTACTTGCTAAGGAGCGGCAGAAGTCCTGGACTGTGCTCTCATTTCTAAAATAAACTTCCTGCTTTTGAGGAAAGCAGTTAAAAGTGTGCGCGAAATTAAATCAAATCTTCCAAAAGGAAGAGGTATGTGTCTTTATTCGTATGAGTGGAAGCCAGGAGTCCTAGGTGCAAGATCATTCAATACTTATCATCTCCGCCCAAGGCATGATGGGAAACAGAAACAACTGGGGGAAAGGAAGACATAACATCTTACAAGGACAGGAAGAAACACCAAAGAAAGATTAATTGCCACACACAGGAAGGAGGATATAGTTTTGAGTTCTTCACTTGCGGTTTTATAAATCGTTTAATGTGCCAACACGAATAGAAGCCATTAATACTGCAGTTGTTGTATAAGGGATTATTATTATGACCAGAATGCAATGGAAATTAATAAGATTCTTAAACGCAGAAATAAAGAAAATAACCAAACCATCAAATCTAGCATGCGGAGGGCCACTTTATCTAAATTATATAATCCGATATTTGAATGATTGGTATTAATAATTGTATTATAAATTGGAATTGTTATAATGAGGCTATTAGTGGATTGTAATTGAAAACTAATAAAAAGTATAATAAATCACTCAACACTCATCTTTCTTCCAAAAAACATCTTTATTTTTTATTAATTTTTTTTTTGCCCTCATAACATTTTATTCTATTTCTCCCCCTTTCCTCTTCCCTGCCCTCCAGCCCAATCTGGATCTCCTCCCCCTTTCTCTTTCTCTCTCTCTCTCTCTTTTTTTTTTTAAAAAAACCATTCTCCCACATGGAAATATGGGCCTCAATTCCTCCCCACTCCCTCCATCCCCCCACCCCCTGCCCCCAAAAAGGGTGTCCTCTCCCCGGCCCCTGGTCTCTACAGCTTCAGGTTTCGGTGTCATTTCTTCAGGCTAAAAAATAAAGAAACCTGTAAAGATAAAGACACTCAAACAAGGCATATAACATACCCCCAGGGGTGGTGGGAGAGGCAGCGACGCAGGGGCAAAGACAGGAAGAGCAAAATGGGACGCAGCCGCAGTTACGTATGGCTCTGAGTGAGGGGTGCCTATTTTTACAGGACCTTCCCCACCCGCCAGCCTGTTTTAGAATTAGCATTTCAGGGGCATTTCTCCATTGGGGAGTTTGGGATCAATGGGGTAAGAGAAAACCCCAAGGCAGGCTCCCCCGTCTGACATAGACACACATACACAGACACACACCTAGAGAGGGATGCCAAGAGACTCGTCTGCCCAAAGTGAGAAAGAGGGTGGTGGACGTCTGGGAATGGGCAGGATCACCACCGCGGGAGGCAGGAACCCCAGGTCCCGCTCCCTGCTAATTCCTGAAGCAAAGGGGAGGGGAAGCAAACGAGATTTGGGGAGAACCAAGCACACGAGAGAGAGCGGGGGAAACAGGCATACCGGAATGGGCAAAGGCTGCAGAGGGAAAGGTTGGGAAGATGAACAAAAACTACAAAACTCTCTCTCTCTCTCTCACACACACACACACAAAAATAGTATCACAAAAGGTTTCGGGGTGTCGGCAAACCCTCCCCCACATCGGCCCCCTCCCCCAAATGCAGGGCAACAATTAAAAAAAAAGGCATGAGGAAGGATGGCTTGGTTATGCCCAACAATTTCTGCAGATGGAAGAGAAAAGGATGAGGAGCTGGACGGGGGGTGGGGGGGCGTGGTGGGGACAGGGCTCAAGTCAGCAATACCAGCAGGTGGAAATTTGACAACAGGATTTGACCCCCTGCCCCGTGTTTACATCTTCCCCCCTCCCAATAAGTCAGCCCTCTTTTTCTGCACAGCATTAGACACTTCCACCTCCCACCAACAGTATTTTTTTTTTTTCCGTCATGGTAACAATCTTCATTTTTTTTCTTTTTTTTTTCCTCCTTCCTAAAACAACCACTTTTTTTTTGTTTTTAGTAAGGGGAATACCATGAGGTCGCTCTGGCCCGGCCCCTGTGGAGAGAAGAAGGACACAGGTTAATGAAAGAGAGACGAAAGGTTTGCTAAGTAACTCAAAACCCTAAAGACCTCAGAGTTGGGACAATGCTCAGCTCCTTGAGGGTGGCTTGCTTTCGTCTGTGCAAGCCAGGTTTTGAGTTTTTAAGGGTTTTTTTCTGGTTTGCAAAGTTTCTGTCCTGACTAAAAAATTCTAAAGCCCGTGATTGAGAACCTGACAACCTTTCAATAATAATAAACACCCCAACCCAAAACTCTGGCTTTCCAAAGTTAACAAATCTGACTGAAGAACACTCAGATTGAAATACTGGCAAGATGACATTAAAACTGACCCAACTCCAATACTTGGAATTGCTTCCTCCTTCGAAGTCCCAAATCCAGCAGCATCTACAACTGGAAATGTCATTAAAATGCTGGTTCAAGTTATAAAGTCGTTTTGTCTCAGCGCTGCTGCTTAACAAGAGCAGTCGTGGTTCCCAGCCCATCACCTCTCTCACTTGGTGCAGTCTACTTCCAGTCTGGGGGCATCAAGAGCCCTCCCACTCTAAGCCAATAGATCTCCCCTACTCCAGCCGCCACCCCACGGGAACCCCTGCAAGGCAGGAGCGTAGAAGCGCCTCCCCCAACCTGCCGCCACCGTCGTGCCAGACCTGTATGCGCGCCCTCGGGGTGGCCTGCTGCTAAAGCCGCTGTAGAAACGGGCCCGGGAACTGCTGTAGCCGGATCCTCTCCCTCTGTACCGGGTCCGGGGGAAACCCCGGTCTGTGGTGCTGATCCCAGGGCGGTTGGTCCGTTTGGGAATCACCTTCAAAAGGAGAAGATCCGCTTAGCCTCAAGAGCAAGGGTATCCCAGAAACCACCCCCAGCCCATGCTTTTGCAACTTTTTTCTATATAATTTTTATTATATTTTCTAAGTTACATTTCAAAATATTCATTTAGACAACCTTAAATCAGTGACTTCCCTTCTTCTCTTTCGGTGGTTCATTTTGCATTCCATACATCCCCGCAAATTCTACATGAACTCAACCATTCGGTAATCCATTATTACATCCATCAAATCTTATTTGCACTGTTGAATTCAACTTAATGCTACCAGCATTTTTAAATGAACACAGCTTTTACTCCTATATTCAGTAAACATTTCCCAGTCTTCTTTAAACGTGTATTCTTCTAGTTCTCTTATTCTATATGTTAAATCTGCAAGCTGTGTGTATACCATCAGTTTAAGTTTCCATTCTTGGGCTGCAGTAGTACCATACATAGTTTTTTGACACCTGGGAATTTCCCTCTGAATTATCCCCAACAAAAAGGACTCTGCTTTTTTCGGAAATATACTTTTATGTTTCAAAGGTAAATGTTTATAAGTCCCTTATGCAACTGTTTTTAAACTCTGCTTACAATTGCATTACATACTGCTCTATAGAAGATAGAATGGTTGGATCTTAAGGAGTGAATACTATAGATGCAGGACAGAAAGCCAGAAGTGCTTTTATTCTTGTATTTTTCTAATCTTTTCTCTTTCTCTCTTTTCCTTCTTCTTGCCTTTTCTCCTTTCTGCCTTTGTTCTTTTTTTAGACTAAGTAGCTGCTTATATTATAAAAAGATACATTGTAATGGGCATGAATTTTTGTGTAGTCCTGAATTAAGTATCAGTAAATAAATAAATTTAAAACCTTGAAAAGGATCAAGCAACTCAGAGCCTTCATTGCCCAGCCACTGCACTACACAAACCTCTTGCCCACAAAATGATGTTTCAGAGGCGGAAGGGGCCTGGTCGAAGAGTGTACACACCTTAATCTGTCTTCCCCTGAACAGCGACTCATCTAACGCTAAGGACGTCCTCACCGACTCCTTGTCCGAGAATTCAATGTAAGCAAACCTGGAGAGCAGGGGGAGAGAATGGGCAGGCTTAAAAGGCAACCACTCACCGAGACGGAAAAACACACCCAGCTTCCCCATCCCGTCACACGCACTCACCCCTTGGGATGGCCAGTGTACTTATCGCAGAGGATGGTCACCCGGTTGACGGAGCCGCAGCCATGGAAGTGAGCCTCCAGCTCCTCTGCTGTCGCCCCGTAATCCACCTGAAACCGAGGATTGAAAATGGTGAGGAAACCCAAGATACATCTCTTGGCCTCCTGACTGAGCTGGGCTGCAGGGAACAGACTTACGTTGCCTACATATATGGACCTGGCATCTGCTTCCATCTTTTCTTCTAAAGACATGATGACTGGGCCAGCTGGGGAGAAAGAAACAGTGTAAGGCAGTGTTAAGACACTTAGATATATAAGCTGGCCACCAAATGGCTTCTTAAACCAGGGTTACAGTTGCCAAAACAGACCAGATGGCTTGAAAATCGTATTTTTCAATGCGACCTTTTGGTTCCTGAAATTCGTTCCGATAGCGCAGATAAAATATAACGGATAAAATTCTACAGGATGTGTTGCTAGTGTGTGAAAACAGTCAAGATCCAAGGATCCCCCGGCATGCACCTCCAGATGGTGGAAATGTCAGGTGTCATCCTGGCGCCTGGGCATCTTCACCTGGTCGCAAGTGGCTGATAACCAGGTACAAAATGCATTTGGCAAATTTTGAACACTGGTGTAAAGCCGGGAAAATGCTGGAGGAAGAATTGCCTCTGATTCTGGGGCCTGGGGAAAAGCACATGCTGATTGGCCAGTGCTTCCTCCAGAAGTGGCTAGCCAAGTCTGCAGGAAAGCAACAAAATGAGGCGGGGAAAAGCCCAGCACCTGGGCAACACATTCTCGACACTGTTTTGGACTGCGACACCACCAGCCTCACAAACCCTCTGCATGGAATTCTCTCTTCAGGTAAGTACAACACAGTCCCTTTCTTTTAGCATCTGAAAGTTGGTTTGAACAATTTTAACTAGGAACAAAGGAAGCCACCTTTGTGGCAGCAATTTTCCAGGATTTCAGGCAGAGGGGCATTGCCAGGTCTACCTGGGGAGGCCAGAGGTTGAACCTGAGACTTCCTGGATAGAAAGCAAAATTTGGCGCCCTCCAGATTTTGCTGGGCTGCAACTCCCATCAGCACCAGCCTGTGTTTGACTGACTGAAGTTTCCAGCAAAGGGGGTGGGTGGGAAAGAGGAAGAAGCCAGCTCAAAATCCTTAGTCATACAATGTTGATGCTGTAAGAGCTGAAACACCCAACTGAAACACCTCTTCATTCATCTGCAAAATGGCTCTCACCTACACAAGCACATCGTAATTTGGGACAAGACACCTGGCAAAACAAGTCTCCAGACTTTAGGCATAGCTACATTATTATTTTTTTAGACTTATTTAACACACTTCTATCCTGCCTTTCTAGAAAACTATATTCAAAAGTGACTAGCTACACATCTGATACAGCAAAACAATCCAGTCTTAATCAGGCCATCTCCACAAAGCTGTTTGCTAAAATAATGTAATTGCACGGTCGGCACATTCACACATCCATTTGCGATGGAGAATCAGAGGTCTGGACGTGCTTTAAGCAACTTCCTTTCTCTACCACAGGTGTCCTGCATTTGTAAGAACCTGATTGTTAAGTGTGGTGGCAGCGCCTACACTTTGGAACTCCCTGCCTTTTGAGACCAAGCAGGTCTGCCTGCTTAAACATGTCTGTTGCACACATCTACTCAGATGCTTAGAAAGTTCAAGTAATTTTAATGTTTACGTTTTAAAGTAGGGTTGTAAATCTCTCTCGATTTTACCATTTTAACTTTTGTAAGCCACTTTGTGTGTTTTTTACAATCAAGTATATATTATGAAACAAATCATTCACCCCACTTCAGTGCCACAAGACTCAAACAGAATTTGGAACCCCACAGCCGATAAATGGGGTAAATGCATATCATCTAAAGCACACTCCCATGTCCTCTGCTGACAAGGGAAAAATGAATTCTCTGAAGTGAATTTTAAAGACATCAAGTTAACCTTCCATTTATCGTAACTGTTAAGGAAAGTAGCTTGCTTTGTTCCGTTCTGCACCGGAATTGTCCTAGCTCTATGCTGCATTTATTTTGTTTAAAAACAAGTAGACACAATAAAGTTACATGTCTGGCTTGCTTAACCAAAATATTCTTTAGCAGCTGTTGAAAACAGTGAAGGGAAAGTGCCTCATACTGATAGGTAATTTCTTGTACTTCAGTAATGCTGCAGCTTGTAAAGTGTTTTAATTCCTGCCTCTAGTTAACTAATGTATACCAGAGTCCAAACTGGGAATTTTTACAAACCCCTGTAAAGATAATGCCACGGAAATTAAACTTTTTTGGAGTTTTTTAAACCAAGGCCGTTGTTGTCTTTGTGCTGTATCCTGCCTTCCTATGGAAGAGAGGTTTACAAATACTTTAAAACAATCAATCCATGAATCCGATCTCCCAGAACAACTCCAATGCCCAGATGAGCCATTTAGCCTATTCTACATTAATGAAATTTCTGCAGGTAGAGGAGCTCGAGATGTGCATAAACCCTTGTACCTGAGCTAGATGGACCATGGGTCCCACTCAGAATAAAGCATCTTCCTTTGTTCCAATGTAATTTCCCCATGTCATCCCCCTTAGGCTATTTTTTAAAAGGACATCAATTTGATCTGGCCAACACAGAATTCAAGAGCCTCAAAGTGTCAGCAATAACTTCTCGTTTGCGTATTTAAGAGACCTCTACAGATGTTTCTTACCCATTACACAATTCCTAACTTCTCCCCATCCCCCGTATCTGAATACTTGCCACCTTTTGTGGGAGGTGGGGGGAGGAAGACGAGGAGCAAGCACAAATTAATTATAAGAAACTTAAGGAGACTTACCGTTGCCAGGCGGGGGGCTCATGTTCATTTGTTTCTCAACTTCGTTCTGCAGCTCTTTTAGCTTCTCTGCTTCCTCCTCCATCTCTCGCACTCGAGCTTTAATGGCTTCCAACTCCTGAGAGTGGGAAGAATGGGCAAGGGAAAGTAGGGGGCAAATTAAGAAACATTCTTGCAGTTCTTAAGAGCTCACACCAACTGAGACTCCCTTCTCTTCTTCCACTTCTTTAATGCCACTGATTACTAGTACTTCTCAAGGTTACTGCTGTAAGACATTCTACAGTTATCTACTCCCATCCACTTGTTTATGCCAAGACAGCACTGCCGGCATTTGCTTCATCTGATCTCTCCCTGAAAGAGCTGTCTTTCCCACGGTTTTAGCTGTTTTCCCACTCTGCCTCTGCTCTTTCCAATCTTACTGTCGCCACCCACTACGCAGCGCCTTAGCTCTGCCCACTTTTTTGCTTCTACAAATCAGTGTCAAAGGTATAATCTGCATCCAATTGCCACACGGCAACCCCAGACTCCATTTTTACACTATAATGAACTTCTCATCTGCCCAAGTCAGCAGGTACAAATTAAAACTGCTTCTGCACTATCACTGAGCATCCCATATTAATAGTTTTGAATGTACCTTCCAGTACATTTTTTGGCCACCATCCCCCATTAAAGAACCCCCTCCCCGAAGCCACTCTCTCTCCTTAGGAAGCAGTGAGCCAGGACCAGAGATGGACCAGGGTTTGAATCCCCCACTCAGTGCATGACCTTGGGTCTACTCACTGCCTCTCGGCCTAATTCTACCTCATGGGGTTGTTGTGGGAACTATAGGGGGTTCTTTTGGGGGCGACCACATACACCCTCTTAAGTTCCTTGGAGAAGAAGGTGGGATATAAACGCAAAATAAGCAGCCAAGTGTGCCGTATATGCAATTTCTGAATAATCATTTCTTTCCAACTGTTCCCAGTAAAGTATATATAAAGTAAGAGACTCAATCTCATGGTTGTGGGTTCGAGCCCCACACTGCGCTAAGGATTCATGCATTGGAGGGGGTTGGACTAGATCATGGGTGGGCAAACTAAGGCCCAGCGGCCAGATGAAGCCAATCGCCTTCTAAAATTTGGCCTATGGATGGTCCGGGAATCAGCGTGTTTTTACATGAGTAAAATGTATCCTTTTATTTAAAATGCATCTCTGGGTTATTTGTGGGGCCTGCCAGGTGTTTTTACATGAGTAGAATGTGTGATTTTATTTAAAATGCATCTCTGGGTTATTTGTGGGGCATAGGAATTGGTTCATTATTTTTTTCCAAATATAGCCCGGCCCCCCACAAGGTCTGAAGGACAGTGGACCGGCCCCCTGCTGAAAACGTTTGCTGACCCCTGGACTTGATGACCCTCGTGGTCCTTTTCAACACCACAATTCTATTATTCTACACACACGTTACCTCCTCATCCACCACACGTTACTCATCCTCATCCATTGTACTTTTAAGCCAGTGCGGTACAATGGTTAGACTAAGGTCGAACTATGTGATCTGGGAGACAAGGGTTCGAATTCCCACTCAGCCAGGAAGCTCACTGGGCGACCTCGGGCCAGTTAACCCCTCTCCTCTCCTACCCTACCTCACAGGGTGGCTGCGAGGATGAGATGGGGATGGGGAGAGCCACGTGCGCCACCTTGAGCTCCTTTGGGAGAGAAAGGCTGGATATGTATGCGGCAAATAAATAAGCCACGCCTCGCGACACTCCTGCGAGGTAGGCTACGCTGAAAGAGAGACGGGTGGGGGGCCCGCAAAGATCGAGCCTCGGGCTTGGCCGGGCCCTCTCTCCTCCGCGCCCCGGGGGCCACTCACCGGGTCTTCGATGGCGGAGTCTCCGGGGTCGCTCTCTCCCAGGCCGGCCTCCTCCTCCAGCTCTTCGGAGTGAGGGTGGTGGTGGGGCCCCCCCACTCCCGCCTGGCCGGCCCTGGAGGGCGCGTGGGAGGAAGAGGAGGAGGAGGAGGAAAGGGCGCCCCGCGGGCCGGAGCCTCGGATCCCGCCGCCGCCGCCGCCGCCCGCGGCCCCTCCGCCCGTCGCGGCCTCGAGGAGCAGCCCCTCCTCCTCCTCCTCCTCCAACTCGCGGAGCCCCCCGCCCTGCTCCCCCCCGGGTCCGCTCCCCCCCAGCCCGTTCCCGTACTGGGAGGAAGGCGGGCCCCCAACCAGCCCCCCGCCGGGCTCCCCTTCGCCCCCCAAGGCCGCCGCGGCCCCTCGCCCGCCGCCGACGCTGCTCGGGCCCCGCACGGACGCCATAGACCCCGCCGCAGCCGCCTGCCGCACTAGCCGCCCGCCGACGCGCTCTGATTGGCTGGCCGCCCGTCGACGCGCTCATTGGCTCGCCCAGAGGCCAGGCGCCCTCCTGCCATTGGTCCGCGGGGCAGCCCGCCGTCTCGCGAACGCAGGCTCTGCAGGCATTGGCTCGGGAACGCCGCCGCTCGAAAGGTTTCGATCGGCGATTGGATCGGAGCTGGGAAAGGGTTGGTGGGGTTTCCCCCCGACTTTTGCAATGTGGATTAGTGATTGGTCCGGGAGCGTCTTGCGCCCGCCTTAGACGCGTTTCTGTATGATTGGGTGGCTTCGCGAAGTTTCCCGCCCGCCTGCCCGATTTGCCCCCGTCGCGAAGTTGAATTGGAGAGCAAGCACGCCAATCAAAACGTACAGGGAAATGATTTATCAGAGCGCTGAAGGGCCAAATCGGAGTGTTCTCATTGGGGCAGGCAAACTATCATAGTCCGCCTTCTCCGCGGCTAACGCTATGCTTCCATCAATCGGACCGTAGTACATTATTGGTTAGCAACAGAGAAATAACGATTGCTTTTTCATTTTCGACCCGCCTCACGTGATTATTGGGTGAGATGCCTGTCTATTACATACATTCGTATTTTCATTGGGTCTGAAACCATTGGCTAGAGTTGTGCCAGTCATATCTAGAGTAGCTCTCCTATTGGCCAAGGAGGGATTCCTCAGGTTCTACTGTAAGTGGTAGAACGCCGCTTTGGTCCAGGCCGCCGCTTTGAAGCTGCAGTTTCTGATTGGCTAATGGCGCCAACGTCTCTGTAGCTACTGGAAAAGCCGTTTAACGGCCTTCCGTGCTTCCTACAAGTCTTCCCAGGGGGGACCTGCGTTATATACAATGTTATCGATAGTAGCAGTAATATGAAAACATACAATCAAATGTAGGATAAAACAGTTTTAAGTACTGTAAATAAAAAATCATTTCACTATCGAAAACTCCACAAGTAGAATATACACTAAAACCTTTAAATTAAAAGCCAGGGAAAACTTTCTTCAAAACTTGGAACTAATGAAGCCTGTTGTATTTCTCTCAGAAAGGAATTGCAGGAGACTGGAGCCACCACTGAAAAGGCCCTGTTTCCCAAGGCTGCTGCAGTTGGACTGTTATTTCCTTCAAAATACTCATTTTACATTCTTAAATGACTTCCATTCTTCTCTTTCCATGGTTCATTTTACATATCATAAATCCCTGCATATTTTACAAAAACTATACCATTCAGTATTCCATTATTGAATCCATCAAAAATTATTTACATTGTTGAATTTATCTTAATGCTGTCAGCGTTTTCAGATCTTTATATTTGCCGTTTGATGCCACAAGATGTTGGGGTGGCGCTTGACTAAGGCAGATTTAAAGGGAGGTTAGACAAACTGAACAAGGTGTAGAGGCCTATCAGCAGCTTTTTGGTCATGACAGCTGAAGGCAAAACTCCATTATCAGGGTGAGCAGGCTACAACCACCCTTTTCTGCGTCTCTGCTAGCAAACCATCTTGTCTGGATTATTTTTCTGATGGGCTCTTTCAAATTTTGGGTCAATCAGATATTTAAATTCTAAGCAGACTGCTAGTGTTACTTGCAGCAAAACGAGGCAGGCAGGAGAGGTTTTCTGCTTTGCGGGCAGAAAGTCGTGTCTGGCTGAAAGGATTCCAGGTGAAGGGAAAGACTCTCTGCCTTAAACTCTAGAGACTTGCTGTCTCTCACTTTTGGACTATATAGGCCATATGGCGGCTTCCTATCTTTAGAGGATTGCTGAGCTGGCAACACTTTGCAGAATTACTTGGGAGTATATTGCATCAAAATGAGATTTTAAAATTAAAGTGGGATTTTCTTCTGAGTAAACATGCATAGGGATGTTTCCAAATTTACAAGTACGGGGAAATCTCTTATTTATAAGCAAGAGACATTAAGTTCATCTGCTGAATAACAAGCGTCTCTCTTGTCTGCTGTCTACTTGCCAGTCTGTTCAACCACCAGAAGAAGCTCAGAATTCTAGTCCATCTGAAAATAAGGAGACAGATTATTATTGTTATTTGTTGAAGTTGTTAGTCGCTTTATCTTGCCCAGAGCAACGCACAGTGACTTACAACCAGCCAACTGGATAAAAAACACCACATAGATGCATGCAGCTCAAGGATGTTGTGGCAAATGTCAGACCAGAGGCGTAGCAGGGGGGCTGGGGGGGGTCATCACTCTGGATACAGTTTGGGGGGACAGGACGTTGTGCGTCCTCGCTCATGCCGCCCTGTGAGCCCAGTGCTGTTCTTGTGATTCTCGCAAAGTGACACCGGGTTCACAGTGTGCCATGAATGCGTCTTTCTTTGTTAACATTTTCACATTATTATTTTCTTTTTCTGTGCTCTCACCACTCCTGGCGCTCATTCTAATTGGAACTGGAAGTCAGCAGATCATGGTGGACTTTGGGGTTGGGGCTGCATTTCTGTTGTGTTTTTTAAATATTTCTTTAACCACGACATTCACCTGCTCCTTGGTTCTTTGAGACTACTGCTTAATGGATCCCGTCGCTCGGAATTAATCCCCAAAGACACTGAATTGTCTGTCAGTGGACCTGTGGGCTGTCCCCAGCTATGGAGAGGTAACTGGTAATGAAACACCTTTCGGCAAGTGATAAAGGCAAGTGAAAAAGGCACAACATGGAAATGTGTGCCCGATCATTTCCTAGGACCTTGCAAAGGTATATGTCGGCCTTCAGCCACCAGGTGCCCTCCAGATATTGTTGGATTACGACTCCCATCAACACCTGCCGACACAGCCATATTGGCACAGCCTGATGGGAGTTGTAATCCATTGTAACTCCTTTGCCTAGTGAGCAAAGGCAGTCCCAGAGAAATGGTGCACAGTGTAAAAAGCCAAACTTCATAGGTATAAGAGACAGATGGATTGTTTTAGGTGTTTTAGGTGCAAAACAAACATTGGCTGTTTGCGTGTGTCTGCAAGGATTGCATTAGCGTTCGGGCCTGAGACAAACCAAGCTCAATTTCCTATGACCTTGGGAAATGAGGCAGGTTGAGCAGAGGGACAGAGCAGCTGCAATAAAAATAAGATGAGGAGGATGTCATTGAACTCACCCTGCTCCCAAGAGAGAGAGAAGGCTACGTATTTGTAGAGCTGTCCGTAACCATTTCTGTACCTTCATTAGATTCAGGGAGGTGGCGTGATGTGGTTGCCTGTTTTCTGAAGCTGATCTGAGGTGGCTGTCAGTGGAAAGAAAAGGTGTGATTCTATCAATTTAGGGAAGGGAGAGAGAACAGGCTCCTTCCTTCGCAATAAAAGTAGTATAGTAAACATCATGTAACCCCTTTTGTGCTTTGTGGTGAGAGGAGGCAGGAGGGGATGTTAAGGAGAGGAGGACAGAAAGCTTTAGGCTTGCTCCATTATTCATGACCGGATGCCTGCAGTTTCATGTACAGAGACGCTCTCAGGCACCTGGTTAACGCGGCATGAAGCCAAAGGAGCAGCTCCATCTCAGTTAACAGCTTCATTTCTGCCCCCCAAAACAGCCTCCCCAGTTCTACTGGTGTCCCTTGTTGCCAGCTTGAAGCCCCCCACCCCACCCAAACACACACATTTCCCATATCTGAGCTCCGACTGCCAAATCTGCCCCCAATTTTGAATCCCACCCCACTTTTCCTGATCTTTGTGGGGCTTTCTTGCTCTTGCATAATCCATTAGTTCCATTTTCTCTTCTGAATAATTCATCTCCCAAAGAAACATTTCTGGGCACGTATACTTTTTTAAGGTACATCTTGTCTCTGGAACCTAGAGGGGCAAGGTGTGAGGGAGAGGGAGCCCTTTTCCTAGCAGTAATAAAACCTTTTTGGGTCTGGAAGCAAAGATCTTCTCCTTCCCACCAGCCCAAGCCTCCCATTCTTGACTGAGTGAGTTGTGCCTGTTTGCATTCCGTGGAGAGATCTACTCTGGAGTACCGGACCTTCAGATTCTGGATGGGCAGGCAGTTTTCAAGGAGCTGCAGCTCTGAGGATTATGGTAATCTCTGAGTCACCTTTAGCTGGACCACACTGAATAAAAAGCTAGAGAGACTGAAAACTCTCCAGGAAGCAAAAATATTTAACAGCATCTTCCAGAGAGAGAGAGAGAGAGTCCGGGAATTTCTGGAGTGGGACAGCGTGGAAGTGAAGCGATGGACAGATAGAAGAAGGAAGAAGCAGCGAGGGAAATATACCTTGATACAGACACATATAAAATTTTAAATATACACAGAGAGTATCAGAGATCAAGTAGAGTGAAAAGAGACAGGAGAGAGCAGACAGACGACCTGACCGACTTGACTCCTCAAAGGCAGACGAGAGTGACAGTGTCCTTGGGAAGGAGAAGGCAAAGTCACACAGTTGAATCAACAGAAAGAGACAGAGCACGGATGGAATAATAAAACACAGAGCATCTCCAAAAGGAACAGTGACAAAGCAAAAGAATGAGGTAGAACGAGAGAGAGAGAAAGTCTTCAGAAGGAAGAGCAGCGGAATACACTGAAAAATGGAAAGGCAGAGCGAAAACACCAGACCAGATGGAGGGAGGGAGGGAGAGCAGAAGATGATGGAGTGGTAATAAATGAAGAAGTGACCCACAGACAGACCGAGAGCCCTGCAGACAACCGGAAGCATGGCAAAGAGACTCTAGCAGGAGAAATCAGAGGAGGTAACATGCTGAGGGAGAACCAGAGCGCTGAAGAAGACTGAGAGGCAGGGCGGTGGACAACACGGCTGCAAAGGAACATCTTTCCTCCCAAACGTGCAATAAGGCAGTCCGTCCGAAACAGAGCAACAGTGGAGGAAGGTCCGGCGAAGGGCGTGAAGAACTGGGTTGCCACCACACACTCCCAAAAAGTGATTCTTGGGCCTGAGCTGCGTAGAAGAGCCAAGCCTTGGGGTCTGCAGCTTTGCCCCCATGGCTCGTGCCCCACCGTCACCTCTGACCCCTAGCAACATCCCGCGGAACCTGAGCTACATCGCAGGCCTGTACGAGCGAGCCTACTACCGCACCGCCCGGCCGAGCATAGCAGAGGACTCGGGGACCGAGGGCTCCGAATCCGAGTCGGAGAGCAGGCCCCGGAGCAGGCCCCGGAGGCGACGCCACGTCTTCGGAGGGCACAAGCGGAAAGGAAGGCGCCGGACTCGCTCGGCCCCTGCCCGGGGCAGAAGTCGGGGGGCCTCGCGCAGCCGCAGCCCCGGGACACGCAAGAGGGTTCGCTTTGCCGATTCCCTGGGCCTGGAGCTCACCAGCGTCCGCCAGTTCTGGCCCAACGACCTCCCAGAGGTGCCGGAGCGTGTCCATGCCCAGCTGAGGCGCGACTCACTCAGCCACTTTGCCCCGTGCCTGCCTTTTTGCCCACCTGTGAAGGTAATGGGGGGTTAGCCAGCCTAGTGGTGGGATGAATTTTGGGGCAGAATGGGAAGTGGCAGAAAGGTGGGAGGGAAGGAAATCAATAATAGATTTCCCTTCAGCATCTCCTTTCTGAGGGCAAAGGAAGCATTAAATCCATGGAGAATAATAATTCCTACTCTTTACCCCCCACAAGGGCCTTAAAGGGCCAGATAACCAGCATTGAACTGGTCCAAAATGCATCATATTTGTGTCAAGTAGAAATGGAAGATGTAGCTTTTTCAGATAAGGGCTATAGCCCAGGGGTAGAACATCTGTGTTGCATGCACAAGGTCCCAGGTTCAAACCCTGGCATCTCCCAGATAGGGCTGGGAGTGTCCCCTGCTGCTGCTGCTGCTGCCAGTCAGTGCAGACAATACCAAGTGAGGTGGACCAGAGGTCTGACTCAGTAGAAAGCAGCTTCCCATATTCCCATGTGCAATGCCGCTTTTGGCCAGGGGGGGAAGCTGGTGCCATCCAGAGGCTGTGAGACATCAGCTTCAAAACAGACAGCTAGGTCTAAATGAATTGTGCTCTGTATTTACTTGCTGCAAGTTTTGATCCTGTTGCCTGGGGCTGATGGGAGTTGTAACGACTAGGGAAGGCAGCACACGGGCTGCCCTAGCTGGCAGTGGCTCTCCGGGTTCCAAGCAGAGGGCATTTCCATCCTTTCCTGAGGAGTTGCCACTTGGGATTGAACTTGGACCTCCTGCATGCAAAGTAGATGCTATGGCCCTGAGCTGTGACCCTTGTCCCAAGATAAGCGTCCATGGGATTGCAGCCTTCGCTTCTTACCATGAAGTCACATGTCATTAACCTGTAGTAACCTATATCCACGTCTCTGGGTCTTTGCAGGAGTCCTGTAAATAGGTAAGAAAAGGTAACTGACTAGTATATTTTTTCAGTGTTAAAGTGAACTCCTGCATTGATTTCTGTGTTGCAGGGGGTTGGACTAGATGACCCGTAGGGTCCCTTCTAATTCTACAATTCTATGCTTCTATGGTTGCTGAGAGAGGGGTGTTGTAAACATGCAAGCCTCTCCGCCATCATTCCCACTCCCTGCCTGCCTTCCTACTTTACAAAGCAACGCTCTGAAGCACAGATCCTTTCATATCCACAGAGATTCCCCATGCATTTTCAAATTTGGCATAACAGGAGGTTCTTAAAACGTGTCAAGAGGCCTCCATAGATACAGGTGTCTCCTTCTTTCAGCCAGTCACCTTCCAAGAGTTAGGAGGCAGAAACAGCGATGGGGCATGGATACTAATCCACATTGCCCCTCTCTTTGCGTTTACATTTCCCTCTTCATAACCCCAGAAGAGGCCTTAGATCTATTATGGCTATACAAAAGGCATGGATCCAAAATATGCCTTGAAAGGTTGTTTCCGCAGTTTCCAGGTGGAGCTAACCTACAAGGCTTCGGAGGCATTCAGAATATCCCATTCTGTCCACCTTTGGGCAGTTAAAGTCTTTCACAGTTCGCCTTAAGCTTTCCCCCCTGAGCATCTCTTGAGATGGCCCCAAAATCTCCAGGGATGGTGGTTGTGCAAGGAGCTGGGAGGGGATATAAGATCTCCTCACCCTTGGCAGGCTGAGGGGATCCCTCCGTCTCCAAAGAGAGTCCTCAGGTTTAAAGAAAGGCCCTTCCTCCCATTCTGAGCCCACGCAGTCATGCCAACACAAAAAAGGTTCTTCTGTTAGGCCCCCAGCCCTCACTAGTCTGATCGTAGGGCCTTTATATAAAGGCAGCCTTGCCTTCGCCAACCAGGTGCCCTCCAGACATTTTGGACCATAACTCTGTGGCTGGCTGCCGTTGATGGGAGTTGTGGTCCAAAGTGGCTGTGCTTGCTTGGGCTGGTGAGAGTTTTGCTGGCTGCATTAGGGATGACTCCATAACGACTGCATTCCAGCCAAAGGAATTAACAGAGATGGGCTGGTGGTGCTGGGAAAAGGGTTTTTTAAATGTTGTCCGGAGACCAGAAGTCTCTCTTCTCTTTCCTGAAAGTGACTCTCAAATGGCACTCAGGATCCATCAACACCTCCCTTGCTTTCCACCCTGCCTGACTCCTCGCTTTCTAGCTCATCCTCCTCCCGCCCTTCCCTTCTCCACACGCTGCCATCTTGGATCTCCAGTCTCTTCTCTTCTTCACCTTGTCCCATCCCTTCATCTCCCCCCTGACTTCTTTTCTTTTCCCTGTGTGACTTGTACATTTAAGGCACATTCAAAGCACATTCTTTTCCCCTCAAAGAATTCTGGGCACTGGAGTTTGTTAAGGGTCGCTGGGAATTGTAACTCTTGTGAGGGGTCGACTACAGTGCTCAGAATCCTTTGAGGGGAAAAGAATGTGCTTTGAAGGGCCACATCCACACTATACATTTAAAGCGTTATTGTACCACTTGAAACAGTCATCGCTTCCCCCAAAGAATTCTGGGAGCTACCGTTCCTGGGGAATTACCCTCCATGAGGGTAATAGGGGCTGCCAAACAACTCTCAACACACTTAACAAACTACAGTTCCCAGGATTCTTTGGGGGAAGCCATGACTGTTTAAAGAGGTTTCAGAGTGTTCTAAATGTATGGTGCAAATGTGGCCATAGTGTATATTTAGCCCTCGCTCCTCTTTCTCTTTCTCATCCTCTTCCTCCCTCTCCCGCTCTTATTTTCCTCCTGTTCTTTTTCTGCTGGCCAGCCAGTATCTTTATCTTTCATCTTTATTGCCCCTTTCCCTCACCTCCCATGCATTGACTTTCCTTCTTGGTCCTCCTGAACTGATTCCAGAACTCCTCTCCTCTTTATTTACTTGGTCACATGCTTATTATATCCCATTTTTCCTTCAAGGTGGTGTACGCAGTTCTCTTTCCAATTTTATCCTCATGACAACTGGGTGAAGAAGGTTACCGTAATCTGAGAGACAAAGACTGACGCAGGCCTGCCTTGAGAGCTTCCTGGCCTACTGAGGATTTGAACCCGGGTCTCCCAGGTCCAAGTCCCACATTCAAACCACTTTACCACATGGACACATACTGTTTCCTGCCAGCCTTTAGTCTCTTTCTGCCTGCGTTCTCTAGAATTCCTTCTGTTTTCTTTTCACTTGTTTAAATTTATATAGTCATATCCTGTATAATGTATTGGTTTTCCCTTTCTGTCTTATTTAGTCTTTTCTTTCTAAATTCTCATGGTTTGTTCCCACTCACCATTTCCCCCCTACCCTCTATTTTAATACCTTCCTATTCATTTTTCTTCATCATCCACAAATTTCTTCAGTCATTCTGTCTTTATTGTCCCTTTATCCCCTCTGTTTTGCCCCTAACACCCAAATAGTCCTTCATGTGCTCCATTTTCTAATTAGGAACATAGGGAGATGCCTTATTATACTGAGTCAGACCGATTGGTCCATCTTATATCTTGTCAACACTGACTGGTGGTGGCTGGCCAAGGTTTCAGATCTTTCCTAGACCAACGTGGAAATGCCAGGAAATAATAATAATATTATAATAATAATTTATTTTTATACCTCGCCCATCTAGCTGGGTTTCCCCAGCCACTCAGGGTGGCTCCCAACAGAATATTAAAAACATGATAAAACATCAAACATTAAAAACTTCCCTAAAATTGAACCTTTGACCTTCTTCTTAAATAAAATTTTATTAAAACTTTTTCATAATGCAATATGATCAAAGAAATTAATCTAAAGAAAAACAAGGTGAGGGGGGGGAAATGAAAAAACCAAAGGAAAAGAAAAAAAGAAGAAACAAAATAAAAGAGAAGAAATTAAAAGGACTTCCAATTTTCCGTCTGTCAGTTTCATAAAAGAAATTAGTCAAAATATTCGCTCTAGCATGACATCCAACTGATCTTCTTTCTGTTAGGCAATATTTTCCCAATCTTCCACCCCAAATGTCTCCGATTCATTTTCTTTTTTACACAAAAACTCCAAAAGGGGTTCTCTGATTATTATCATTAACAATAATAAATTTCATCAATGGTTTTTCTCTAATCAAACATATCAACTTTGCAACCTGTGACCTGCCTCTGAGCCATGGCCCTTCCAAAATTCTCACTCCCCTCTTCCTTTTGTCTCTCCAGGATCCTTTGAGTCTTCGATACCTGCTGGAGCCCACCTTCCCAGACCCCCTGTCCATGCCAGATTTCTTACCGCGCCTCCTGGCGCAGTGCGTTCTCCTCGAAGGAGCCCGGGCCGAAGGCTCCTGTGTATCCGGCACCATCCGGGTCCTCAACTTAGCCTATGAAAAACGGGTCTCCGTGAGATACACCTGGGATTCTTGGGCTACGCAACACGAAGTTCGGGCATCCTACGCCGCTCCTGCAGGCCGGGATCGGGACCACGCCGACCGCTTTGCCTTTCGCCTTCCGCTGCTCACCCCGCTGGTCCCTGGGGTTGTCCTAGAGTTTGCCATTTGCTACCTTGTGGGGGCAGAAGAGTTCTGGGACAACAACCAAGGCCGCAACTATTGCTTGAGGCCTCCACCCTGTGTGGATGAGGAGGATGAGCCCCCCAGCCCCACTGCCGATTGCTGTGAGACAGGGTGGATACACTTCCTCTAAGGGAACATAGAGCCATCCCAATAAGATAGGAGGAAGGGCAGGAACCAAAGGACAGAACAGAGCAGAAGGGGGGACTTGCCAAATGTCTCTGTTAGGGGGGTGCTGTTGGGTACTTGCACTGAGCCCTAAGAATAGGGCGGGTGGCAACTATCAGTATGCTAGAGGCCTCATGCAACGATTGGGAATTCAAAGAAACCCAAAAGATCAGTGCAATTGTGCAATCAGTGGTTAAAATCAGTTTTGAAAGTCCGCCATCTTGATTCAAAATGGCACCCAACGGTATCAAAACATAGGCCAAAAACGGCTCATTGATCTCAGGAACAATCATACAAAATGCGGTAAAATTCAGCACATTCTTGGAAGGTTCCGTCCGCCATCTGGATTCAAAATGGCATCCCACTGTATCAAAATATAGACAGAAACCTGCTTCTTGATCTCAAGAGCCATTATGCAAATTTCAGTTACTTTTTCTTAAGAAGCATCCAAATGCATAGCAAACAACTTTCCTATATATTATACATATAGCAGATGTATGCAAAGGTTTGAGGTAGATGATTTGGGTTTGCTCCCAGGCTCCCAGCATGACATTCTGCAAGTCTGCTATGGAGTTTCTACCCGAGTGATATCTGACGAATCCAAAAATCAGTCTCTGAAGTAGGGCAGTAACGTTCACCACATACTCTGTTTCCCACAATATACTAACTTGCTATCTAGCTGTGTGTGCTTTCACCAATCTAAGCAAATATCGAGTGAGAAATATTGAGAAAAGGTCAGGCAAATCAGCCCTTTGTTCTCATTTTACAGTTAGGGAACAGGACGTCCTAAGGGAGTGACTTGAATCTGTTGTAAGCTAGGATTCGAACTCAAGACTCCCACCCAGTAATCTAGCATTGTTCGGCTGGGGGCTCTCTGAGACTGAACAACATCCGCATAAAGTGGCTAGCCTTCAAAGTACCATCCCCACCCCATATAACTTGTATGTTGCTAAGCAACATATGTGCATCTTGAGGATCATCAAGAGATCCCTTCCCTTTGTTGGGGTCTCACTGGTGCCTTTACATGAGAATTGAGCAAGTGTAAGCTAAATACACATACGTGAGGGAGAGAAGGAAGAAATTCTGGCCTAGGAGTAAGGTGAAAAAGACTGAACTCTGGTGAAACAAAAGATGGACAAGATCCACTGCTATATATCGTGGAGGTGGATCTCCTCAGCGTCCGTCACCAGATTCTGGGTGGCACTAAGAACAATGAGTTTTCATCCTGAGGACTTGTTCACACATGCTAATTCCACCCGCATCTCCCTGCATGAATAGACGGGAAATGTGGAATGTATGAATGTTTACATGTAATTGTATTGCTGTTCTCTCAACTTGAGTGTTCTGAACTGGTTCCTTGCGCATGTTTCATTATGTCGTTGTGAGATCACTTCACTGATCAAGCAGAGAGTAGCTGCCTGATCTGTGTGTTTAAGTGGGGGATGGGATGGTAATGAACACTTGCGCCAAATTCATTATCTTCATGTTGCAAAAAAAAGTCTTGTGTAGAAGCAGCACTATCCAAAATGGTGTCCAGGGCAGTTTACAGTGGTGTCATCTGGTATCAGGTATCATCCATGCTTTGGTTGAAATGCAAAGGGAGTAAGCCTTAATGAAAAAATGTGTGAAATTTCTAAATTTCCATGACCCACAAGACCCCTAACAACTGAAGTCTCCATAATAGTGTTTCTCAAAGTTCTGATGAATTTATTCTCTTACAATTGAAAGCATTCTTCACTCTTGCACCTGAAAATATTTATTTTAATGTGTGCAAAAATAGTCCATTCTCTGCGTGACTCGGTCATTGTTCTAGGTGCGTTCTTGGTGCCTACTAGCAGTTCAAACCATCCTTTCATGAGCAAAGCAGTGCAGCTGTGTATAACAAGAACGTACAACAAAAAACTACAATAAAATATGAAAACATCGTAAAACACAAAACCAAAAGACCAACAATTAGCGGAATTAAGTCTCTGAAAATGTTTGACAAAACAAATGTTTTCAGTATTGAGAGAACATCAGAATTGTAGGTGCCTGTCTAATTGCTATAGGAGCAATGCTCTAAAATACCAGTGCCACTACACTGAAAGCCTTGGCCTAATCCAGTCCTTATGATGTACTACTGCTCTTGGTTCAAGTAGAAGCGAAATGAACATGCGGCACATGTCAGGCAGGTAGTCTTCTCTAGAAAATTGCAGTGATATGGCTGGTGTTTAAGGGAAAAGGCAGACCTCCAGTTATTAATGGGAAGAAATAACTGATAACCTCTTTATATCATACTAATGAGGAGTGCCTGGCACTGCTTGGGAATGTGTAGAAACCCAAAAATATTGTGACTTTCAAATAGCTAGTGCAACTTGTGAGTTTGGGCCCATCACACCAAAAATCAGGCAAAGTCACACCAAAGTCATGTTCTACTTCACTATCTTGATTTGAAGTGGTGACTGGCATCCAAATATCGATGAAGGCTGCTGGAGCCTTCATGAGAAGTTTGGTGATAATGTCTCAAGTAGTATCCGAACCCATAGAAAACAGACAATCCATTTTCCAAAATATAGATTGGTTTGGCATCATTTTTTCCACCATAGTGTAACGATTGGGAAAAGCCAGCTACCTAAAATCACCTCTAATTACTGGGGGCCATCTGCTCCCTAGTCCAACCCAGGCAGAAGATTCTAGGGCAAATGGACTGTTTGTCTGGACCACAGAGGGAAGACGCTAGGCTTGGGCAGAAATTGGATCAGTGATGTGTGCTTTTGGTGTGTTCCATAATGTAACAATGAAATGGCACCAGTGAACCAAAGTTTACATTAATGTTTGTAACTGACCAAAACAAGCAATTGGACTGAAAAACCAAAGAAATAAAACAGTGAAAAAGACTGTGAAAAGTCTCGGACTCACGTTATATTTGCATACCTCTAAAGATCTAAGAGGGACGTGGGTGGCACTGTGGGTTAAACCACAGAGCCTAGGGCTTGCCAATCAGAAGGTTGGCGGTTCGAATCCCCGCGACGGGGTGAGCTCCCGTTGCTCGGTCCCAGCTCCTGCCAACCTAGCAGATCGAAAGCACGTCAACGTGCAAGTAGATAAATAGGTACCGCTCCGGCAGGAAGGTAAACGGTGTTTCTGTGCGCTGCTCTGGTTCGCCAGAAGCGGCTTAGTCATGCTGCCACATGACCCAGAAGCTGTATGCCGGCTCCCTCGGCCAATAAAGCAAGATGAGCGGCGCAACCCCAGAGTCGGCCACGACTGGACCTAATGGTCAGGGGTCCCTTTACCTTTAAGTATCTAAGACGAGCCTACTGGATCAGGGCAGTAACCTCTTTTGTCGAGCATCTTATTCTCATAGTGGCAACCAGATGCCTGTGGGAAGCCTGTAAGCAGGATCTGAGCACAAGAGTATTCTCATTTGCAATTCCCAGCAACGGGTATTCAGAGCATGGTATATGGGGTGTTAGGGGAGGGGTAGTACCTCTGGGGGAGGGACACATCATGCTTCTGGGGTAGTTTGTCCAGCTTTGGTCTCCGCCCTGCACTCAGCTTTCACCTCTGGCTCCTGGAAGCTGCCTGCATGCAACAGCGGCTGCACCCCAGGAATGGCTTCTAGTGGCAGGCTAAGGCAGGAGGGGGTGATTGATGGGTGTCAAACCCTCAGTGAGTTAGGGACTTCCTCTGCGTGCAAATACAGGCTCTGGCAGATCGAGCAGGAAAGATCAATAGTCCAATGGTCAATAATGCAGTTTGCAAAATGCTACAGAGGGAAGTGAGGGGCAGATGGGGCTCGTCAACCTGGGAAGGGAGCCCACCTTAGAGAAGGAAAACCCTGATCCTAAACCTCTGCTGCCTTGTGGGATATCTTTGGGAGAAGAAATGCCTCGGGAGCAAACCCTACAGAAAGGCTGAGAACACACCATGCATTTAAAGCACACGAATTCCTCCCTAACAATCCTGGGAACTGTAGTTCACCGCTCACAGAGCTACAGTTCCCAGAAAGCTTAACAAACCACCGCCTGCTGCCACGCTGCTTTTATTCTTTCATTTCTTCTGCAGCCTTGAAAAAAGAACAAAAGGATTGCTCTTTGGTCCTCTGGAGGGGCGAGAGAGTTGGAAGAGTTGGGTGCAAGCCCAAATCAATGGCTGGCTGTCTCCCCCACCCTCTCCTTCTCCTTTTCTTTCTTTCTTTCTTTCTTTCTTTCTTTCTTTCTTTCTTTCTTTCTTTCTTTCTCTCTCCCTCCCTCCTATCCCTTCCCTCCTCCATCTCCCCTTCTCCCAACCCCTCTCAGCCCTCCCTTCTTCCAGATCCCTCCTCCTTTTCCTACCAGACAGAGACTGAGAGAGGGGGGCGACTGTGGTCCGGACCCCCTCAAAAAAAAAGCCCTACTTCGATCGCAGACTTCACCCCCCTCTCCGGGTAAGTCGATCGACACTTAACTAAGTTTTCTTCTTCGTCGCGTCGTCTTGGTTGCATGCGGGAGGGGGCGAGCACTTTCCCCAACTCTTAGCCATCACTATGCGCCCCCACGCCGTCCAAAAAAAAGGCCTGGAAATATGGGGAGGGGGTCGAGAGAGAGTCCTTGGCCGCGGGCTACGTCCATACCTTGAATGGGGGACAGCGGTCCGGCATCTTTGTAATTCCTCCTGTTACTACTCAGTTTTATTTATGATTTACTTGAGGGGGCGAAGAGTGTTAGCTACTTTAGCCCATGATATGCAATCCCCAAGATGCTTTTATAATGTACTAGTTTAACTTGGTATGAAATGTACTAGTACTAGTTTAATTGGTATGGAAGCTCATACCAATAACTTAGTTGGTTAATTCATACCAATTGGTATGAATGTACTAGGCTAATTGGTATGAAAGCTCATACCAATTTTAAAATTTAATTCTATTTGTTTTGTTTTCTTTCAACTACGGCAGACCAACACGGCTCCCTACCTATAAATAGTTTAACCTAGATTAGCTGCTTCTCTCCCCCAATGTTCCTATAGTGGAGAGAAGAGACCCCATCCCCCAGCATAGTAATCTGTATTGAAAAGTTGTGGGAGCCGAAGAGATCAACAGATCCCTTGGTCGGTTAGAGTAGATCTAGATGGGAAGTACTGTATAACAGAGGGAAGGGGGAAATGTTAATATAACCACTTTGCAGCTGCAGGAACTAAATTTGTAATACTTATTAAAGAGGCATCAGGGAAGTGTTACAGAATCTGTGTTGATAGGGGTACCGCCGTCCACATTTGTTTAGGACGCAAAAGGTATCTGTGGGGCAGCTGGCGAATAAACGTTTTTGTGGGCTACTCAATTTTTTGTCACCTGATCAATGTTCCTCTCCCCATAGGTAACTATATATCTTCCACTTTCTTCCAGGTCTGTCTACCCGCCCCCTACCGCCCCACATTGTAGCAATGCCCCACGGTGTGGCCTTCCTTTTGGTGGCAGCCACATGGGCTGTGGTCTCCCGTGCTGATGGGTGCAATAAGGCCCTCTGTGCCAGCGACGTCAGCAAGTGCTTACTGCAGGTAAGAGGTTGGGAAAGTGCTGTCTTGCATCAGATCTTGTTGCAGACCTGGATTTGGGATGGGCAAGCTCCTGGCCAGGGCCGGCTTTAGGTTTGATGAGGCCCTAAGCTACTGAAGGGAATGGGGCCCTTTATATGTCCAGCTGTCCTTTGTCAACAACATATTGTCACTGTTTTTCGTGTTGAATATATGCTATATGGTCATTTATGGGCCTAATAGGTTTCTAAAGCCATTTGCCCATGTTGCCATGCAACCAGTCCGTGCAGAATGTAGGCACCCTATATATAGAAATGAGCAAACCAGTGATATTTTAGGGAGCAGGCGAGCAGGCGGGGCCCATGACTTACATCATAGGAGCCTACACAACACAAAACACTGTTGCTGTATGTAGGTTTTGTTTCACAGTCATACCTCGGGTTACAGACACTTCTGGTTGCGTGTATTCGGGTTGTGCACCGCGCTGAACCCGGAAGTACCGGAACGGGTTACTTCCGGGTTTTGGCGCATGCGCAGAAGCACCAAATCACAACCCGCGCATGCGCAGACGCGGTGCTGTGGGTTGCGAACGCTGCGGGTTGCGAACGTGTCTCCCACACGGATCACGTTCGCAATCCAAGCGTCCACTGTATTTTTTTTACCTTACATTTTGGAAATGCACATCCAGTTTTTTTTCCTTTAAATTTTTTTGGGCCCCCAAGAAATATAGCCCTAAGCTATAGCTTGTTTAACTTATACGTAAATCCAGCACTGCTCCTGAGATCCCTTCTCCCCCTTGAATGGGAGGCTCAGTCACACCACTAACCAGTGCTCTCACACAAAATGTGGTTAGAATGCGTGACAAGTACTTCTCGGTAGCGATCAACCCTCTATGTATCTGCATGAGCCGCTACCACGGGCTTCCTTTGGATTGGCAGCCCAGAACAGTCACTCACGCAGAAGCACAGCAAGGCAACCTCTTCATTTGGGGAGGCTGAACTACCCGGTCACAGCTGATGCAGCAATCAGGGGAGAACAGCGCATTCATGGCAGGGGGCTGACTGGACAGAGTTGAGGCCAGGGCATCAGGCAGAGAGGCAGTGGGCAACCTCCTTCTCTGGGAGGGTAAACCTGAGTTCACAGAATCTGCTAAGTATTTAATTATTTCTCAACACACGATCTGTGTAATGAGATGTAATTAAATATGAAAACTTAATTAAAATTATTTTTAAAATAATTATTTCTCAACACGCACACATTTTGGAAGAATGGGGGACTTTTTTGGACTATTTGAAAAAGCACTATAAAATGAAATTGCGGGCAGGATTTGAGAAGAAAGGATAAAGTGATTGCATTAGAGGGATTTCTGTAATAGATAAAATATTGATATATAATGTAGTAGAAATGGGTAGGAACAAAAACAATGTGGTGTGGGTGGGAAGTCAATATATGAAAAATGTAACTATTTAATTTGAAGTCAGTTTGTAACACTGGTCCTGAAAGAACCTTCATTGGCTCCCAGTATGTTTCCGAGCACAGTTCAAAGTGTTGGTGCTGACCTTCAAAGCCCTAAACGGCCTCAAAGGCCCAGTAGACCTGAAGGAGTGTCTCTACCCCATCGTCCAGCCTGGACACTGAGGTCCAGCTCCGAGGGCCTTCTGGCGGTTCCCTCCCTGCGAGAAGCCAAATTACAGGGAACCAGGCAGAGGGCCTTATCGGTTATGGGGCTGTACTTGTCGAATTGGCCACCCTCACTTTGGGGGCAAAACAGGGGCAGATTTGTGTGCGCGTTGGTGTGATCGTTTTACAAAGGGAACCGGGCAGGGGGGAGGTCACTGTTAACAGCCCCACTTGATATCTCTTGGCAGGAAGTGTGCCAGTGCGAGGCCAACCGTGCTGGGTGCCCGTGCTGTCGAGAATGTGCTTTCTGCTTGGGCAATCTCTGGGAGTCCTGCTGTGAATGTGTGGGTGAGTGAATTCCAGGGGGTGCTAAACGCCCGTCACATTGCAGGGTGGGAAAAAAGGTGGGGGCCAAAGTAGAGATGGGAAGCTCTGGGGGAAAAAACAGGAATAAGGGGGGGGGGGGAAACAGGGGGTTTCCAAAGCCATTTTTTTCTGGAAAAATTGAAAAAAGCAGTTTGAATATTCCACACACTTTCCCCCATTTTTTCTGGAAAAAAACGGGGGGGGGAACCGCAAGGCCTTTGAGGAAGCTGGAGTCCTCTTAGCGCTGCATACGAAGGAGGTTCTCTACCACCACGATTGGGCCCCGTCCCCTAAACTGTGAAAATATGGCTGGGAGGAGGGTTTCCAGAACCAGGACGCTGCCCGCTTCTTCCCAGTGGCTGAACTGTGGTCCATGAGGAATTCCGCCTTGATTTCTCTTCTCCGCAAGGGCTGTGTGACGAACGCCCCTCCTCGGCTCCCCGCCCTGCCCTGCGGAGCTCCATGCACAACCTGATGTCCCCGGTGCCCTCGCTCTTCCGGGCACTCATGGCCATCTCTGACAACGACCCTCCCATGGGCTGGAGCATCCTGACCCTACCAGTCGAAGAGGAGCTGCGGCAGAACCACGCGGAGACCGGCCACCTCCTCCTGGGGCCTCACACAGGTATGCGTGTGGCGGGGAGAGAGGGGACTGTTGGGAGACGCAGGTGGCGCAGGAAGGAGACATGCCATTTGCATGGGGGAGGTGGGTTAAGAGGCAGCGTGGTATAGTGGTTAGAGCTTCAGACTAGAACAGAGAGCAGGGCTTGATCTACAGTAATAAACGACAGGAAACATTCAGATTGACACATACCGTATTTTTCGCTCTATAGGACACACTTTTCCCCCTCCAAAAATGAAGGGGAAATGCGTGTGTGTCCTATGGAGCGAATGCAGGCTTTCGCTGAAGCCTGGAGAGTGAGAGGGGTCAGTGCACACCGACCCCTCTCGCTCCCCGAGCTTCAGGCAGCTATCCGCAAGCCTTTGGAGCGCAGCAGGACTTCCCGCCAGGCTCCAAAGGCTTGCGGATAGCAGCTTGCAGCCTTGCCGCCGCTCACGGACCTGTTCTGGGGGCTGGGGTTGGCTTCCCCAGCCCTGCGGCTAAAAACGAAGCCGCTCGCAACCTCTCCCGGCTGGAGAGGTTGTGTGCGGCTAAAGAGGAAGCCAAGACAGCCAGCGGGATGGATCCCACTCGCTGTCTTGGCTTCTTTGCTCTTTGGGGCTGGGGGGGGGAATAATTCCCCCCCTTTATTTCCCTCCCTAAAAACTAGGTGCGCCCTGTGGTCCGGTGCACCCTATGGAGCGAAAAATACGGTACCTGTTCACAGTGGCACCTGATGGTTTTTTGGGATTGGCGCGGGGGTTACTTGAGTGATGTGTGCTGTAACCTAGAAGGGCCATTGCCCAGGGACAGAACATCTGCTTTGCATGCAGAAGGTCGCAGAAGGTTCATCTTCCGGTAGCACCGGGAATGTCTTGTCTGAAACTCTGGAGCACAGCTGCCAGTCAGTGCAGACAATACAGGGTTAGATGGACTTTTGATCTGACTCGGAGTAAGACAGCCCTGGTTCAATTCGCACATGAGCTCGTCATTCCCAGCCGTTGCCTCCCAGCCTTCCCATTGGCCAGGCTAGCTCCATACTGCCTACACAGGCTGGCAGCATCTCTCCAGGGTCTCAGTCTAGATTCTCTCCTAGCCCTACCAGGGATCGACCCTGGGACCTTCTTCGTGCAAAGCAGACGCACGACATCTGAGCTGCAGCTTTTGTCCTGGGTTCAACCGCAACGGCCGCAAACCTTCTCTCCTCTCACTTCCAGGCTTGGCCCTCTCGGATGCCAAGGGCCTCAATGCCACCATGCCACCGTGCCAGTCCATTTTCTTCAACGAGTGCCTGTCCATGAGCCGGTGCCGGACGGCTTGCCAGTCGGTGGGCGCCTGGCGCTACCGCTGGTTCCACAATGCCTGCTGCCAATGTCTGGGGCCAGACTGCCTGGGCTATGGGGGAGCCCACGCACAATGTTCCAGTTGCCGGGACTGAGATCTCTGGGTCTCTCGCCCCCTCAAAAAACACCCACTCGCCTTGCCCTAGCCTCTGCTTGGGCTGCCTGCCCCAGTCACACCCAATCTTCCTTTCTTCACTGAGCAAACATGAAGGAAGCATTTGCTTTTTGTTGCTGTTCATTAACCTTTTTGGTTCTATGGACCCCTCTGGACTCATCCCTTCCCCAAGCAATAATGTCTTCTGCCCCACCTTCTCCCTCTGCTTATTATGGGTATCTTGCCAGCTACAGCCCTCCCCCCCTCTGCTCTTTCTTACAACCCAGCGGACTCTGCCTTATTCCCTAATGCTCGCTGTTTAAGGCACCCCTGCCAAAAGAGAAAACGCCTTCTGCTTCTAAGCACTGCACCTGGGAAAAAGGTGTCCTAGGTACCTGCCTATAGCCACCTTGTGGAGAAAAAAATGCCCTTTTCCCAACCCCTCCACAGCCCCAAGTTTTCTGAACACCTCATCCAAGTCAGTTGCTTCACGGACCTAGATATAAAGACTTTTGTCAGTTTCCCATCTTTGTAATGATAATTAAATGAATCTTTTTACCTGTACTGTTGTTGTTCTTGTTGTTATTTATTCATTTTACATATTGTCCCTCGAATCCCCGTGACGGGGTGAGCTCCCGTTGTTCAGTCCCAGATCCTGCCAACCTAGCAGTTCGAAAGCATGAAGTGCAAGCAGATAAATAGGTACCACTCCGACGGGAAGGTAAACGGCGTTTCCGTGCGCTGCTCTGGTTCGCCAGAAGTGGCTTAGTCATGCTGGCCACATGACCCGGAAGCTGGACGCCGGCTCCCTTGGCCAATAAAGCGAGATGAGCGCTGCAACCCCAGTGTCAGCCACGACTGGACCTAATGGTCAGGGGTCCCTTTACCTTTTACCTTATATTGTCCTTCATCACAAGATCTCAGGGCAGTTCACAAGACAAGGCAGTTGTGTTGCAGAAGCCTCATCAGCCAGATTATCTTCTGAACTGATTATTTATTCTTATTTATATTATTTATAGAATTTATATACCACGCTAAACCTGTAGGTCTCAGGGAGGATCACAGAATAAGATCAAGATATAAAACCACGAAATACATAATAAAAATAAAAACATAGCCTTCCACCCAAAATAAACACGTTTTAAAAGGGAATAGGATGTAAACCAGATCAACCAAAGGCCTGGTTATAAAGGAACGTTTTTGCCTGGTGCCTAAAGGTGTATAATGAAGGTGGCAGGCGAACTTCCTTGGGGGAGACGGGGAGCCACTGCAGAGAAGGCCTTGTTCTCGTGTTGCCACCCTACAGACCTCTCGAGGAGGCGGCACACAAAGGAGGACCTCAGAAGGTGATCTCAGGGTCTGGGTAGGTTCATATGGAAAGAGGCGGTCCTTGAGGTATTGCGGTCCTTATTAATAGGTTGTTCTACTTACAAATAGCTTTTTATGGGGATGACAAAGTTATCATGACCTGGATAATAAGAAACAACCAGAAACTAGCTTTCCAGGGGGAAACAGGGGGAAACAGCATCAAGGCTGCCCCACTTTTCAGCCTAGCTGCTCAGTAGCTGCATCTTCTGGTCCGTCTCCAAGGGAAGCCCCACATACAGCGCACTGCTGCGGTCACCAGATCATGGACAAACAAGACCAGATCAGACGTGGCTTGTGAAGCGGCCTAAACTAGGCCTGAACATTCCTAGCCACAACAGCCTCTTCGGACTTGTGTGACAAGCTGCAATCTGGCAGCATCCCCAGACTCCGAGCTTGTTTCTTCTGAGGAAGTGCAACACCACCCAGAGGTCTCGGTTTATTGGCCTCCATCACTGCTTCTAGACACTGGTCTGATACCTTCACAGCCTCTCTGGCTTCAGATGGAATGCAGAGATATGCCAGGAGCGTTCAGATGACACACTGTGCCAAATTCCCATTTGACAGCTCCCCAAAGTTTCATTGGTACTATAGTGGATCTTACATTTCCAGACGAGATCCTGGAGTCCTCCTGCTCTTCAACAAGAAGGCTGAGCCATTCTGACTTGTTGGTGACTCCAGATATGAGACAAAACTCAACACTACTGTCTACTATATACAGTTATTCTGGTCCTTGAAGATGCACATGTACAGAGAGATCCACTAACATCACCATGCTGTGTAAAATCCACAACCTCTTCCCCAATTCTCACAAATTCAGTCAGCAAGTCATGCGCTCCAGCTTGCTGGTGTTGCTATGGTAACCCAGTGCGCCTGGTACCCTTATCTCAGAACATCCAGACATGGGGGGTTTGCTAACTCAACACATGAGACCAACCACTTTAATTTCACTCAATGTTCACATTATACCAACATGATTGACCCTCACGAGCATCCATCCCTTCTCGGGGATGCCCTGCCAAGGAGAAGAATCTGCAGCGGGTTCCAGTGAGATCTCGTGGAGGTCTCCACTTGTGGCTCTTACGAAGTCTCACTGGAAGCCACAGCTGCACAACTCTGGTAAGTGAGGCTTTGGTGGGGGCAGCAAGGGGGTGATCAGCACCTTCCCAAAATTTTGCTTCAGGTGGCCAAACATGACAGGCCACCTCTGTCCCTTCTGCAAGGACCCAGATCACCACTGATGTAAACTCTGCATATTTATGTTGTGTAGGAATTCCTGCAGCCGTCTCTCTGCTTATGTATGGGGGACCTCTAAATGTGGCTGGACTACCATTCTCATCAGCATCTAAGGGCCAAGCATAGCTGATGGACCAGGAATGAGAGGAGGTGTAGTTCAGTCACGTCAGGCGGGCCAAAGGCTGTGCACATCTGCCTTACTAGAGTTTATCCCTCACATATAATGTAATTTTTCCAATAGTGCCTCTGAGCATGTGCAGAATGGCTTTCCCTCGACATTATGAACATGCTTTCTACAAGGCAGTTGTCCAATGATAGATTCAAAGAGTAAAGAGGAAGTTGAGTGGCGATGGAAGATCAACAATCCCTGTTTTACTAACGAGGCACTGCAAAATCAGTCATCTTGTTTAACTAATGAGGCACCCCAAAATCAACTATAAAGCCGGTGCAGAGTAATGGTTTACGTGCAAGACATATGAGGACCAGAAAGGTCACCAAATCCCAGCTGGACTGTTAACAAACTGCTAATCAACTTAAGTTTCATTCAGAGTGTGGGTCCACTGAAATTAATGGAGCAATGTTTGTCATGTTAATTGTTTTCTGCAGGTCAGCTCTGAATAAAACTTAGTTGAATGCTCTCCTGAGTTTTGAACAAAGCCCCACCACAGCACCAAGCTTCAGATCTCTACCCTAATGTGGTCCCATACCTTCCCAATGGCCTCAGGGGGGAAGCAGATGCTTTCTCATCCTCGCAACTGATATTATTTCGACTTATTCACCCACACACAAGCCTCCACATACAAAGATATATTAAAATCGCAGTTCCTCCCTATCGGACACAGAGCAGCCTGCATTCTGGAACGCCTGAAGCCACAATGAAGGGGGCAGGGCGCAAAGATGCTTCAGAGCACATTCAGAGTAAAGCACCATGCCCACACATGTGGGGCGAAGGGGCTGGGTTTTCAGGTAAGGGGGTGTGGCTTGAACCTTGCTTCCTATTCAAAAAACAGACGACCGTCCTGAGTGGAACCCTGGAGTCCTGCTGGTTGGGCGCCTCGCTGCTTGGAGATCCCAGGAGTCCGGCTTTGCTGGCCGGCTGCCTCTTCCAGCCAATGGCAGGTCCCCGGCCCGTACGGCTGCCCAGCCCAACCTCCTCCATCCCCGCCGGCTCCCCAAGCGGGCGGAACCCGACTGCAAGGGGGAAGAAGAGCCGGAGCAGGCCCTAGCGGGTGAGTGGCCATGGTCGGCAGGAGCCTCCCCTCTTCCGTTTCGCCTGGGCCTGCTGCGATCCCTCCTCTACTGAGCCTTTCCTTCATTGCCTCCCCTTTTGCTAGCCTTGGTGTTACATCCCTCCTTTTCCTCTTCCTGGCTTTTCTCCCAGGAACTCTGCTCCTCTTTTCTGCTCTCTTTCTTTAGATTGCTCTCTCTCTTGTCTTCCACATGCAAAATATTCCCCCTTTCCACCGATTCCCGTCTCCTCTCGTCCTTTTCTCTTCCGCCACTCGCCCTACCCCTCCACCTCTTTCGGCCTGTCCATCCCTCCTTCTTTCTCTTTTGTTTACCACCTCTTCCCAAAACTGCTATAATAAGACGATATTGCGGTGGAGCAAGGAAGGTGGGGAGAAAAATAAACAGCAGTCTTCCGGTTTCCTTCCTTATTTGTTTTGGGAAGCGTGCCTGGGCAAAGTGGGAGCCCTGGGAGAGAAGTGGCAGAGTAGAGAGGAGGCGAGAGTAAGGCATGCTCACAATTGTGTGAGATGTAGTTAAAGCAGGCAGTCAGGGGTATGAGATAGGGACGGGGGGGGCAAGTGGGGAGGACTGCAAGATGCTGCAAAAAGATTTGGGGGTGAATTGGGCGGGAGACAGTATGGGGTTGTGTCAGCAGTGGTGTGCCTGAAGTTTTACAGCAGGGGCTGGGAATGGCAGCCCGGGAGATCCCGGTTGGCCTGTGGTTCCCCACAACTACCAAGTGACACCAGCTAGTGGACAGAGACTAGAGTCTAGGGAGGCAGAGTTCAGTCTTGCTGGGTGCTGCTTTGCCAGGGTGTTCTCTGCAGGGAATGCAGTGAAGAAGCAAACCATTGCAGGTGGCAGGATTGAATCCTTACAGAGTAACAAGACAGGTCCCTGCCCCTAGGAGTTTACAGCGGCAGGAGGCCTTATAAGGGAAAGCACACCTTGGTTTAAGAACGGGTTTGGTTTAAGAACAGACTTCCGGAATGGATTAAGTTCGTAAACCGAGGTACCACTGTATAGACCTTTGAAATTGCCCACCCTCTGGCCCAAGGACCCCCCCCCAAAAAAAATCATACATACATTATAGAAGGAGGCGGTCTCCATCAGAAATTTGAGAGTGTTGCAACTCTCCTGTCTGCTAGGATACCTGATAATGCCTTACTTGATTGCATTTTCTGGGTTGCCTGGCCATTCCTTTGAGATGGTAAATACTTAGTTCCTGAATCTCTTACGCATATTGATAACAGATACTTGCCAGACTCTAGATTTCATGCATGCACATGAAAGCTTATACCCAGAACAAACTTGGTTGGTCTCTAAGGTGCTACTGGACAATTTTTTATTTATTTCGACTTGCCAGACTGTAGTTGAAAAGGGAGGTGTAAGCTCCTACAATCAAAAGACAATTGGAAAGCTTTCCCCATTTCCTTCCTCCTTGCAGAGAAATATTTGAGGTCAATTTGGGAGAGTCAAAATGGCTTCAGGATTGTTCTCCTGTACTATTTTAGACACGTGGTTTATATACTTAGGTATGTGTTTGCCTTATACGTTTATGAACATTTATTCTATATTTCAGACCTTTGAATTCTTAGAACACATGCTAAGGTTTCAATCTTATGCACACTTACTTGGGAGTAAGCCCCATTTAATTCAGTGGTGCTGAACTCCTGAACAATACCTACACTCAGTTAAACAAATTGGTTAAGCCGAAAGCTGTTGAGGTGGCTGTGTGCAGTATTGGAGGCAGTCTGCCTCTGAAATCCATTTGCTGGGGATGGTAATGAGCAAAAGAGTGAACTGCGCTTATGCCCTCCTTGTGGGCTAGGGAACATAATGCCAATCTGGTCCAGCAGGACTGCCAACATGGTGTCCTTTGGGTGTTGTTACACTACAGCTCCCACGAGCCCCTGCTAGCATGGCAAAAGGTCAGTGGTGATGGGAACTGTAGTCCAACAACATCTGAAGGACACATTGGCTACCCACCCCCACCCCCAGTCATTTGGGATTTGGCTGCACATGTTACCGGAAAAATCCGAGGGCTCCCTTGGACAAAAAGTAAAGACACCAACCAGAGTAAATTGGAGCAAATCAGCAGCCTGTAGGCTTGGCCTTTATTGAACTGTTGCAACAGGGTGTTCCCCTCACTTGCAGGAGAGAGGAAAAGACACAGAAAATGGTGTGCAAGACCTTATAAAAACTTTTGAATTTCCCATCCTCTAGGTCAAGCCCACCCCCAGAAACATCATGCATACATTACAGAAAGGAGGGGTTGAGGGAGGAGTTGTGGTGGTAACCTGAGTGTCCTGTCACCTGGCTGGTTCCTTTCTACCCCTCCCCATGAGTCATTTTCTGAAGACAAAAGGTAGTCGCAGTTTCCTGCCCCCTGAGGGAAGATCTGATCATTGTCCTTTGTTCCAGTCCATGCAGAATCCACTCCCATATGCAAGTTCTTTGTGATCTTGATTGTCTTCTGTCTGGGATCATCAGGGTTGGCATAGCAACTGGGCAGGGCTCCTGTGGATGTGCTGGTATGGTGAAGGGATTATGGTGCCCTGCATCAAACCTTCCCCATTTTGTAGTCTTTCCTTCATGGAGTAAAATAAAAGTGGAACAGTGCAAATCCGATGTATGGTTGATTTTCTATGAATTTATAACAGAAGTGTAGCGTATGTAGTGTGTGAGTGTGTGTGAAGTTTGTACAAACTGAATGATTGGGGGGGGCGGGTTCCTGCTACACACAGCATCTTTTTCTTGTCGCTGGGTGTACCCAGTAACACAGACAGCCACCAGATATGGGATTAAGGAGCCAGTGGCAGGGTGTGACTGGATGAATGTTAACTCATCAGTTCTGCAGAACCATTTCACATGCAGAATTCCATTCAGTTGCTGTTCTGTTTGCCCTTGCTGTGCCATTCGCATTCTACAGTGGACCTCCGAACTCCCATGGACCTTGCTAGGTGCTGGAGCTGGATGTGAGGAGCTGAGATTGAAAGAGAGGGACTTTGCCAAGGGCTATGCAGTGAGCAGCTGGCAGAGGTGGGACGGGCCTTGGCTCTGAGTACAGGTGGACAAATTCCTCCACATTTATTTATTTATTTCACTTATTTCCTCAGCTTTTCACTAGATGGCTTTATTTTTATGAGTTTTTGGAAATCATTTTGTTGCGACGTCAGAATTTGTTGACGACTTTAACTTTCTTTTGAAAACAAGATGGGTTAAAAGTTCTTAAATCTTTTTTTATAATAAATTGTATTTATTTTCAGTGTATAAACACTAGGGTTAAGCTATTTTTTAAAGGGGTGGGGAGTTTTGGGCAACTTAATGGGAGCAGATCTGCAGAAGCTGATGGAGAAAATGAAAAAGGTTAAGGAAAGCACTCCTTAAATAAATAAATAAAAAACCCAAGTAAATGCAAGTTAGGATAGAGGACCCAAAGTGTCTGGCTCCCCTTAAAGGGCCAGCTTCCTGGGGATTGAGAAACCCCGCCTTCTTCCCTCTGTTTCCCAGCGTGCACTGCAGGGAGCAGGGAAGAGAAGGAAGGAAGGAAAGTCCTGAAGTGGGGGAGGAGTCAAGGGAGAAAAGTGAGTATAGAGGAGAGAATTCAGGCTTGGGGAGATGGGAGGGGATTTTGACCTAGGGAGGAAAAGCAAGAGGGAAGGTTAGGCAGTGCTGGAAAGAGAAATGTTGAAGTTAAAGTAGGTTGCTGGCAAAAGGGGGTGGTACTGTGAAATCTCAGGATATCGGTTGGGCAAACGGTCCTCCTTTGGGGATGCTTATGTCTGAGTACCTGGAGAATAGTTATACACAGACACATATTCTACAAAATTCCTCCCCTCAAAGATCGAATGAAGCGGATCTGGGCAGCTAGTACTATGATGTTTACATAGTTAGTTGCAAAACCTTGGAGAATGCGGTCTGCTTTTGATGGATTTGTGATTTATTTTGTATTAATGCTGACTTTTGGGGCATTTAATCTTCTGGTGCCTTTGGAAATTGGCATTCATTGCTCCATTGTTGCTTCATTATCCTATTTAATTAAAGGCCATCTGCTTTCTAAAACTATTAGAGAAAAATTGGAATTTCAGTCTGGCTGATCAGTGCTGTGTGTGTGTGTACAGACATATACAGACAGACAGACACCCCTGTGTGTGTGTGTGTAAATCATTGTATGCTGAAATACATAACAGGCTCCCCAGAGGCTTGCAGTTTAAAAGATTTGGATGCATACGAGGGAACACGTGAGATAGCAGAAGGTAAATGCGAAAATTGGATCAAACTGGAGTCCCAAGTGAACAATTCTAGAACATACATAATGGAACTAAACAGATGCACACAGTGTTGAAACTGAGCTATATATCTTTCCATGCTCTAGAGCAGTTTTTCCCAAAGTGATGGCTAATATAGCTCCCCACACCCCAGGTTAGTGGAACTCTGCAGGGAGTGAATACAGACCTCAGAGTCAAAGGGGGCTGAATTGTTAAACCCGTACCAGAAGAGGACCAGTGTTAGAAACTGAGATATGAAAGCTAGGAGCTAAACGGCACCTTAAACCTAGGTTATGGGCGCAACAATGGAATGTATTGGTATGCTTTTTTATAACAAGAATACAAAGCTGAAAGTGAATGAACTGCACCTAAAATATTGTGTTCATCTTTCACATGGTCTAGTCTTTCCCCTGCCCACTCCCCTAATATTCTTAAGAGGGTCTCTCCTCCAGAGAGTAGCTGGAAGAGGGGAGGAAGAAAAAGGTCCTCCTTTCTTTCCACTCTGTGGTTTTAATCTGAAATCTTAGGTGCTGAACTGAGCCCTTAGCTCAGAAACTGCCTGCACTAATGAAATTCCCGGTCTCAAAATGAACCTAGAACAATGGGAGTTTGGAACACTGAAAGGACTAGGAGTGGAAAATAAAATTTCTGTGTATTGTTTGAAAATTTAATCAGGAACTATGAGTATCAGAAATAAAAGGCAGGGGAATGTACAGAGGGTACCTTCCTTGCCTATGAGGAATGTTTATTATATATTGATTTAAAAAACAAAACATTGTGTCACTTGTTGATGACAACTTTATAAGCTTATCAAGGGGTAAATGAACTCAGATGTTTGGGAATCCCTGTATTGGGGTGCATCAGCAGGCTTTGGGGGACCCCAAGGTTTGCAGAAGGACAAAAAAAGTCAGAGGAAAATGCCTAAAACAGAAACACACCCAAACACCCAAATGAAGACTGAGCATATTCAGTGGCCATAGAATTGCTGGTTGGATGTTTGGGGCAGGGTAGCGGAGGCAGAGAACTGATGGGGAGGGGGATGGAGCAGCTGGACTCCTGAACGATGGAATTGCACACTGTAACATTTTGTGGCAGACCCTACGTGTTTTTCTATTCTCAAACCAGATCTAATTCTGGCTTCATAGCTTGCTTAATAAGAAGGAAATTAAAACTGTTTGCCAGTTTGGATGTATGGAAAACTGGTTTAAATAAGCCTTAAATATTGGCAGCAAATCTGGGAGCATGAGAGGAGGGAAGGGGTCTGGAATGAGCGCAATGGCATGCAGTTTGTTTGGGGGCTGATAAGTTACTTCTGAAGCAGGCCAAAAGGCCATTTAATTGCTAAATGTTATTTAGAAGGGAGGCTGTGTTGGTCTGCATCAGTAAAACAGTCCCGTGACTCTAAAGCAGTGAGCCTGTGTTTAGGCTGTAGCACTTTGGGATTGCAGGTGGCACCTCTAATGATAACCACAGTGGTACCTTGGTTTATGAGCTTAATCCGTTCCAGAAGTCTGTTCTTAAACCAAAACCATTCTTAAACCAAAGTGCGCTTTCCCTAATGAGGCCTCCTGCTGCCGGTGCCCTTCCACTGTTCGGATTCCGTTCTTAGACTGAGGTAAAGTTCGCAAACTGGGACACTACTTCTGGTTTTCCAGAATTCATAAACCAAATCGTTTGTAAACAGGACTGTTCTTAAACTGAGGTACCACTGTAAATGCTTTTCTATCACCCCACACCACCCTGACCAATTCTCTGCACATAGATAGAAGGCTAGGTTAGAACTCCTCTCCCAAACACAGTGGCTTGCTATATACAGTGGTACCTCAGGTTAAGAACTTAATTCGTTCTGGAGGTCCATTCTTAACCTGAAACTGTTCTTAACCTGATGTACCACTTTAGCTAATAGGGCCTCCCGCTGCCACCGCCGTGCCATTTCTGTTCTCATCCTGAAGCAAAGTTCTTAACCCGAGGTATTATTTCTGGTTAGCGGAGTCTGTAACCTGAAGTGTATGTAACCTGAAGCATCTGTAACCCGACGTACCACTGTACAGGAAATATTTCTTTTCTTCACCTGGAAGTGAACACTACAATTTCCTCATTGTGCTATCTCTCCTGTCCCCACTTCCTCTAATGTAATTTCTTCTTCTTTTGACCCATATTCTTCCTTTACTCTTTGGTTCTAGCTGTTCTGAGGGACAGAAGCTGATCCCCGGAGATAGAAGACTTCTTGTAGACGACAGCAGTCATGCCCCCCAACAAGGATGCCCCTGGCTGCCTTGGCTCTCCTCCCAGTTTGATCTGCCTGCCACCCATCTCTGAGGACCTCCAGTTGGTGTGGACACAGGCAGCACAGACAAGCGACCTTGATGGCAATCAGCATCTGCTACAAACTTTCAGCTATTTTCCATACCCCAGCCTCTCTGATCTGGCCTTGCTCTGCCTGCATCATGGCCTCCACATGGAAAAGGTCAAGGCCTGGTTCATGGCACAGCGCCTACGCTGTGGCATCAGTTGGAGTGCAGAGGAAATTGAAGAGACTCGAGCTCGCCTCATCTACCATCAGGACCAGCTTCACTTTAGCTGTCTGCTTGCCAGGAATGATGATGACCCCTGGCACCAAACTTGTAAGAGTCAGGTGTATCACCAATCGGTTCCTACCTCTGTGCACCATTCCACTAAATATCCGCCAAATCAGCAGTCTTCCATAACTCCCTTAAGCCACTTCACCACAGCCCAAGGAATGAGGGAACTTGGGAGAATCACTCAGGACATTTGGGAATTGAAAGGGAATGTCTTGTCCCACCATAACAAAGTTCAGGAGAACTGTGAACCTTCAGGAACCTCCGTGCAGCTTCACAATGCCAAAGAAATCCTTTCTAGTTCTTATCTACCTACCACAACCACAACCACCAGCTTGGATCGCAACTTCCATAACTCTCACCCTATGACCTGGGGTCTCACCAAAGCATCCCTGCAGCCGGCTGAACCTGTCACCCCTGCAGTGAATGGTGGGCATCACCCAGTGATTCTTCCAGCGGTCTCTTCCACCAAAGCTACCCCATCATCCTCTACAGCTACAGCCAATGTTGAGTCACACAGCCTTCAGAACTATCAGTGCCCTGTAGGGGACCAGCAGCAGGCTTCAGGTTACCTCTCGGACATTCTTCGCAAACCTAGGCGAAAAACAAAGGAACAACTGGATATGTTAAAGTCCTTCTTCCTTCGTCGTCAGTGGGCCAGGAGAGAGGACTATCACCAGCTGGAGAAGATCACTGGGTTACCACGAGCAGAGATCATCCAGTGGTTTGGAGACACTCGCTATGCCCTCAAACATGGCCAGCTGAAATGGTTTCGGGACAATGCAGGACAGAACCCAGAGCCTGTTTCCTCATTACCTTCTCACCCACCTCATGCTCACCATCCAGACATAAGCCCACTGAAACGGTATCATGCAAGCGACCTGCAGCTGCAGGAAAACGACTTGTCGGCACTGTGCCATGAGTCTGGCATAGAGGCTGAGCAGGTGCTGAAGTATTTCAATTCACACTCACCAGCACCATGCGAGGTAGAGGTATGCTTGGGGGATGAGGACGAAGTAGATGAGGAGGTGGCAGCCGCTATGATAAAAGTAGAAGATGAAGACTATGAGGAAGATGATGACAATGAGGACGAGGAGGAGGACGACGATGAAGACTGGGTTGCCTAGGGCTCTTGTGTGAATGTTGGATGGATGCTAGCGATTCTGGACTTCTGAGATAGGTCTGGGGGAGGGATCAAGATGCCACTGGCAAATGTGTTATGAGGTTCTGTTCCATCAAATTCCTGCCCTTAGCCATGGTTCCAAAACACTGAATTTGGTCCCCTTTTCTGTTCCAGCATATTTATGTGTGTGTTTTTTCAAGTTTTAGAATTGAAGTAAAACAAATTTGTACCATGCAGTGATGTGTTTAATCAGAGATTTAAAAAGGTGTAGGATAGGGGGCTTCCCACACCCTTTCTCCAGAATCCATAGAATGAGCCTGTTCAGTAGTGTGCTGGACCTATAAATTTCTTTCTTATCGAACTTTCAAATTGTGTTGTGCTCATAGAGGCCAAATTGTTTCCTTCTTCTAGAATCCTGATGCATTTTTCCTTCTTTCCGTTCTTGAGTTCTAAAGCTGCTACATTCCCTCATTTTAATGGGGGTATCTGGGATGAGAGAAGCATGTTGATTCTGCTTTGTTTCACTGCTTCCAACTAATTATTTGACTCCTGCTTCTGTCAGTGTTTTCCTTACTGGCACAGTGACGTGGCTTATATGACTCTCTGTACCTTCATTTACGGAACAATGTCTTTTTTCAAATTCCATCCAGAAAATATGTACCATCTGGCTACTCTCCCATGTATCAATCCTATTTCATTCTGCTAAGTGAAGCAGAAGCCTAGGGAATACAATGAAGAAACATTTATTTTGGCTTTACAAATCAAAGTCCCTTTACTGACAGAACACATTAAAAAAATGTAATTTAGACTAAGCTCCTCCAGACTTTTAGCTCTAACACACCCCTCCTTGGCTTTCCCCCTGTTTGTTTACTTATGGGATTTTGTTTTCCATTTTTAAAATTGTGGCCCAAAATTACAGTTATAAATATTTGATTTTTGGCAGTTGCCAATCAAGGATGGCGTCTTTGTGCCTTAATCTCAGTTGTCTTCCGTTTCATTCTCTCCTTGCATTTTAATTGCCTCTTCTTTGCACAGCTTCTAACTTTTCTTCTGCTCTTGATGATCTTAGAATAATAGAATTGTAGAGTTAGAAAGGACCACAGGCATCATCTAGTCCAACCCCCTGCAGTGCAGGAATCTTTTGCCCAACTTGGGGCTCAAACCCATGACCCTGAGATCCATGGGTCTCATGGGTAAGAGTCTCATGCTCTACCAACTGAGCTCCTTAGGTGGATGTCATCACCCTTTTTTATTCACTCCCGTGCTCTCCCTTTACTGGTGCCTTGATCCATCAGTTTTCACTTTGGTCATATATCCATTTTGAACTAGATGGGTGACGGCTATGAACTGAAAGCCACCACTTCCCACAGCAGCTTACATGAAGGTGAGGTGTGATGTAGAGACCATCTCCTTTATGGAAGAAATGGAGGAAGCATTGCTGTTTGTATGCCATCTTTGTTCCATTCACAAAGCCAATACTGTCACTGAAACAGGAATGTGTTCCCTACCCTGCTCCCCGCCCCAGAATCTAAGGGATCGAAAGCTGCTGTAAACTCTCAGAACTGGCCCTAGATCATTTATAAGGGGTTATGGGGAAGATGGAATCTGAGATTTATGGAGTGATGAGTAGGCAGAAGATTGTACATAGTGATACTAATCTGCATTTTTTAAAAAAAACCCTATTTATTAAATCACTGTTTCAAGCATTTTTACAGAGTGGCTGAAAAGGCAACACCTCTTCCCCCTGCTAGAAAACCTAAAAATATTGATATAAGCTGGTCAGTTGCGCAGAGAGAGAGAGAAGGCAGAACATGGGACTGTACAAACTTGTGTGATATTGATGGAGATAAATAAAATAGACTGAGGTGTGGATTTAGTTCAAATAGCCATAACTGAGGGATTCTCTTGATAATTAGTCTTTTCCTTAATAATAATGATAAAAATACAGCTTCTTTTTTATCTTTCAAAGAAATATTTGTCACATCCTTACTCTGGAAAGCAACTTTGGTTATACAGTATGGAGAAAGTAGTCCTATATTCTATGCAACTGGAATAAAAAAGAAGGAACTTTTCCATTGGGTTGCCAGTGGCTAAATTGCAGCTGAGAACTTAAAAAATACTTGGTATCTTTTCAACAAATGAATCTGATTTCAATTTTGGCAAGTTTATTTTATGATCTACGAACTGCTTAATAAGTTGCAATAGCATCTGCTAGAAAATGCCATAGCCTAGTAACACTGAGCCTTGAAATAAGCCCACTAAGTCTGCCTTTGTTCACCTTTCCTTCAACAAGAGACCCTGCAAATACGTATTACACCACTTAAGTCTATCACATGTTAGATCTCCTGAAACTATATATTGTGTTACGAGAGAGAGAAAATACTTTTAGTGGATGGCTTTTCACCAAGGCCCCAAAAATTCAGCAGAGCTTATGCAGGGACAGGAAATACCATCTTGCTCATGTTGAGACTGGTAAGCAGAGAGTTGCTTTTGTCCTCCCTATTTTTGTTGGTGGGCTTGGCTGTTGGATGAATGCCTGTGAGAAAATAAAATGAGCTAGTTGCATACTGTAGGGTTCACACTTTAGTTACAAATGCAGCTTATTACTCAGTTATGTTCAACAAAACTTTTCTGTTTGTGGTTAAGTAATGCACTTCAACCTGTATCTAGAGCACAATATTGGGCTTAGGCAGGAGTTTGTGTCTTACACAGATCAAGTACCTGGCTTGGCTCAGCAGAAGGAGGAAGTGACAGAATACTTGATACTGCAAATCCCAAAAGTTCAAAACCTTGTATTAGGGCCCCACCCCCCTACACACACACACACACACACACACACACACACACACACACACACATTTAGCTTTAAAAAATTAAGTTTCACAAAACAATATGCACAGACGTTCATCATGTTGTCTCTGCGGCAAAATGCTGCTTTCTTTATATTGCTTTCTTAATGTTCTGTGCAAGCATTCTGAAGTTTAGAATATTTTTTTCTAAAAGCTATCTCGATTTATATTAGGAATCATCATGTCCTGTGTTGCAACTCCTTCAACAGAAATTGGGTTTTGATTATATTCATGATCTTTTAAAGCTCTCTTTTACAAGCCCTTGTAGTCTCCTAACTCAGGGAGTCCCCAACATTTTTTGGTTTAGAGGCTTTGAACCCTGATCCCATAAAAGTGGGCAAAATACAGCCCAAAACAAAAAACATAAGCAAAAAATAAAGGCAACCCTCTTCAAATTAAACCCAAATGGGAGTGCCCAAAGGTGCCCACAAATAACGTGTTGTGGGGGGCACAGCCCTAATTCCTGGTGGGAGCAGGAGCATATCTAGGGGCTGGCCCCTGCTAAGTGCACAGGCTCAGGAGTGGCACAAAAACCTCACCTCTCCACTCTGGCTTGGAGTGGCTAAGAGCCCAGCTGCCCATCCATGCACCCCCCAGGCTGTTCCTCTGCTGCTCTGAGCGAGGGCTCTCTCCCCAGTCAGCCAGTGGTGCTGTTAGAAGTGTGACCTTTTGAGTTTCTAGTCCATGGTTTCTCCCAGCTTCAGAGGCACTGATACACCTCCATGCCAAGGGCGCAGGTGGGCCTAGGTATGCCTCTGGGTGAGAGGATGGTGAACTAAACAGGTTACCACTTACCTGCAGTGAAAGGAGCGAGGAGTGAATCTCAGCTGAGAAGACAAAAAGAAAAGCAGTTGTTCAAAATGCTCCAATGATAAGCTTTGCCCAGTCCATACTCATTTCACAGACTGCTCCTCACCTGTATAGGCCGTAGTCTCTCACTGTTATGATGTTCTGGCATAGAAACCCCCTCTGTCTGATCTGTGGGTTTAAGCCAATAGAGAATTGATCATTGGAAAGTATATGGTGGGATTCTGAGGCTGAGTGGTATGTGTCACCCCAACCCTTAGAATGCAGCTTGCATTGTAATCATTACTACAGTGAACTATAGTGCACAATGATAGCATTGTTGAGTACTGGAGGGAATATGGAAGAATAAAAGGTGTATCTGTTAGCAGCAGGGTACTTTCTCACCAGAGAAGATGTTGAGGTTGAAGTATGGGGTTTCTTGCTGCTGCCTAGCACTTTGATTTTGCCTCGCCATAGGGGTGTGTGAGTTGACATTCATGCTGGAGGTGTGAGAAAAGGCAGGAGAAGCCCTGAAAGAAATGGAGAGTTGAATGGTGATGAGAAATGCAAATTACTGTGGCAAGTAATACTAGTGCCATGGCCTTTTCATGGTCATGTGATAATAGTATCCTGAAGGGAATATCGTCCATCACCCTGGAACTCACCTGAAGAATAAACTTTGAGTGGAACCTGAAGAAGGAGTAGCTGCAAAATAGAACAAAGTATTATGCCTCAAGTGATTATCGGAGAGTCTGTGGAAAGGTGGCAGGAGAAGAACAAAGGTAAGCATGTAGGACTTTACTTTTCTTAGATACAATAATGTATTTGCCCATTTAAAAGAGGGGACAATTTCCCCTCTTGGACATTGAATAAGCTTTGGAGGAAGCTGAATCTTGCATTCTCCTATTCCTGGTCTTCCATTGCCACCTTTTGGTCTTTTGTATTATTTGTAGTCAAAACATATACAGAACAGAGTCTGGGATTCTGAGTTATACTATTTCTGATACTGGAGGTATATGCTACTAGCAGCCTTCAATAGTCTTATGCTTCATGAATTTGTCTAAAACTCATTTTTAAAGCCATCCAAAGTGCTGACCATTACAACTTCGTCTGGTAGCAAATTCCAGAGTTAAATGATGTGCTGTGTGACTAAGTTGTTGTTTAGTCGATTAGTCGTGTCTGACTCTTTGTGACCCCACGTGTGGCTAAGAACTTCCTTTCATCTGCCAAATTCATTATAAAATATCGATTGGCTTCTAGTATTATGAGGAGAAAAACTATACAGCTCCATACCATGCATAAATTTACAGGTGAAACTCAAAAAATTAGAATATTGTGGAAAAGTTCATTTATTTCAGTAATTCAACTTAAAAGGTGAAACTAATATATGAGATAGACTCATGACATGCAAAGCGAGATATGTCAAGCCTTTGGCTCCCCAAATCAACACAGACTGTGGAAACTTCACATTGGACTTCAAGCATCTGGCATTGTGTGCCTCCCCATTCTTCCTCCGGACCCTGGGTCCTTCGTTTCTAAGTGAGATGCAAAAGCTGCTCTCATCAGAAAAGAGATTTTGGGAGCCATGTCCTCAGCTGGTGTTGGTCCACTGTGCTTCATTAAGTCCAGGGTCAACGTAGCTGTCTACCAGGAGATTTTGGAGCACTTCATGCTTCCTTCCGCAGACGAGCTTTATGGGGATGCTGATTTCATTTTCCAATAGGACTTTGTCACCTGCCTACACTGCCAAAAGTATCAAAACCTGGTTCAATGCCCATGGGATAACTGTGCTTGATTGGCCAGCAAACCCACCTGACCTGAACCCCATAGAGAATCTATGGGGCATTGCCAAGAGAAAGATGAGAGACATGAGACAGAGCAATGTAGAAGAGCTGAAGGCTGCTATTGAAGCTTCCTGGTCTTCCATAACACCTCAGCAGTGCCACAGGCTGATAGCATCCATGCCACACCGCATTGAGGCAGTAATTGATGCAAAAGGGACCCAAACCAAGTACTGAGTACATGTGCATGCTTCTACTTCTCAGAGGTCCAATATTGCTCTATTTGCAGTCCTTGTTTTGCTGATTTCATTTATCAGCTGTACACCATAAACATCACAATTGTAACAAATAAAGGCTTGACATATCTCGCTTTGCATGTCATGAGTCTATCTCATATATTAGTTTCACCTTTTAAGTTGAATTACTGAAATAAATGAACTTTTCCACAATATTCTAATTTTTTGAGTTTCACCTGTAGACACTTCATTCTCGTCCTTCCACCTTATTCACAATTTCTCTAAACTAACACACACACACCCAAATGTAGTAGATTTTCCTCATAAGGGAGTTGCTCCAGTCCCTTGATGATATTCATTACCTTTTTCTTAACCTTTTCCTGCTCTACAATATATTTTTAAGGTGTGTTACCAGAACTGTGCACAGTATTCTCAAGTATGGTTGCACCATAGATGTGTATAATTGTATTGGATATATCACCCCGTTTCTTACTATCCTGTACAATTTGGCCTCATAGGCATCTCACTGCTCATCTCTTATTCCAGATCGTTTCTGCACAGGTTAAAAAGCACAAGTACTAATACCAATTCTTGATGACCAGTAATAATACATTGTGTTATGAAAATTCTATTTATTGCTACTCTCTGCTTCCTCTTTAGCTAGTTACTGATATAAGTGAGGATCTGTCCTCTTATCCCATGGTTGGTAATCATACTCGGGAGTTTTTGATGAGGAATGTTTTGAAAGTGTTTGGCACTATGTTTGACACTCTCAAAGAACTGCAAAATGTTAATGGGACAAGTATTACACTTGTAGTAAACATGCTAGTTTTTATTCAGCAAGTCTTTTTATGTCTGGCAGTTCTTCATAATGCTCTCCACCAGCTTTCCTACAAAATTAAGCTAACTGGGCTGTACTCTCCTAGATCTCCTTGGATCCACCTTTTAAAAATTGGTGTTACATTGGCGATTTCCCAGTCCTCCAGTGTGGGGGCTGATCTTACAGGCAAGTTACATATTTCCATTAAAAGATCAGCAGTTTCACCTTTGAGTTCTTTAAGAATTCTTGAATGGATGCCATTTGGATATGATAAGTTAATTTGTTTTTAATTTGTCAGTATGGCCTAGGACTTCGTCTCTTGTCACCACTATTTCCCTTGGTTCCTCAGGCTCTCTTCCTGAGACAATTAGTTCAGACATAGTGACCTGCCCTATGGCTTGTGCAATGAAAACCGATGCAAAGCATTCATTCAGCTTGTCTGCAATCTCCTCTTCCTCCTTTAGCACACATTTGACTCCTTTATCATCCACAGGTCTAACTGCCTCCCTAGCTGGTTTCCTGCTTCTAATGTATATAAAAATACTTTAGTGTTGGTCTTAATGATTTTGGTGGTGTGATCCTTTAATTCTTTTCCCTACCCCAATCTCTTATTGTCTAGTTGAATTTCTTTTGCCAAATTTTGTGTTCCCTACCTTTTATCTGAAGCTATTTCTTACCATTTATAGAGTCAGCTGGGGTCATCCTAGTGGATCCTGTGGCATGCTGGGTACAAGTGAGAAATCTCTGCTTTTTAATATTATCTAGAAAAGTTATTACATGGTAAAATAAGCCAACAACATTATAAACACCTTAGTTCTAAATTTTACATTACAATTCAATCTGCACTTGTTATTTATATGTCCTGTAGGCCTTATCAGACAGATGATATTAACAGCTCCCACTGACCTTGTTGCGGTTATTGCCTTGGTGAGTCCTTGCTGGCAACAGGAGAATAGTTCTTTTGCCATGGCAATGTATTAAGTACTGAGCACTAAGCCTTGATAACACCAAACAGTAAACAGTGTGTGACGAGGACAAGGCTTCTCTTTTCATGGGCATATTATATCAATGGCTCCTGGTTCTCAGAATTCTCTGTGACACTGAGTTTTTGAAGAACAAAAACAACATATCCATCTTATCTTTTCCTTTTCTAGGTAAAGGACAGCAGTGGTGGAGACTCACTTGCCAGTTTGATAGCTGGCTGGTTCTGGAAGAGATGGCATCCATGGAAGATGAGCGACTACGGAGAATAGAGGCACAAAAAGTCCAGGAGTCACTGGTGGGAAGGCTAGATAGGCAAGCAGACAGATAATATCTATGCATTGCCTCTACTAAGAGGTCTAGATTCCTAAACTAGAATTCAATTTTTGATGATAGGATACTGGACAGAGGAAAGATCATAGCATGAAGTATACTGTGTTTAGAGTTGGAATTTTGTTTTACTTAAAGAGGAAAAAAACTGAAATTCCTCTGGAATTGTGAGCAAATGCCTACATTTTTGCTGTTGTTTTTATAACAATGCCTCACACCTACAACCAAAGAATATGAATTTCCTGATTCACCTACCTGACTACCTCACTGGAGTGCTGGGAAATAGGTTGTGGTGTAACTGCAAAATATGAAATAGGTTACTGTAGAGACAGTAACAACATACTGTGCTAGAGGAAAGATGTTGGTCTGAGTCATTATAAGGAAGGTAATAAATATGCATCTTCAAGGGCCAAAAAGACATGTGCAAACCTTTACCCTGATTTTATAGAGAAATATTTGAGCATATGTTTGTACCTGTCCATCCCTCTCAGGGAAACATGTTGGATTGCATGTGTGTACATGTGCAAAGGCATTTTTTAGATAGGTAAGTAGCCGCTTATTGCTATGTGTTCAGGGCCAGAACACATAAATTCACATGCTCATAAACAAACAGATACACTGTAATGTGAACATTTGCTCAAGGGCATTGACGCATGCCTACAGAGGCCCCATCTTTCTACCTACCTCTGGGTGATGGGTGTGTGACACCGACTGGCCTCGGAGTGCTGTTTCTGCAGCAAATTGAAATGAATTTTGTTCAGTCAGGGTCAAAGGCATGTGACTGTGCCCCAGATGTTTTGCTGCCCTGCGGCCTCAAACGCAGCTCTATCGTTTTGCCACAGATACGTTGGTTGGTGTCTACATTTTATGTGCTGCAGTTCCTGGCAAATGTTCCAAGAAGGCAGAACTAACACACTGACCTGCAACTCTGGCGGTGTCTCGGAAAAGCCTGTTGAGAGAAAAGGGTGGGTTTGCAGGACCAAATGCAAATATAAGTAACCTGCAGGGAGGTTGATTCACTTTTCCCATCCCAACATTGACAAAGGCACGGAGGAGCAGAACTTGTTTCTACCAGCAGATGGTGTCTGGAACTCAATCACAAAAAATGTGATTTGTTTCCAGCAAAGGGCTCCTACCTTCATGTTGTTACACTTTTTCTTCAGTTCCCTGTTCTCTCTCCGTATTGCCTCCAAATTCCTAAGCCAAGGGGAGTAGGGGGAAAGAAATGGAAGATAGGTGGTCTGACTAATTATATTGCATTGCCTTACATTAATACATTATATTACATCCAGTTATACTGTTGACCCTTTAGGCAGGAACATTTTGGCAGAGGGATGTGGGATGTATGTCTGTGGGGTCATGCAGACCAATAGTTCCATTTCACATTAACATGTCATAATATCTAGTACTAATGGAATAGGAATATGGTCCTTTTAAAATAACAGTATACATATTTATCCCCATTTGGTTGCTTTATGTGTATAATGTTAATGCAGGAGCTCACTCCACCCCTTACCAGGATTCTGCCATCAATCAATAATAAAAGAGCTGCTTACAAATTAAACGAGAATTCAAGAATATTTCATATGAACCTTCTTTATATTGTTTTCAGGAGGGGGAATAGGTTATACTGGGAGATAATGACTGGCCCAAGATTACCAAGTGAGTCTCAGGACTAAACAGGGATTTGAACTTAGGCTTCTGCAATCCTAGTTCAACACTTCGATGGTCTTCCTCATGACGGCTCTACTAAATCCTGCAGCTACAACTAACACTGTTTGCCTTAGTTCATGGGAACACAACCTGCTTTTCTTGGATAGTTAGTTTCTGGTGAGCTTCCTGAAGAGCTCCCTCTGCTTTTGAAGCATTGTGTTTGTAGAAAGAAACTAAAAGCTCCATCTGGCCCTTCTGGAACATGCAGACCTAGGAAGAGAAACAAAGGGAATGAAATAAAAGGATTGCAAAGCATGTGGGGGCAACCCAGTCTGATGGGCGGGGTAAAAATAATAAAGTTAATATTATTATTATGTGCTCTCCTGGTCAAATTTGGGGACTGTGACTTGCTTCAGGAGATCAGAAATGGAATATGGGTCCTTTCAACTCTAGGGAACATACTAGACAGGAAGCAAGTGGCATAGTGCAGTGGTACAGCATTTGCCTTACATATAGATGGTCACAGGGTAAATGGAGCAGTGACCCACTCACCTCAGTCTGCCCCCAGTTAATCCCCACTTGCCTACCTCCTTACAACCAGCCCTGTGAGTGGTACTAGCTGTCAGCTTCCTCCTCCTTGGACTCAGTTTTACCCTTGTGCAACTCGACAGGGAGAAAGACAGGAACAAAACCAGAATTAGTGGGCTCTGTCTGTCTTAGGTTCCACCTTTGGTGGACCTCTTTGCCTGCTGCCCTGCCATTCCCAATGGGCACCAGCCACCACAAGACACAGGTTCAATGTCTACCAATCAGAGTAGACTGGGCTAAATGAACGAGTTGTCTGACTTAAGGTTATATAGTTTTGCATGTTCACTCCAGTCATATGAGATGCACATCATGTTGCACAAGCGACTCAGAGTTTGTGCTAATGGCTGTAATTGAACAAGGTGATAAGAGTCCCTAAATTGTTTTTTAACTCTGAGAAATTAAGAAACAACCCATGAGTTTGCTAGGGGGAGCTTTTAGAAAGGAAAATTGACAGAAAACTCTGGCATATGTGTCTAGCCTTTGCCTGCTAATACTTTGAGGGAGCTGAAAGCTTGCTGCAGTCAAACAGTTGGCTAAAGGTAAGTACGAATGACAGGGTATCTACCACGTACTTGAAGTGCAAAATAAAGACACAATAACAACTTTGGAGATAAAACTCCTGTTTCAAAAATGTTGGAAAAAACATGTTGCAAAAGTGTATCAAGTTGATAGACATCTGAGGTACTGTGGTGGGCATGCAAAGCTAGTGGAGTGCAAAGGGGAAGGTCAGAAATGGAGAGCTTCCTGAAAATATTGGAAATGCAGCAATTACAATATTCACCTACCTGAAATTCCTAGATAGAGAGACACCCTTTACACTTGTGGCACCCTGTTTTTAGAATTCTCTCCCATGGTCAGCTTTCCCGGCATCTACATTGCCATATTTTCCGCAGCAGGTGAAGACCCTTTAATTTTTACAGGCCTTATAAATGTTTTCACTGTTTTAAATACTGCTTGATTCTACTGTTTTATCACTGTTTTCATTAGACTATGCTTTTGTTGTTTTTAAAAATACTTGTAGACTACCTTAGGAACTTTGTTGTTGAAGGTGTGATATATACACATTTCCCAAATAAATAAATACCTTTATTATTGTCACTACAGTAATATCCACCAATGAGAAGTAGTATCTTGCTCAGGGGATGGAGTAGTAGTATCTTGCTCAGGGTAATTACCAAGGCTTGTGAGATATACATAAAATGGCAATCCTGGCAGATTTTAATGTTCAGGTGCTGCTGATTCTGCTGAAATTCTATCTGATTATTAACTAGTTGGTCTGTATATTTATATGGCTCTTTTATCTAGATTTGTTATAGTAATTAATTAGCTAAGTTGGCAAAGAGGACCACTATTATTATTAACCCTGCCCCAGATTGGTTATTAACTACTCCTATAAATGACCTTAGATTTAACCCCACCCCCATAGCCCCAAGCTATTGGAAACGGGGTGAAATGTAACTTCTTTTCAAATCACATTCTTTGTTTATTAGGCTAGGAAATTAAGCTGCTACAGCTGCTTCCAGACTTGCTATTTTGCAGCTAGGATTCAATCGCATATAGTATTAGCAAATCCAGGTTGCTCAGTGTTTATTTTTTTTTTTTTTTTTTTTTTTTTAAATCATATTTATTAAAATTTCCAAAAATATAAAAATACAAAGAAAAAAGACAAAAGAAGAAAGATATTTAAAAACCTTACTTTCTTTCCCTACTTTCTGGGACTCCCCCTCCCCCAATTGTATTCCCCTTTCCTTAATTTGGTTCTACAAGCTCTCACTCCCAATTTAAAACTTAATTTGTTTAACCCACTATCCAGATTGAATTATACAACTCTTACCACCGTCCCACGTCATTAACAGAAAAAGAAAAAGATTTTCCCCAAGATCCACCCCAGTTCCTTCCACAAATTCCCTTTTTTAAAACACGTCCGATCAAAGTAAAATAACATACGTAAGTTATGTAAAGAAATAGAAAATAAAAGATATAGAAAAATTCAAAAAATGGTTACACAGCCTTTGGATTTCAAATCTCCCCCTTCCCCGGTTTGAATTCCCCATGTCCATCAGTCTATACATTATCAGCTTGGGAGTCTCATTTCATGACCAGATTTCTCCCGATTCCATCTTGCCGGTTTTCTTTTAGTTTATTAATTTAAATAATATTTGACTTCAAATGTCCAATCTAACAAAGGCCTTTAATTTCCTTGATCTTTACCACTCCTCCCGTTGTTCTTTCCGTGTCGTAATCAGTCCTTTATTCTTCTTATTCCTCACTTTCTCAGGTTTCTTGTCCTGTTCAGCTGCTAAAACTTTCTAATTCAGAAATCTAGTGTCTCTGCAGAGGTTTGTTATTCAGGAACAAAAACTTACGTCCAGTCCCTTTCTTTCTTCAATAAAAATTCCATTGTCTTCCTCTGTAGACAAAATATTCTTTCAGTTTTGCAGCTTTCCCAGAAGATAACAAATCCTGTGCGAATCCCAGGGTATTTTTCCACTTCCGACAGTTCTTGTAGTATCCCGAAACACCTCTAGGGTGTCTGTAAATAACTTTGTATCCTCAAATCCAAAAGTCAAATTGTTACTTATTTTCCAACAGTTTATATCCATATTATAGCAAATTGTAACAAAATTTACCAGCAAGGTCCTCGTAAAGTCCTCTTTATATTCTCCAGCTTTGACAGCCACTTTGACAGCTGTCAAAGTCTCCGTCTCTCTTCACCAGGCTCCACGAATCGCCCCGGTTCCCAGGGGGGGGGTTGCATTTTTCTTCTCACCCTCCACTCTTCTCCTCCAGCACATTTCTTATAATTTCCCATCGTGAAATTAATGATTTTTATCAGAGACATACTTCCCTTTGGACCTTGGTTACCCAGTCCTTGTTTTGGAATGTTTACAATAGGGGGATTGACTTCCTTTTTAAATCGCCCCCGCTCGTGCCAAATCCAAAATTTTAAACCCGGTTTCCCAATTACTCACGGGTTGTTGTTAATAGTCCAAATTTTCAATAGAAGAAGTCAGCGCTCTCCGCCGAATGGCATGCGGCTGCGCTCGGCAGGGAAAGCAGTGGACTCAAAGCACCACGCCACTCCCCGGCACCCGATCCGAAGCCTTTAAAAGGCTCCTTCACGAGTCGGGAGGGCGCTAATGGTGCAAGCCGAGTCACCCATGTCCACGGACTCCGTGCCCGTGGTTTTAAGGGTCCCCGCGTCGCCGGCGCGGTAGGACCCAGCCCCTGCCGAGCAGACTCCCTCCGGAGCTCGGAGGGAGTCCGCCATTCGGCGATGGCGCTAACCCGGAAGTCCCCCAGGTTGCTCAGTGTTTAGTTTACTTAACACAAGCCTATTTTTAAAGAACAAGCTTTTGAGGGATAAGGAAAGTGATAAAACATGTACTGGAAAGTGAGAGATATTTGCTTGGTATAACCTCCCTACAAACAAATTGGAATGAATGTTCATTATGCAGCCAGTTTCACAGAACCTCCCTGAAAACATTGTGCAAACAAATGAGATCAATGCTCAATAAACAAGTTGCCTGAAGCAATTTTGGTTTCTTCTTGTTTGCAGGAAGGACCCCTTAAACATACTTCTAAATACATTTTCATCATACACTTCTCCCACTATCTTTAAGCTAACCTGCTTTTTCTGACTGGATTGCAGACACTGTTTTTAAGCTAACCTGCTTTTTCTCAGAGACCCACAATTCCACAAATTCACTCCATGTTTCTTGACTGTCACCAGCATTTTAGGACCTATGAGACAATGTTCACAGGGATGTCATTCTTACCTGAGATAGATGGGTGATATGGTTGAGAGCAGTTTCAACAGGGCTTTTGAAAAACTTTTTTTCATCTTCTTTCATCTGTAGATCAGAAACACAAAGAGGACAAGATAAGGCCCAGACTCTTTATTATCTTCCAAAGAGGCAAAGCAAACTGAGATATTCTAGGTTTAATCAGCTGGTAATGTATTTAAGAGACTGATGTTCAAATCCCTTGTACAAACCATGGCTAAGTGTGAATGCACAAGCATGCAAGCATTAACAGCAGAGTTACGTCATTCATTCCCTGGCCCTGCTGCACACACATGCATGTTTTCACAGCAAAACACATGGCCACTTTACCGTTTCTTCAGAAAACCTGAATTGATGTTAGCTCCAATTGAGCACTAAAAAGCGGGTTTTCACAGGGAAAGGAAAGCTTCAGGGCAAAAATAACTAACACTAGGACATAGAGCTTTTAAGCATGGACTTGTGACTGGAAAGAGTAGGGCAAAAAGGTAAGTAAGAATATGGATTGAAACTACTTTGCAAATTAAAAGTGCATTTTACATACTGGATTTTAATTGCATCCCCTGAAATACTCTTACAGATGGGTGTGCTGTTCAGAGAAACAAACTAAGAGGAAGGTGGGTTTGGCAAACCCTCAACGTGATCAACTCCCGTCCAGAAAACTATGTCCCTACTGTGGAAGGACATATAGATCCAGAATTCGCCTCCACAGTCACTTACGGACTCACTGTTAAGACCATATTCATGGAAGACAATCTTACTGGGCTACGAGTGATTGCCAAAGAAACTGTTCAGTGCAGAAACCTTGCTCAGTCCAACTCCTGCCAGTCCCCAGCCCTGTATTAACAGCTAATTAAATGAGACAAGTGTTTTCAAAATTGTAACATTTTAGCCTTATAAGAAATAACTCCATACATTAGCAAAAATGGATGTGGTACAACTAGAACATCTGTGTTTCAGAAAGTCCATGAAAACTAAGGAGAATATAAGATTCTACTTTCGAGAAACTACAACTTACATTATTATTGAGAAACAAGTATTTGCAGCTGGTTCCACATGATGGGCATTTATCTGTCAGGATTAAAATGCAAAAGGTGTTAGAATAATATGTGGAAATTTATTATAAATAATATAAAAGTTCTTATATCAGAAGATGGGTCCAATTATGAACCAATCTTCAAATTTGTTAGATCAGAGGTGACCTATATAGTGAGTTCCAAATGTGAGTCCCATCATCCATGTTCATGGGAGTTGGGAATCCAGTAATATATGGAGGGTACCATGTTGGCTTCCCTTGCATTAGATGGTCTTTAAAAAGCAGATTTGAAAATTTTAGTATTTCTGACTGCTGGCTTTTGATCAGTCAAGTTCTGTTGTACAGCTGACAAATCAAAACATGAGCAATATGTTTTCATGCGCAGGATGCAAGAAACTCATAGGAAAGTTCACTACCTAGTCATCTTCTGAAGGCGTGTGTAGGAAGGCAGCATTGCTGACTGAATGTTGCATCCTAGACATGGTATAAATATCACGCTGTTACTCTTACCTGTACCAGCACATTTTTTGCAAAATATGTGTCCACAGCTGGTGACGTAATAGTCAGATGCGTCCTGGATAAAGCACTGATTGCAATGAAACCAGTCCATGTTGCAAGAAGGACAGGTGAGGCAGAGGTCCTCCCTCAGCTTCTGTTAAGAAAGGTGCAGTATATAAGGAAGATATGTCAATTTTTACCAGTACATGGCACATTTAAGACCCACTGATTTCAACTGAATAGTTAAACTTAATCCCTTCCCTTTGAATAGGTTCAGAAAATCATAGGATTTAAAACTGTAGCAGTAAAGAAGAAAATATTATGAGATGCAATTCTACTGCACTCTTAGCCAAGAGTCCAGTACTTTGTGGCCACCACCATAAGACAGAAACGTGAATCTGAAGTGCAGATCCTCATGGTTGTTGTTTTTCTAACAGCAACACTATCCTCCTGCTTTGAAATGACAGTTCACATCTGTTTTGTCATATTGATGTTTCTTTCCACAGTGGTGCTGCAACAGAGGCAACCAGGTCTATAATTTTTATGGTGTCATTTGTTTGCATTGGTGTAAATCATGATGAAGCAGCAGCTTTTTCTGGCCTCAGCACCAGATTTAGGGTGGTTTGGGCAGTTGCCCCGTGTAGGGTACTGAGCCAGGGGACACAAAATCAAGAAAATCAGTAATTGAGAAGATCCATTTGGGGGCACCAAATTTTGGCCTCAGTCAGGGCACCATATTACCAAAGTCCACCCCAGTGGCATGCAAAATTCATGAGCAGATTGATGGGTCTCTGTGCCTCATAACTATGGTTTTTGGGTTGTTGTTGTTTGCACCACTGGCATATCAATCTCTACAGCCACAACAGGTGCTTCAGCCTTTCAACAGTTTTTGATTTCACCCCAAAAGGCATGCTTCTCCACTGTGACATATGGATGGCAACAAACACTGGGTCTATGACTTTTACAATGTAGCCCATGGACATGAATGCATGGTTAGGATTTGACAGTGGATTTGAGGTACCTTAATGTGCAACAATGTGGATCCAGATTCATTTTTTGCGCCACACTGATGTGCCAGTGTGCTGAAACCATTATTTTTTACTGTTCAATCTGAAGAGTGTGATTTGATGGTAGATTTTGGAGGGCGAAATCCAAAATATACATGTTTTCACACACTTACAACCTGGTGTGTTTGATCGGTTATTTTTTACTGTGTGAGTCCGTGGATACAGATATGAGTGGCGATTTGGTGGCAGGATCTGTATCTTGGATTCATGTTTCTGCGCCATGGAAGCACCTTAGGTGCATTTAGGTCTGTGCTTTTATAGTGCAGTCCCTGGAAAAGGATGTTGAAAACGGTTTGAGGGTGTTTTTTTGTGGCCTGCACACAAAAATCAAATGAATTTAGGAGGATCCACCTGTTTATGCACACAATAGATTAGTATTAGTCTTTTAAGTGTATGTTGTGTCTCCTAAAATGGACTAAAAGGGACAACTGTCTGAAAGCAGGGACAATTTATGGTATCAGGGACAGGTACTAGAAAATAGGGACTGTCCCTGTCATCCAGAGACAGCTGGAGGCAAATTCCTATTGAGAACAACAAAGGAAGAACATGACTTAAAGGAAGTGCTGAAGGAATCCACATTTTGAAAGCAGCTTTCCCAAAATTTCTAAGTGAAGGAGGGTCAGGGACCAGGGTCCCACCCCACCCCCACTAATAAAAAGGATTTTCATCGGCTCCTTCAATACCTCTTTTCTTTCTACCCCCACTCTTCTAACCCGCCTGTTTTTCATGCAGCGATTGCCGTCTGAAAAGTCAATTACAGTACTGTATAAAATTCTCAAATTTATAATTTAAGGCAGGGTCGCTTCACACGCCGATAGGCAAGGCAAGTTCCTAACTCGGCCGCTGCCTGTTTCCCGCCTTTTTCTCGAGACTACTTGGCCGCCTCGCGCTGAGCGAAAAACGACCGTTAAAAAAGGCGGGAAACGGGTTGCGGGGGGGGGGAGCGCGAAGGAATCCGGCGCGAGGACTGAAGAGGATTAAGGAGAAGAGGGGGAGGGGCGCAGATGGAGGGCGGCGTTGTGGCTCTGGAGAAGCAGGCGTATAAAAATGGCAGGGTGGGGTGGGCGAGGAAGGGGCTTTTTAGGGTAGGAAGGGGGATACTGTGTGAAAACTAAGAAAAAGGAATGGAGGCGAGGAGAGAGTTTGGGGAATCTGAAAGTGGGCTCCGAGAGTAGGCGAGGCCGGGCAGGGAGTTTCTGAGGTAAAAGTGGGTGGGATTCAATTTAAGTATTACTCAAGAGTTGACCCGCTGAAAACGATGAACAACTTGTGCCCATTAATTTCCATGGGTCCCCCTCCCCACTCTCTCTGAGTTGGGTTCATGGTCCAGCTGGGGTTTGGATGGGGGCGGGACACGTTTCTGGTCGCTATTTTTCTTGCCCTTAAAGGCATAATATCTGCGCCAGCTCAGTGGGTGCCTCGTTGGTGAGAAAAAGCAAAGGGGTTTCGGCAGGGGTTGTGGATCTTCCAGCTCAACCTCCTCGCTGGCTCCTTGGATCTGTCCTTGGGTTAGCTGTAGGGGAAATGGTCGACACTTGTCAGTAAGCTGCACAGGGAGATCCAGCAGATCCAAGCATTTCCAACCTGCTTTTTCTTTGCCTCTGGAAGCTTGCGCTGCTGGAATCGCCTGCTGCTGCTTAATGAGAGAAACCTGCCAAAATACTTTGGAGGAAGTGAGGAGCACTATGGGGATAAAATGGCTTTTGAGGGCCGTAGATGCAGCAGGAGCCTAGAATAGGGAGGAGAACCTAAATATGGAGGGTGTGGGATCCTAATCTGTGGAGCTGTGGTCCTTTTAAACTGATGCCAGAACCAGCAAGGCCAGGATGGATTTTATTTCATAGAATTAATACACCATTTGATTGTTTAAAAAAACCACAACAACCCTCAAAGCAATTTACAAAAAGGTAATCCGGTAAAATGAAGATGAATTCACAACCCTACTTTAAAACATACATAAATTAAAATACTAAAACAGATTAAAATTACAGTGCTTCAATTTTCCAAGCATCTGGGTAGGTGTGTCTAAACTGGAATGGTTTTAGCAGGTGCTGAAAAAGAGTACAGGAAAGGCGCCTGCTTGATGTCAATTGGCAGGGAGTTCCAAAGTGTAACTGCCATGCTAAACAATTGAGTTCTTACAAATGCGGAACGGGGATTATGTGGCACCTGTGGCAGTGCCAATTCTGCCGATTGAAGCGGCCAAGTAGATGCTTGAAGGGTATGACCTCAGAGATAAACTGGTCCCAAGTTATTCAGGGCTTTATATGCTAATATGAATATGCCTTGAGCTTGGCTCGGTAGCAAATCAGTAGCCAGCGCAGATTCCCGAGTGCAGGTGCTATATGCTGACATTGCCTTGCCCCTGTCAGCAATTGTTCTGCAGCATTCTGCACCAACTGCACCTTCCGAATCAAGCGCAAGGGAAGCCCCACATAGAGCACATTGCAGCAATCCAGTCTTGAAGTAACCAACGTGTGAACTACTGTGGCAAGGCCTCATGGCCCAGGAATGACTGTAGCTCTCGAACCAGGCACCATGGGGGTAGCCAGGGTTTATTTTAGGGGGGCAGCCATCATGCTGGGCGGAGGGGGCAAACCCAAGATACAGTATCTGCAATGCAATTGGTCAGTTAGTTAAGTATTTTTATTTCTTTACACCCATGCCAGCCGCAGTTGCTAAAATGCACTTCTAGCCACTGAGTCTCCAAATCAGAGAACTGGATCCAGAAGCACTCTCAAACTATAGGGAGCAGTTGAATCCTAGTTACCATAAATTTCGAGATGGGGATGTGGAAGGAAGGAATTAGTCATGAGATGTTTACTGCAGTTTTGCTTCATGTCAGCTCCACTTTGATCTTGTTATTCCCCTTTTTCTTTCGTTCACGTGACTGCCTTAGCCCACAACTCTAATGGATTGTCGTGCAGTCGCTGCTGCTGCTGAGTCCCCACACCCTCCTGCTTTTTCTCATCCTCTGCTGTTATCTTCTCTCCTTCCCAGCCCTGACCTTTGCTCTAGCCTGTTCCTGCTGAGATGACGATAAAAAAGAGTCAAGGATGCTCCCCAAAGGCTGGACTTCACCCCCACATTGCAGGAGAACGTGCGAGATCAGCAGAGATAGCAGAGGGAGAAATGTGCCAAGCAAGGGGAAGTGGGGACATTGAACAGAAGGTGCGGGGGAAGAAGGAAGAGGAATAGTACACAGGAAAAGTGGGGGCACACAAAATCCTGTCATTCTGTTCTCTCCCCCCCCCCCCCCCGTTTTCAAGTCTCTTTTCTGATTTTCCAGATTTGGAAGTTGAGGGGCTTCCAAAAAAACAGGTCCATCAATGGAGCAAAATCGGCACTCCTGCCCCTTTTTAAAAGGGGATTACAGTATATTGGCGGTGCACACACACATCAAGCTGAGTAGGGAGAAAGATTAAGATCGTTAATAGACGCTTTTGAGCAATAAACAGATAAACTGAAGCATCACCACAGTGAATGGTAGCGGCCCAGGGGAGCAGAGGCGGAGGAACCCGTTTCCGGAAACATCGCTATTATTTGCAGAGAACAATTTTGTCAGTGTGTGCCCTTACCGAAAGGCTTGGAGTGAATGTCAGCACAGGGTACTTTACAAGACTTGGCGGGGGTGGGATGAACCTAAACTGATGTTCTTGCAATCTGAAACGTAACAAGAGGGAGCCACAGTTGCAGGGGTGGAGGAGGAAAAGAAGAGATTGGTAAAGCTCTGGATTGGATATGAGTTTTGTGAGGAAATCCAGCAGCGTGTAAACTTGGCATTGCGTGCTTACAGTATTGCAGAAAAGTATTGGGGTTAACTAAAGGAAAGCTTTATTTTTAAAACTTACATCCCGCCCTTCCTCCAATGACTCCAGGGCGGGTCATAGTAATAAAACACGCAAATAATATAATGCACAATAAAACAATGCAGCAAAGTTAAGTTTGATCTGTGACCTAAAAGCTTACGTGGAGAAAAAGATTGGAAGGGGGTGTAGAAAGAGGAATACCAGTACAATAGTGTGAACATATTTATGTATAGTGAGAATTCTTTGAAATTGTGCAATGAAAGAGTTGGTCATTTCTTTCGGAAATGAAAGGCACCCGTTAACCTGAGGAACTATGTCACGTGGTCCCACGACGATATGGAATAATGTAGCAGTTGTTGGGGCTAGATTCCAGAGCGATCAGATATGTTTCCACGGGGGTCGCGGATTATGGTGGATCAATCTGCTCAGGTAACGAGCTGGTGTCTCGCGGGTTAGGCTCATGTCGACTAATGCGTGTTCCCCACCCCCTGCAACAGCGGACGGGGCACCTTTGATACTATTAGAAGACGAGACCGAACAAGGCATAACTAGAGCCAGTGGCATCGGAAGGCGAGCGAGATCCCAAAGCGACAACACGACCAGTTTCCGTGGATGAGTTTTAAGCGGAGAGGTAAGGCGAGAGGGAGGAGGAGTCTGTCTCTGCCTCTCCTGGAGCGGAGAATTATCTCCCCCCGCCTCGCCCCAGGACCGGCAGCGGCTGGTTCAGCACAAGAGCAGGGGAAAGAAACTCAAGAGGGAGAAAAACAAATGCAGAGCAGAGAAGCTCGAGAGCTGGTCTGCGAGAAGGAATGAGAAGCCGAGAGACCTGGTGGGGAGAGAAGCTCAGCTGGGACAACAAAACCGGCGAATCAACCATCAAAGCGAGAGAAACGCTGTAATGAGAAACCACCCTGGCACCTAGAGCGATCCCTGTCCAAACTGAGCCACAAGGAAGATCTAGGGAAATCTTTTTAGAACAAGTGCCACTGATCAGAATAAAACTGTGGTAGTGGGTGTGCGGGAGCTGCACAAACAAGATCAAACCAGTCGGCTTCCCCTGCACTGTTGTGCGGTTCTCCTCCTTCCCTTCAGGGCAAACTACAAAAGAAGAAACGGCAACAACAACGTGGGAGAGGAATCCCACATCGTCTGCACCTGTGATTTGGAGCGGAAAATATCTAGTACTTACTGCATGTGAGAGAGGGTCAGTTGGATATCAGAACCAAAGAAAATCTAGCCGCCGACACCCAGATCAAAGCTGATAGAGAGACCTAACTCAGTTCTAACAAGGTTGGTGCTAGAACCAAAGCAAATCCAGCATTTTCTGGTATTAGAAAGGAAGTTTCTAATCAGGAAGAAGATAGAACTAATTTGCTTCTAGAAGAGAGACAGCAGATCTGGCCATCACCTGAAGCACAGACTGGGACATCCCGACTCTAAATATTTCAGACAGAGATCCCCAAAGTGGACTGGCAGAGCAAGACTAGGAACAGGTATACTGTAATTTGGAGCTGGAAAGTTTGCAGAAGTCCATTTTCAAAAGATTCAAGCCTGTAACTGGATCAGCAGACACAGAGTGAATCCAGAGTCATTCCAGTTCTAGGAGAGCCATCCACAACCTCTAACCCATAGTTACTTGGTGCTGACCAGTTCAACACTATGGAGGATGGAGCACGTCATCGAGGTGGTTCCGAAAAGGGTTCGGATAGCCCTGAAAAAACAGAAGAAGGTGGTGTTGCACTCAAGAAAGAGATTGGGCTGATGAGCGCATGTGGCATTATAGTGGGTGAGTGGGGACTCTGGTGGGATGTTATTTTCCCTGTTTGCCCTGAACTGGACAATACTATCTTCTCATATTCTTATAACATTGGGTGATATTCATCGTCCCCTATAACCCAGGAAGCAGAGGTCCTGCTACGACCCTCTATCTTAGCCTTGGATCTTCTGTCTTTCCTGTAGCAGTGATTAGCACCATGCCCCAACTTGGCTAGGAGGCTTGTGGCTCATATTCTGCAGTTACCAGAATGAGGGATGAAAACCTTCCTTCTCTTTATTTATTTATGCTCCTTTCTAAATTTAGCCACCATTTCTTTATTTCCCCTGTTTGTCTTCCTTTCCCTCCTTTCTATAAATACCTTAGAGCTGTCAGTTCACATCACCAATCCGATTAGAGCTAGTCTTCCCCTCCCTGAAGCAGTTCCAGCACCATCAACTTGAATTCCTCTTAACCCCAGCCTGTTTCATTCTCCATTGAGATAACCAGATTCCTGGCCAATTCCCAGCTCATTTTGCTGTGGTACTCCACCCTAAAGCCCTTCTATGTTTTGGGACACAAACAATCGCTGATAAATATATACAACCCTAAAAACATTAGCCTCTCAGCAGTGGGTGTGGAATGCTTGTATATACTGCTGTCATGGCCCAGAAGGAGATGGATCTCAGGAACAAGCAAGAATGGGAACATACACAGCTGCTTTGCGCCGGATGAGGTTGCAAATTCATGGCGGGCAAGATTTCTCTGAACTGCCCCTTGCCAAAGTAGCCAGCTCTCTGAGATGGACAAGCAATGAAGTCCTCCAGTTCTCCCTGCCTCATACGGAGATGCAACTTAGACTCTTGGGCTGTGGTGTGGTTCGGGGTTTTTTGCTGTGGAGATGGTTGCTTTTGGTTTTTTGTATCTTGAGATTTATGTGGAATTTTTTCAGTTTGGTTATGTATTTTTATGTTCGTTTTATTGTTTACAACTACTTTAGTTATGCATTTTTTTTCATGTAAGCTGCTGTGAGCATGGTTTGAACCACAGAAAAGCAACATACAAATAAAATTATGTAGGGTTCCATGGCCTAGGGGACTTCTGATTTAAAGGCTGCCAGCAGAGCCATGCAGGAGCATATCGTACCTTTACAGTTCCCCAAACAGTTAGTGACTGGAGTTTGTTTTCCACCCCAGTGCAGCTGGAACGTGGCTCTCTCGGAGCATGTTTGTTCCAACTCCATCAGTCTCATTCCAGATGGCTTTGTTTCAGCAGGTGCCAGGAGACCGCTGAACAAACAGAGGAGGACGAGGACGAGGAAGCGCTTTGAAAGAGAAAACCCTTGCTTCCCTACTTGTCCAAGCCTCACTAATACCCAAATTCTACCTACTTATTGAGTTCTCCTCCCACTGCCTCTGCCCCTCATTCCACAGTGTACTGCATTGCTCTATTCTCTCTCTCCATCTCTGCACGCTAGGATGGCAAGTTGTCATCTATCCGCACTTTTCAGTATTCCTTGCCCTGCTTCTTTGGTTCCTTCTTGATCAGAAGGATCATTAAAGCCCACCTTAGGGAGAGTTTCCACTTTCCCAAAGCACGACACATAACCAGTTCCTCCTGTATTTCTTTCCACATATTCAAGCCACTCCAGCCTTTCCTTCATCCCTCTTTCTTCCCTTAGCCACCCCCTTCCCCATCTTCTCAAGTTTTGTGTATACAGTAATTCTCTGGCCCCTCTCACTTCCACTGGCCTGTTGCAATGCAGCCCAACCCTACCCTGCGGCTGCTACTTTCAGCCACACCTCCACCCAGCCCTTTGGCTTCAATTCACATCTGCAGAGTTTTAATTTTCTTAATGAAAAATAGTGGAATGATTCTGTGCGATGGGAATAGAGCCAGAATGTGTCCACAAGCATGGAAAGCTGGACAGTGCACACTCTGAGGTATTCAGCCAGCAATGTAGTGACAGGGACAAATGCATAAATAATAGCTCCCATCATCCCTGTCTAACAGGACCAGTGGTCAGGGATGATGGGAACTGTAGTCTCAAAACACCTGGAGGGCCGAGTTTGCCTATGTCTGATCTGGACGAATATTCCAGTGGAATTTTATTTTATTTGATAATTTTAAAGCTCTTTTTCACAAAGAGAAATGTGCCAGACTGAGATCCCCAGCGATGCCTTTGGAGCATCTCCCAGGTTATAGAAGATAACAATGTCCTCTATACTTGCACACAATGTCCCCTTTCCTTGCACACAATGTCCTCTATACGCATTGAAGCCACAGTTGGAATTATATGGCCAGAAATTTGCTTTTAAAAGTGGTAACCTTCCTGCTTTGGCCATGGGGCTATTTTTGAAATACAGATTCAGTATGCTGAAGCAAAGCAAGGCTACAAAAAATGGAAGGTTTGGAATCACAGATAGGCTAGTTGCTAAGCATACAGTCCTGGCCTCCCCAGACACAGGAGACGTGATCTGCAAGTACTTGGCATATGTGTGCAATCAGGCCACCTGTAGGGAAAAAAATAGATCATTACCTCCCAGTCCTAAACCTATTTGCTAAGAATTAAGTGCTTGTTTCTATTATTCTTATGTTACATCAACATGAGTTGACTTTAAATAGTCTCAGTCTGAGACTTTCCTTTTCACCTTAAAAATTGGGTATATATTATTATATTATATTATATTATATTATATTATATTATATTATCATCTTTGGTGTTATAGAAATAGAAAATACGTTAAATAACAAAGTGGTATAAACAATTTTCATTCTGAAAAGTTTTATAACACAAACATGGCTATTTCTATTTCTTCTTACCAGACAGAGAATTTGATTAGTACAAGAGGTAGTGTGTTCTCCAGTTGGTGATATATGAAGAAGCTGACATTTAAATGTCACCCTAAGTTAACCTTTCTTATTAGACACAGAGGGTAATTCCACTTCTTGGGCCAATATCTTAGGCTCTGCAAACCCATATAGATAACTACAATGTTTGTTGCACTAGAGCAGCAGTAGCTAGCCTGTGGCCCTCTGAAAGTTGCTGCATTCCAGTTCCCAAAACCCTTGATCATTGGTCATGCTGGCTGGAGCTGATGGGAGTTGGAGTCCAATGGCATCTGGAGAGCCTCTGCACTAGAGAGAGTCTCCCCTCTCACCATTTCCCTCTATGATTTCTAATCTCTCTGTACCCCTTTGTTTCTTCTCCAGGTAACATCATTGGATCAGGGATCTTTGTGTCACCAAAGGGTGTGTTGGAGAATGCAGGCTCAGTAGGACTGGCACTCATTGTGTGGATTGTAACGGGTCTTATCACAGCCGTGGGGGCTCTGTGCTATGCAGAATTGGGAGTCACCATCCCCAAATCTGGAGGCGACTATTCCTATGTCAAGGACATTTTCGGGGGACTGGCTGGGTAAGTGAGGAAAGAAGAAATAAGGATGTAAGTAGGTGGCTGGGTATGTGATGGGGAAGTGGAGCAGGATTAAAAGTAGGAGGGGATGAGTTTTGAGGGGCAGATTGTCTAACTGTTTCACACTTGGAATATTTCTCTCAAGGTTCCTGCGGTTATGGATTGCCGTCCTGGTGATCTACCCCACCAACCAGGCTGTTATTGCCCTCACTTTCTCAAACTACGTACTGCAGCCACTCTTCCCCACCTGCCTTCCCCCAGAAACTGGATTGCGACTGCTCGCTGGGGTCTGCCTTTGTAAGTACTGAGCCCACTACCATCCTTTAGCCATGAATATTGGGCTGATTCAGATTGACTGAACTGGCAGTTTGTAAGTTCCTTGCAGGGAGGTTAAATGACATTGTGCCAAGACAAGAGTTATCACACAGTTTCCAGTGCATTTCCCCATCACTTTCCTTACTGCAACCCCCTCCCCAATCAATTATGATTTAACAACCTGAATTTGCTGGTATGTGACTGAATCACACCCCAAAATAGTGACATTCTGGAAGCACTTTTTATCTACTCAAAGACCCTGGAGTTATGTTACAGTTGATCTAGCCAGCAGCAGATTCTCCCTCAAGAGTTTCAAACCACGTGTTATTCCTCAGAGGCATGTATAGCTATGGCCAACTCACCATTTCTACACATTTAGTAATTATTCCAATATCCAGTGTGATGTTGAAGCTAGGCTGCTATACTTGGACCAGAAAGATATAAGTTTGCATCTTTGTTTGGCCTACTAAATTTACTGAGTGACCTTGGGCCAGTCCCTCTCTCACACCTAGTCTACTTTGCAAGGTTGCTGTAAGAATAAAACAGGTTAACTCACATCTGTGTAAGCCACTTTGAGGTCTTTGGAGTTGGAGTGGGTACAAATGTGTGGAATAATGTGCATTTGGCCTGCATACCAAAAGAACAAATTCTTTCACTCTTTTGTAAAGGTGTATCACTGTTTGACCTGTGTTCTAGGTACTGTGAGCTATAAAATACAAATAATGACAACAAATGTTCTTAAAATAGGGTAAAGGTAAAGGTACCCCTGACCGTATGGGCCAGTCGTGTCCGACTCTAGGGTTGTGCGCCCATCTCACTTAAGAGGCCGGGGGCCAGCGCTGTCCGAAGACACTTCCGGGTCACATGGCCAGTGTGACAAGCTGCATCTGGCGAGCCAGCGCAGCACACGGAACACCGTTTACCTTCCCACTAGTAAGCGGTCCCTATTTATCTACTTGCACCCGGGGGTGCTTTCGAACTGCTAGGTTGGCAGGCGCTGGGACCGAGCAACGGGAGCTCACCCCGCCACGGGGATTCGAACCGCCGACCTGACGATCGGCAAGTCCTAGGCGCTGAGGTTTTACCCACAGCGTCTTTTGGTGTTCATCTTGCATCCTACTAATCTGAAATAGGGCTCCTTACCCACAGCTGTGTAAGCAGCATTGGAATTTCTCCTCCAAATAATTCTGGGAAATATAGTTTGCTAAGGGTGCTGGGACATGTAGCTCTGTGAGGGGGTGCATTGCTCAGGATTCTTGGAGTGTGTGTGTGCTTTAAATGTATGGTGTGTATGCAGCCTCACTCTAAAAGCAGCCCACATGCAATGAGTACAAGACAGGAGCAGAAAGGTTAGTAGGGTCAGAGTGAGGAACACAGGAAGTAGAAGGAATGCCCAAATGCCAGGAGATTCTTTCCACCAAAGCTTTAAGCCATTTCTGTCCGTCTGTCTACAGGCTCCCCCAACCTGTCCTGTCTTGGATGTCTGCACAGTTGCCCCAATCTGAATCAGTGGGGAGTGGGCAGCTGTGTTCCCCATGAACTCAAAGACATTTAGGAGGGATAATTTTCACTGAGGTTACTTTAGGACATCAGTTGCTGGAAAAATCAGGCCTGAACTAGTTTTCTTCCTTTGTAGCTCCAAGGCAGGGGTGGGGGTGGGGAAAGACAAGCACCAGCCAGGGAGGGGATTTGGCTGAGGCGCTTATGCAAGCCAGCTGCAGCAGCTCAGCAAGAGTTTATCCATCGAGTTAAAGCCAGTTACTCAGCAGCTGAGTCAGCTAAAAAGGGAGAGATTATATGTGCATATGAAAGAGAGGCAGGGAAGAAGAAAAATCTATGCCTCCAGACCTCAACAATGAGGAGCTGCTTACTAATGGGCCTTTTGGCCAAATTTTGAAATCGAATACTGGAATGCAAAGGCTGTGGAATTAGTAAAGAACAACAACCAGACGAGAGGGATTGGAAACAGATAACATTGGACTGTCAATTACAGTTGAAGGATTGAAGTCTTGTTTCTCTTCCAGCATGCCTTTCAAGTGAAGATTTTTATCCCAGCCTTTATCTATATTCGCCTAGAAATTTCATTTATATGTTGATGTTATTATTGTTAAATCACTTCAGGACGCTTTGTATGGCGTGATTCATAAATTCAATCAATCAAACAAACAAACAGGGATAATACTGGTGGTTCAGAATAGCCAGTGGTAAAATTTAGCAGGAAGACTGATGAGAGGGCTATGGCTGATGATTGGAGGTAATTGTTGTGAGACTGGAATTGGGCAGTGTCAGCAGAGCCTTGTGAAGCAAGACTTAATCCGCTTTATCTAGTGTACTATGGTTTCTGTTTAGTATCTCCAGTGCTAACTGACGTAAGCAAGCAGCCTAGAACAGGCCAGAATGTTGTTTTCCTGTACCAGTCCCAGCTTGATAGCCACAGACTGGCCTGGATAAATTTGTTGGTACTTTAAAGGAGGACACAGAGATGCCATGGAAGTGGCATTACTGGTCTCTGACCTCTCTGAATGAAGCACTGGATCTATTTTGAGGTCAGGAAAAGGGTGGCTGGTTTTGATTAGCCCCTGGGACAGTGTGTGCTAAAAAAATTAGCAACAGATCTGAGCCACACCCTCTGGCTCTAGCATCAGCTCTGAGATTCTGTGTCTGAAAGGATCCCATGGAATTGGAGACTCAATGGCCTTAATCCAGTCCTGCCAAGTGCCAGAGATACTGAGAAACAAGGGAACTTCCAGGAGTTTTGACTCTGAGTTGGAACATAAGGCAGTAACATATGTTCCAGTAATATTGTGAAGCCAGCTCTCCCGCCTCCCACCCCTGAAATACTCATTTGACGCTACTACTCCCCACACCAAACCACAACATATTTCCCCATAGAATCCTACACTCAGATCCACCCATTCATCCTGGAGTTATTCCTGGACTACTCCCAAGATCCCTTTCCAAAACCTTAGGCAGCCCTAATCTATTATTGGGATCTTCAAACCAAATCTAGCTCTTGATCTCAGATCCTCTTTTGGGGATCTACAGAAACAGATTGGGTCTCTGTGACCCAACTTTATCCTGGAAAGGAGATCAGACTCTCATCCTCACTACCTTCACCCTCCATTCATATGTAATTGACCACATAACTTCAATTTCACTGCAATCCCTCATATATACAACCCCCCTTGAAGCTTATGGAATATGTTCCTGAAGAAATCAAGTTGTTTAAAGTACATGTTCAAGGGCAATAAATGTGCACTACTTACCTCTTAACACATGTCACTCTCTTGTTAAATGCTCTGTTGCTTCTTCAGGGTGATTAACAAACAGTATAGTTTAAAGGCGGTCATATTGGTTTCCAACTTGTATGCAGCGAATGTACATAACTATGTATAATAGAATCATAGTTAGAAGGGTCCCCAAGGGCCATCTAGTCTAACTCCCTGCAGTGCTGGGATATCAACTAAAGCTTCCATGACAGATGGCCAGCCAACCTCCACATAATCTCCTATGTGGAGAATCTCTCTGTTTTATAGATAAATTTTATGTGTTAAACAGCCTTAAAATGCACACATAAATGCACACACCACTCTCCTCTCCCCAGCCCCAGACTGGTTTTCTGTTAAGCTGCCTCCAGGCTTCCTGTTTTGAGCCTTTTGGACTTGAACTGATTGTGCAAAGGGATGCAGAGTAAGCAGAGAAGTTTCCACTTCCTCTTGGTCTGTTGTGTTTTGGGGGTCCTGTTAACTCTCTCTTCCTTCTCTCCCACCCGCCAAAGAAAAAAGCAATGAGAGGACATTAGACAGAGCACGAATGAGATACATTTTTACCTCTCACCAGCGGCGAAGCAAGCTGATTGGGTGGCTGGGGCGGTGCACGTGCCCTGTGCCGGGGGGGGGGGTGGCTCTAATAAGTCTGCCTGCCTCCTCCCACTCAGCTGAGGGGGAGAAAGCGGGCAGACCGTTTGGGGCAGCGGGGAGCCTGCGGGCGCCCAAGCCACCGCGTCACTCCCAGGAGAAATGCGTGGCTCGGGCACACTGCAGGCCCCATGGAGAGTGCCGTCCGCATTTTGTCACACACCCCCCAGTGGTGACACTTTTCATATAATGTAAACAGACTATGTATCTGGAGAACAGGTACCTCACTCCTCAGAGATGTTTAATTTTTTTTTCAAACTTTAATGCCAACTTGTTATGGAATTGTCAAGTTAAAAAAGAGTTGACATGAAAGAGAGCATGTGTATGTATGTGACCCTAGACGTCAAGTTTCTTTTCTCCCTGCATTGCAAACAAAGCATTAAGCTCCTGTGCTAGGGTGCTTTTGCATGTTTTGTAAAAGAACTGCTTCTTTGTGTAAACCAGAGAGTAAATGTGGGCATGCAGTTATGCCTTGGTGGTGTTGCTGAGTCTGAGTATTGATATGCTATATCAGGAGTGGCGAATGGGAAAGCCAGTGGCCCTCCTGATGCCATTGGACTCCAACTCCTATCAGCCCCTGCAGCAAGCATGGCCATTAGTCAGGGATGCTGGGACCTGTAGTCCAGCAACAGCTGGAGGGCCCCATAGTTATCCAAATAATTCTTTATTGCGACTGCAGCCTTTTATAAGACCATTTGTATGTGTGATAGCTTGCCTCTACATTTTGATTATTGTTAAAGTTTTGTGCATATATCGTGGGGAGTGTGGAAGTGTGATGGATTGTGTGATGGATTTGGGCAGGATAAATGGAAGGTCTGATTTGTCACTCCTGTTTGCTGTGGTGGGTAGGTACTGGAAGGTTTAGGGGAGTAAGGGTTTCTACCTATCTGTCTGCCTGTCTGTAAACCCTGTTTGTGTGGTGTTAGGTTACCAGGGGCCAGGGGCTGTTTGTGCTGACGGGATGTTTTGATGGAGTCAGGCTGGGTGCCAAATAGGTCACCACCTCCCCCTCCCTCATCTGTTTGTTTTTCATTCCCTCAAACTTCCAGGAACATTTATAGGAACTGTGGTTTTTTCCTTCCCATATACTGCAGGGCACAGATATAACCCCAGATTACAATCCTGAGGGGTGGGTCATGTACCTTGGTCCCCTTCAAATAATAAGGGACAGCCCAGGAAATAGTATCTGTGATCACTTGTCCGCTGATCATAAATTGTTTTTTTTTCTGAATAGCTTCACCCTTAAACAGTTGTAGGAGCAGAATATATTTGTACCATTATTATGAGAGGTGGTGATGATATAAGAGATTTACAGAATATAACCCAGGCCATAATCACAATTTCAGTCAAAAACCAAGGAAGGCTGTGGCTGCTCTGAACCAGAAAGCTGTCCTTGTTTGTCCCTGGAAAGTGCCAGTGCAGCATCTGAATTTGCCCCTAACGAAACACATTGCTCCCAGCATTATCTTGTGTCCAACAGTCATGAAACTGGCCTTGACTGAGAGATTTAGGCCAGAATAGGAATGTTGACTGTCCCTTCCCCCACTGACTTTCCTGCTTCTCCACAGTACTGCTGACTTGGGTGAACTGTGCCAGCGTGCGTTGGGCCACACGTGTCCAGGATATCTTCACGGCAGGGAAACTGCTGGCGTTGGGACTTATCATTGTTATGGGAGTCGTACAGATCTGCAAAGGTGAGGCCCAGCCTGGTCAGACAAAGAAGGGGACAGGAGTCTCCCCAACACACTGTATTTGCCTCCCCTCACCCACCTCACCCGCCCCACATACACACACCAAGGAGAATAAGCTGCAGGGTTTTAAATTCAGGGTTATCAACATTCCTTAGTAAGCAGATTTAGAGACTGGATTGGCTTCCATAGTTTCCTGCCCCAGTCTGTATCAGAGAGGGGGAGAATTAGCTGACCCAGGGAAAGGGAGGGAGAACAGCCCACCTGTTTTGTTTAAAGAACCCTTTTTGTATTTCAATATCTCCTTTGTGCAGGTGAATACTTCTGGCTGGAGCCGAAACATGCTTTTGAGTTTTTCCAGACACCAGATGTGGGATTGGTGGCCCTATCCTTCTTACAGGGCTCTTTTGCCTACGGGGGCTGGAACTTCCTCAACTATGTCACTGAAGAGCTGGTTGACCCTTACAAGTGAGTCAGTGTCCCCCTTGGTGGTGATACAGGGGAATGAGACCCACGTTGACTTTTATTCCTCTCTTCCACTCTACAGTCGTACCTTGGTTCTCCAACAGAATGCATTCTGGGAATCCGTTCAACTCCTAGAACTGTTCAAAAAGCAAGACACTGCTCCCGATTGGCTGCAGGAGCACCCTGCAGCCAATCAGAAGCTGCAGAAGCCACACTGGATGTTTGGCTTCCGAAAATAGTTCGAAAACCGGAACACTCACTTCTGGGTTTCGATCATTCAGGAGCCGATTTGTTTGGGAGCCAAGGCGTTTGAGAACCAAGGTACAACTGTAATTGTTTTTCCTCACAGGAACCTGCCTCGAGCCATCTTCATCTCCATTCCCCTGGTCACCTTCGTCTACGTCTTCGCCAATGTGGCCTATGTCACTGCCATGTCGCCCCAGGAGTTGTTGGCCTCCAATGCTGTCGCAGTGGTGAGGCCCCATCTACACCATTGTGCAAATTCACCTTCCCCTTGTTTCCAAATACAATGCCCCTAACCACATGCTCTCTTCCTGCTCCCTTCCTCACAGACATTTGGAGAGAAACTGTTAGGAGTCATGGCTTGGATCATGCCCATCTCTGTTGCCCTTTCCACTTTTGGAGGAGTAAACGGATCACTTTTCACTTCCTCTAGGTGAGTAAACATGGGAGTACATACCCCAAAAGCTGCAGCTCTGCTGGCACAACAGACTTTTGTGTGTGCAATTAAGCTTCCTCTCCTGTCTCATGCAGCACCCTTGTGCACCCTTAAATTCAGCTCTGAAGGATTGTGTACCCTCTGGAGCAGATTTTGGTGGGCATGGGAGGAGGAGAGGAACCACAAATCCCATTGCACCAGTGGACACAACCGACTGCCTTCAGCAGACCTTCAGTGATGTATTCTCATTTACAGGTTCCATCTGCTGAAATCCTCGGCTATCAAGTTCCATTATAGCAGCAGCTCCCCTTCCACACACAACTGCATTGCTCACCCATGTCTTCATAGTGCTGCCTCTCTAATTCAGCTCTACTTTAACACCTATATTAGGACTGGGGAACCAAGTTGGCCCTTCATCCATTTAAGCCTTCCCCATTCTTTCTCGGGGTCTTTTCTTTAGTAAGTCCTGTTCACAGTGTGGAGCCGGCTTCCTTCCTCAGTGCTGATCAAAGTAAGTAAATAATATTGCAGCACACTGCTTGCATTTATGATGTTCTCTCTCCAACATTCACAGACTATTTTTTGCTGGAGCCCGGGAAGGCCACCTGCCCAGCGTATTGGCTATGATCCACGTGCGACGCTGCACTCCCATACCTGCCCTACTTTTCACTGTGAGTCATCAAAAAAAGAGTTGGGAGGGGGACAGTTGATGCATCAGTGAGTGATGAGAAGAAAGTGTCTGCCAGTGCAGAGTTAGAATTGCCAGTGACTGAAGAACTTGGCAGGGGCATTTTCCTGGGAATTAATGGGATTAGCCAGCAGGTGCTGTCAGTTTGGCAGACCAAGTGCCTTGGGCGATTTCTCTGAAAACAATATAATTGCATTTTCTCTCTCCTTTTGTCTGTCTCTGGCAGTGCCTTTCAACATTGCTTATGCTAGTAACAAGTGATATATATACCCTGATCAATTATGTGGGCTTCATCAACTACCTGTTCTATGGAGTGACTGTGGCTGGGCAAGTTGTGCTGCGCTGGCGGGAACCTCACCGACACCGTCCCATCAAGGTAAGACGCTGGCCATCACATTTCTGCTGCTCTATTTATGTCAGCCCCTGTCACCTTCTCACACCAGTGTTGTCTTCCCTTGGAACCACACAGGATGGATTAAGCTGAATCAGTGTCACATCACTGATTTAAAACACATGGTTTTAAATTTCCTGTTTCCAACTGAATCAAACCTTTATACCAGAACCTGTAGTCCTCCAGTTGTTGCTGAACATTCCCAGTGTTCCTGGCCATTGGCATTGCTAGCTAGAGCTGATGGGAGCTTCAGATGCTCTTAAAGGGCCACAGGATCCTATATGACCTAGGAACATAATCCAGAACCTCAGTGTTTCCTGAGTGAGGGCAAAGGCTGAGGGTCTGGGAGACACTGGAGCAGAGCAGACTACCACTTCTTGTTTCTGGAGCCCTCAGCAAAGAATTTCCCCGTGGCACCACCGCTGCTAACAAAACTGGTGGGTGTCTTGGAGTGTGGGTCCACTTTTGGCCTATTTTGACTAGCAGCAGCAGATCCCCATTGCTAGAACTGGAGGCTGAGCTTGGGACCTTCTGCATGCAAGGCATGTCGTCTATCACTGGGCTAGGATTCATCCCACCTCTGCTAGCTTTGTTCTTGATAAAGAAACCTCTGTTCTCCCAACCTTTTCCCTTGCATCCCACTTCCTGATGCTCCTGCCCAGATCCAACCCATCTCTTTCCTCCCCAGGTGAGCCTGTTCTTCCCCATAATCTACCTGCTGTTCTGGGCCTTCCTGTTGGTGTTCAGCTTATGGTCAGAACCTGTGGTGTGTGGGATTGGCCTAGCCATCATGCTGACAGGTGTCCCAGTCTACTACCTAGGTGTGCATTGGCAGAACAAACCACCTGCCTTCCACACGTTTATTGGTGAGTCATGAGCAGATAATTCGGTGGGAATTTTTTGAAATTCCATTTTGAAAAATGACGCTGCGGGTTTTCTTCTCCTATCTTAAAGCTCACCCGCTTACTCTTATTTTCTTGCAGAGGTAGTGACTCGGCTAGGACAGAAGCTTTGTGTTGTTGTGTACCCTGAAATGGATGCAGGGAAACCTAAAACCAACCTCAGCAAAGAGACCAAAGAACAGCTGGAGCCAATGTGTGGAACTGAAGACTCGAAGTATCCTCAGAACTGAGCCTTCTTGGTGGCTGGGGGTAGAAGAAGCAGCCAGTGATGGGCTGCGCAGTACCCTTTGGGGGCACTGAAGTAAATGGGAGCTCCCTGCACAGCTAGAGCTCTCTTCTTGCTCCCAACAGCACCACACGCTGGGACTGGAATAGCTGGGAATGCCTCACTAGTGCCTCACCCAGTTTCCTGCACTAAACCCCTGCTGGGGCTGGAGTACCCACATCCACCACTCCCCACCAACAGTGCCCCCTGCTGGAGCTGGAAATGATGGGAGCTCTCCGCACAGCCAACGACCCCACACCCACATCCCCGGCGCACCCTGCTGGAAGGGGCTCCTTCGTTATTGTTGCCTTATATTGTTGGGAATATTCTCTTTGGGTTTGAACCTCATTTCGTGGGAGAGGGTCCTCTCCCATGGTTTTTGTGCCCTTGTATTTTTCACTTTTCTCTCTTTCTCTTTTTTTGATGTAATAAATTAAGCTAAACTTGCCATCCCTGTTGCCTTAAACGCTGGATTCTAGGATGTGTAAAATACTGCTTTGTACACACCATCCATTCTGCTAACTCTTGCTTTCCCAGTGGAATTATTACACAGAGATTGCTACCACCTTGACAAGTATTGCGCTATTTTGATCGGGCATGCCAGTCTTTCCACTCAATGGAATTTTGAAAGATAAACCTCCATTTCCAGAGCACGTTGGCCAGAAGGCGATGTAATATTTTCATTGGCATAGCATGCTGGTAGAAACTGACTCAGGAGTATCAGAGAGACCTTACGGAGTGAGGAAAGGCAGGTTTAAAGGTTAATTCCTGCACTGCAATGTGAGAAGGTAGGGCACGAAGACTTTCACTATCGGGACAGGAATGGCCCTCACACCCACAAATTACCCCTGTCCTCCAAGAACATGAGAAGAGTCCCACTAGATTTAATTGAAGGTCTGCCTAGTTTCACGCCCATAAGCTGGGCATGTAGTACACAGCCCTCCTCCAGCAACTGGTTCCTGATGTACAGTAGTGGCAACAGAACATAGTGGTTATATTTCACTGGGATGGGAAACAGGCCTTGACAGGTCTCACTGGTGCCTGGTCCCTGCTGGAACTGGTACAGTGAGAGGTAGGAACATCAATGGCAGGTGGAGCCAGAGCCAATGAAAGGCAGAGCCAACTCATAGTTTTGCCCCCATCCTCCTCCCTGCTGAGTTCTAAAGACAACACTGCCCATTCACCCAGTTTAGAAATGCCATTTCAGAGCTTTTGGGGTTTGCACAATCCTGAATAATATTGTGTCCTGTTGCTGCTGGAGCCAGCTGGACTGACAGGGTTGCAAGCCTCCAAAGGACCACTGAAGATGTTCAGATGAGCAAGAGAGTTAGCTTTACCCCTACAACAGGAGGGCAAGGTCTGATGGCCGAAATGCCCATGTGGTTAGAGTGCGTGTCAGCTGGGAGACTCAGGTCACACCTGCACCTTATGTTTATAGAGCTAAGCCACCCAACAGTCTTGTTTCCCCCTCCCCCCCAAAAAAAGAATCTTGGGAACTGTAGTTCTTTAAAGGTGCTGAGAGAGTTGTGAAGAGGCTTCTATGCCCCTCACAGGGCTACAATTTTCAGAGTTCTGAACGTCCCTAACCAACTGCAGTTCTCATGAGTCCTGGGGGAAGCCACGATGGTCAAAGCGGTGTCATGGTGTTTTAAACGTGTGGCTGGTTCGAATCCACTTAGCTACAAGGCTCCTTGACTGATTTGGGGCCAGCCACTCTCATCTTAAGGCAACCTCACAAGGTTCTATGGATAAAATGGAGGGCAGGGGGAGAAATGTGTGTGTGTGTATCCTTGAAGTTACCAAAGGAAAGACAATCTATAATGTATAAGAAAGGGAAACAAAACAGGTGAAAGTTAAGTCTTCCCTGACACGGGCAGTCTATCCTCACATCTCCTTCATATGTGGCAAATCCCTACCCCGTGTTTCCATATGGTGATCTACATGGTACCGTGGCAATTATAAAAGAGGCTGGTTCTTTCACTGCAGAGTGAAGTGATTTTGACAACTTTCTATGCAAGGGCAACCTGCCTGGGCCTCCCGCAGGAGGAACTTTTGGAGTTCATTACCAAATTAATTGGAAGGTCTCTGCCAAAGCATCCTTCAGTAAGAGCTCTACACACCAGGTGAGTGGGCACACCACCAAAGGCTTCTAGGGCAAGCCTTCCCTTTCAAACTCAAAACAGCTATTTTTGGTTTTTTTGCACTGCTCCATATCTCAGTGCAGTTGCACTACTGGCCTCAGGGCCCCACCTGCTGGTGTTCAGAGACACCGCAAAGGAAAACTACGGCAAGTGTTTGCAAATTTCAATATGGCCCCTGATAGGTGGCAAGGGGGCTTCCAGAAGCAAGCCCTCTGGTGCAAATGCTGGCAAAACTGCAACAAAACTTTCACACCATTGTGCATATGTGCCCCCATTTCTTTCTTTGGTTTAATTCCATCATTTACCATCCACAGGGTCAATGGGAGCAATAGTTCAGCAACATCCAGATTGGACGCAGGTCCCTCAGCCCTCTGCATAGCTCAGTGGCAGAGCACCTGCCTTAATAATAATGATAATAATAGTGATTATGATGATAGTTTTATTATTTATACCCCACCCATCTTGCTGGGTTGCCCCAGCCACTCTGGGCAGCTTCCAACACATATAATAAGACATCAAACATTAAAAACCTCTCAATACAGGGCTGCCTTCAGATGTCTTCTAAAAGTTGTATTGTTGCATGCAGAAGGTCACAGGTTCGATCCCAAGTGGTGATAGGTGCTGTTTGAGTGAGGCAGCGTACGGCTTATGGCTGGTGGGGAGTGGGAGGAAAAGTGCCCCCAGGATCACACATTAACATTGCATGACAGTAATGTGAAGACCCTCCTGAAGTGGATGAGGATCATGGGAGAGAGACTGCCAGGGTGGATGAGGCGAATTGCTCTTCACAGGAGCAGGGGTTCACCTCAGAAAAAGAGGAAGGAAGGGGGAGGGAGACGAAGGAGGGAAGGAAGAAGACGAGAGAAAGAGGGAAGAAGCTGCAGACCTGCAGAAAGAAGGAACGGTGCACAGAGGGGAGAAAGGAGCAGAGATGAGAAGAGGAATGCGACAGTGACGGAAAGAAAAGGTAGAGGGGGGAACTGAGAAGGAAGAAAATTGGACATTCCGAGAAAAAGAGGAGTGAAAGAGCAAAGAAGATTTTAAAAGTCAAGGAGGGCAAATCGGTGTCAAAGAAGGAAACCAAAGAATCAGCTGGAGAGGAAGGGACCCTCATGTAAGCTGAAGCAACAAGCAACATAAAGAACAACTAATAATAATAATAATTCTGGAGAAACTGGGCGAGGAGCCATTGAAATATAGGAAGGCAAAGAACGAGTGCATTGGGGCTGCTAGCAGACCCGGAAAACAGAGAGGAAAGAAGTCACGGAATTTCAGATTTCCACTTGGCGCCATGTCCCAGGGAGGGTATTTTGAGGGCAGTGAGCAGCGGCAATACCAAGCCCTGGAGATGCCCCCTGCCAGGCCCAGCGGCACGGACCTGGGCCCCCTCTGTGAGTCGGAGCTGGCCTCCTACATTGGAGACGAGCAGCTGCTCTCGGAGCTGCTGCAGGGGGCCGGGCAGAGGGGGCCCAAGCCAAGCACCCCCTTCTCCAATTTCTTCCCTGGGGAGCCATACCCCTACCTGTCTTACGGAGGGGAGCGCAAGGTCCTCGGTCCCTTTGACCCGCGGCCGGTCGCTGTCAAGGAGGAGCCACGAGGAGGCGAGGCCGGTCGCGCAGGCGGGCGCCACCAGTACAACCCCATGCACTTCTCGCCAGCCCACTGTGCCCAGGTGGCCCTCGCTCAGCCTGGCATCCGGGCCGGACAAGCACTGAGAGTCCTCAAGGTAAGGAGGAGAAGCACAATCCCCCTGTTCCCAGCTTTGCTTTCACCCTCAGCCAGCTTGGAGACTTTCTCAACTCTATAACCAAATTAAAAAATGGTGACCCCCCCACTTTGGAGGTCATTGGTGACTACTCACCCTACCGGCTAAGTCCTCCTGTTGTGGTTGGAGGCAGAGATGCTTCTGAATGCCAGTTGCTGGAAGCCACAGGAAGGTGAGAGTGCTCTGGTGCTTGAATCCTACTTGCGAGGTTCCCACTGGCTGGCCACTGTGAGAACAGGATGCTTGCTGGGCCCCTGGCCTGATCCTGCAGGCTCTTCTTAGGGTCTGAGCTCCTCCTGACTCCAAAACCTGTCCACACTAGCACAGCTCCTTTCCCCACCCCATCTCTCAAACCTCAATCTTCTTCGAATACTTATTACTGTTAACTATTGTTATTGAAAGTGCTTTAGAGAGTAAAAAGAAAAGAAGAAAGGGGGGCAAGCCTGTCCCTTTCGGGGCTTAAATCTATAACCTGATGCACAGGCGAGAGCAGAGGAAGGGGAAGGAAGTGGAGAGACAGTGGGAGATGGGAAGAAGATGCAGTTAGGTCGGTTGCACATACTTAGGTTTAGTTACAGCAGGGACCGGGTGCACGGGCAAGAGCAGGGGGTAACTCATGTTGTGCCCTCCAGATGTTGCAGGGCTCCAGCCCCCTATCAGCACCAACAATCAGGGATGATGCAGTTAAACAAGGTCTGGAGAGCTGCACCATGTTTGTTGCCCCTGGACAAGGGCCTGTTTTGCCAAAGTTTGCACGGAAAAGGTGGGTTTTGAGGAGAGGTTTTAAGGGAGCCAAGAGAGGGACAAAAATGAGTTCTTTTTGGATCCCAGTTCCTTTCTATCTGGAACTATAGGGCTCAGTCCTGAAGTGTTTGCCTCCGTTCCTAAAACCTGACTTGCCTGCTCTCTTAATCCGGGACCCCAGTGTCCCTCGTCAGCCCTTGTGAATGCGGTCTCTGCAACACGGGGATAAATGCATGATATAAGCTATAACCCACACCAAGAAAAAGGGGAAAGGAGCTGAGCTTAAGAGAGGTAAAAAAAAGCCTCCTTCAACAGCTCCGTTAAAGGGCCCTTCCCATGACTGCGAGTGAACGAGAGATAATTTTGTGAGATGATGTGCAGAGAATCAAGGATCTATGATGGAACAAGTAATCGACCAGGCAAAATTAGGTAAAACACAGGGACCACATGAGCTACCAGCAAAATACAGTATTACAAAAAAATTGCAGGACTACTTAATGCAACCATTAAAAGACACTGCGAACAGGATATTAAAAACCTGAGAGATTCCAGATACATGGAAGAATGCATATATCACAGTGACTTCCTTTAACCTAAACCAAGGATCTCTGTTACAAGCGCATACTTTTTCAGAAACAAGGTTTCATAGTGGCGCAGCAATAAAACTGCCAGCACACGTGTGGAAGCTAAGCAGGGCCCGGTTTGGTTTCAGATTGGATGGGAGACCAGGTTCCTGCCTTGCAGGGGGTTGGACTGGATGACCCTGGGGGTCCCTTCCGACTCTACAATTCTAGGATTCTATGAGAGGGGTAGGTATTGTTTCCAGAGCAGGCTGGGCCCATAAGGGCATCTGGAGGCACAGCTCCACCAACCTCAGCCAGCCCCACCTGCCTACCTTGTTCTCCTCCTTATTTCATTGCTATTTATTTGATTATTTCTTTGATTCTTGCATGCACCCATTCCAAGGAGTGGCCCTGCCTGCCCGCTTCCTCCTTCTTAGGGTTATCTTTGCAGAGCTCAGCAGGCAGGAAGGTGGGGATGAAACTAGAATCTGCTGTGTCTCTGCCTGCCATTGGCTGTGGTTCCACTTATGGCCCCACCAGTTTCAATGGTCACCAGCTGCCGGTGCTTATCCCAGAATCCAAGGGTGTGGAGCCAATATCTGGAGCATCAGGGAGGGCCCTCCTACAACCGGCAATCTCCATCTTGGCACGGAGGGCGTTTCTAGGCAGCTGCATATTCTGGGATGGGTGATGCCTCTTACAGGCAAATGTTTTGCAGTGTCCACCCACATTGTTGGCATTAAAATGCCAACCTGTATCTTTCCCCCAATTAACCCTGATTTATCCATTTCGGAGGAAATCAAAAAAATCATAATTATTATTAAAATCTGTTTTAAATTATCTATTAGTGATATCTGAATGATCCATTTACAGTATCAAGTATTAATCTTTATACTGTTTTAAAGCAGGCTACACTTTAAGCATATGTTTGTGTATGTATATATATATGTGTGTGTATATATATATATATATATATATATATATATATATGGCTACACTTTTGTGAAAATTTGGTTTCATAAAAGTATTGGCCAGCTGTGGGTTTTGAGGCCTGATGCGCTCTCTCTCTCTCTCTCTCTCTCTCTCTCACACACACACACACACACACTCTTGGGCTAGTGTCCCTAACCCGTGGAAGGATCTATCCATTTCAATTGTCTTGGTTTCTTGCTTTTTCCAATATTAAATTCCATTCTTTGCATCTCTGTGACAATGTGAGATTTCAGCAAGACTCCTCGTGAAAATTCACTGGCCTTTTAGTGTAATTTTCTCCTAGTAAACACATTTTGTACGCAGTTTTTACTACCGTACACCTTTTGCAAGAGATTTCCCCAATATAATGCATTTTTATATTTTTTGTTTGTTTGTTTTGTTTTTGCTAATACAGTCATTATTACCTTACCCTAACATGCATTTTTGTAAGCATTGATTGCCTGGAGAACTGCATTGCAAAATTCAGAGAGTTCCAAAGGACAGTCGCGTTTCGCTTTTGTAAGCTGTTTCGGAAACCTGCAAACTTGATAAGTTTGAGTACGAAGCAAATAAAATCCCTGATTTTTTGCCCTTCCCGCTCCTCCCTCTGTGTCTCCGCAGGGCCCCCCTTGCAGCCCGTCCCCACCCTGTACCCCCAAGGGGAAGAAATCGGTCAACAAAGACAGCCTGGAGTACCGGCTACGCCGCGAGCGCAACAACATCGCCGTGCGCAAGAGCCGCGACAAGGCCAAGCGCCGGGTGCTGGAGACGCAGCAGCGCATGGTGGAGCTCCTGGGAGAGAACGAGAGGCTGCGCAGCCGGGTGGAGCAGCTGGTGCAGGAGACAGAGACCCTTCGTGACATTTTCCGCCAGATGCCTGAGGCGGCCGGGCTTATCAAAGGGCTTGGGGGCTGCAGCTGAAGCCGGCCGGGATGGGGTGGGGAGCGGCACTTAAGTGGTGGCACTTAAAATCGAGAGGGGGGTGGGTGCGTGCAATTCTGAGTGTGTAAATAAAAGGGTCTCTCATGGCACATGCAAGCTTTAGTGATGTGTCGTTTTGTTTTATAGGAGGGAATTGGAGGAGAGCTGTAGCTCCATGGCAGAGCCTCTGCTTCGCATGCAGAAGGCTGTAGGCTTCTCCGGGTACCTTTCTTGACTCAATAATAATAATATATTATTTATACCCTGCCCATCTGGCTGGGCTTTCCCAGCCACTCTGGGCGGCTTCCAACAAAATATTAAAATACAGTAATGCATCAAACGTTAAAAGCTTCCCTAAACAGGGCTGCCTTCAGATGTCTTCTAAAAGTCTGGTAGTTGTTGTTCTCTTTGACATCTGGTGGGAGGGTGTTCCACAGGGCAGGCGCTACTACCGAGAAGGCCCTCTGCCTGGTTCCCTGTAACCTCACTTCTCGCAGTGAGGGAACCGCCAGAAGGCCCTCGGCGCTGGATCTCAGTGTCCGGGCTGAACGATGGGGGTGGAGACGCTCCTTCAGGTATACAGGACCGAGGCCGTTTAGGGCTTTAAAGGTCAGCACCAACACTTTGAATTGTGCCTGGAAACGAACTGGGAGGCAATGTAGGTCTTTCAAGACTTAAGACCCTAGGAAGCAATTGCTGGTCATCGTAGGCAGTGCTGAGCTAAACAGGCCAACGGTCTGACTTGGGGTGGCAATCAGTGCTTTCTCCCCTAAAAAACCAAAGCTTAGGGGTGCTCTCATTTTCCAACTCATATTGAAATACTGCCCCTCAATGAGGCCAACATAGAGCTGCAAATTAAACGTTTCAAGTGTGTTTTAAGTGCAATATACAATGTGACCAGAGATGGCGATGGCGAGCCGTATGGAAAATGCAATGCATTTTTTAAAACGCTTTTTTAAAAAAATAGCATTTTCAGATTGGTTTTTTATGTGTGTGTGTGCAGATTCCACCCCGACATCTCCAGGTATTTTTCACAGCCTTGGGCCCTAGGCAGCCATTGCCAGTGGAATGCAGACAGCTCTGAGCTAAACAGGGCAATGGTCTGACTTGGAATGAGGCAGCTTTGGATGTTGCAAATTGCACTCTGGGCCCATCTGCTCCCGCGCTAATGAAAGAGATGCAGGGACCGCATATGCAAAACCACTGAGCTGCTGTGGGGAAGATAATTAGGGCGTAAGGCTGGAGCGAGTGGGTCGGCAGCAACCCCAGGACCGGTTTAAGCATGGCATGCTTTCAATCCAGTACTCTCTGCACTCAGCGCAAGGGCCAGGCCAAGCTAGTCCTCAGTCGCCATGCAGAAATTGCAGTAGCAAAGTACTTTAAATCAAGAAAGAGCCACTTTTGCAAGATCTGGGACCTTCACAAGAGCCTTCACAAGATCAGGGTGGAACGGCACCGGCAGCTGGCATCCTTGGGCAACTGCCAGGGCCCACAGCTGTGACCACTCCTTATGCCTACTTGGCCACCCACTTTAAACCCAGCTTTAATTTCCCACAATGCTCCTGGCATAGCCTTGCTCCAAGGTGCAGTGATAAAATCAAAATGGCGGCCCAGCTAAGCTACATGGGGCTGCTTGGAGTGCCACTGTCCTCTGCAGTCAAGTAAGCCCACCAAGGACGAGGCTGCTTAGTTCAGAGCCCTGTTATATGAGATCATTGATTTCAATGAGTAGTCCGACTTCTCTGTAAATCCTTAAAGCACTATTGTCAGGGCACACGCCCAGGTCTCCATGTCTAAAAATCCTAAAATGAGAACTGCATACTTGTGTGCAAATGGCACACTTCGTAACAGCCCCTTCAAAGCTGGAGTCTAGATTCGAACTCAGATCTCCCTCCTTGCTGCATCCTCTCCCTTTGCCTGCCTGGTGCCCTCCAGGTGCTTAGAATTACAACTCTCTTCAGTTCCAGCCTGCACAGTCCAAAATATTAGGGGGGGGGGACAGGACATCAAGTAGGCGAAGCTTTCCCTATAAAACCTGACCCTCCATTTATTCTTGTCACCTGGTGGAAACCTAGACTTCTCCTTGGGTTATACAGAGCCGATTTGTGGCATGGGGGGGGGAGGAGTTGCAAGAGGGCCTCAAGCTCAAAGTGGACCCCAGTTTTAGGTAAAGGTAAAGGGACCCCTGACCATTAGGTCCAGTCGTGACCGACTCTGGGGTTGCGCCGCTCATCTCGCTTTATTGGCTGAGGGAGCCGGCGTACAGCTTCCGGGTCATGTGGCCAGCATGACTAAGCTGCTTCTGGTGAACCAGAGCAGCACATGGAAACACCGTTTACCTTCCCGCTGGAGCGGTACCTATTTATCTACTTGCACTTTGTGCTTTCGAACTGCTAGGTTGGCAGGAGCAGGGACCAAGCAACGGGAGCTCACCCCGTCACAGGGATTCGAACTGCCAACCTTCTGATCAGCAAATCCTAGGCTCTGTGGTTTAACCCACAGCGCCACCTGTGTCCCTGTACCCCAGTTTTAGACCCCTGTTTATTTGGGGGCATTTGCTAAATTCCATAACTTATTTTCAAGTCCACTAGACTAAAAGGGCGAGCGAAATAACAAAGAGGATGGAACAGAATAATTAAGAGGAAAGGTTGCAGCATCTGAGGATTTTTCGTTTAGGGAAAAAGCGACTAAGAGGGGAAACAATATAATTTTATATAAAATTATGGATGCCCTCGATAAAGTGCATAGAGAAAAGTTTTTCTCCTCTCTCACAACACTGGCTGAGATCCAGTGCATCTGAATGTTGGAAAATGCAGGACGGATAAAATAAAGTCCTTCATGCAGGAAATAGACTTTGGAAATGGCTCCCACAGCATGGCACTTGAAGAGGACTGAACAGATTCATGGCTTTCGGGTGGGGGTGGGAGCCATATTACCCAGGTCTGTCTCTGACACTCGGTGCCTGGAATAGGAGCAGGAGGAAAGGGCGCGTTCTCACAATCTGCTCCTAAGGGTTCCCAGCGGCATCTTTAGCCCCTGCGTAGCAGCCAGAGGCCGGACTAGATAGGCCTTGGGCCTGATCTGGCAGGGCTCAGCGTCATCTCTTGCCTTGAACCTGGACGGAGAGAAACTTTCCCTTACAATCCTGAAACTCAAGAGCCATTAGGTTGAAACTGGTTGACAGTCGGTTACAGAGCTCTCTACACCCTGAGATGTGGTGATGGCCTTGCAGAGCCAGGCAGAGGCCCGGGTCAGGTAGACAATGTGCCCCCCCCTTTTTTTTTTACCCTGGGGATAACTGAAGTCTTATAAATAAATAAGTACTGTATATAAATAATTTTCACAAAAGTTATGGTGACAAATAATTTTATTTCAAGGCTTGAAATGTATCTGCATATAAAGACAAAATGGAAAATATAGATAGACAGTGGTACCTTGGGTTAAGTACTTAATTCGTTCTGCAGGTTCGTTCTTAACCTGAAACTGCTCTTAACCTGAAGCACCACTTTAGCTAATGGGGCCTCCTGCTGCTGCCACGCCGCCAGAGCATGATTTCTGTTCTCATCCTGAAGCAAAGTTCTTAACCTGAAGCACTATTTCTGGGTAGCAGAGGCTGTAACCTGAAGCGTATGTAACCTGAAGCGTATGTAACCTGAGGTATCACTGTACAATAGTGCTTTTTAAAAATACATAGGTAATGTATGCTGACCAAGGCCCCCTTTGGAATCGGAGGCCTGGGCCAAGTGGCCCATATGGACCTCACCTCTGTCTGGGCTTGGTGATGGCCGCTGCCTTAGATTCTTCTTTGCCTTGTGGGACTCCTGGGCCCCTTTCCTTGTGCTCATTTCTCTCTCTTTCTCTCAGACACACACACACACACACACACACACAGGCAAGGGTTGCACAAGCCGGTGGTTGATGTTACAACCTCTGGAGAGCAGCTTTTTGGATGGAGGTGAAGCGACGTTTGCTGGCCGCCCTGCCTCCCTTGAGCCCGTGCATCTCCCAAGAGACCCCCTGCACCTAGTGGAAGCCCCCGGTACTCAGGATTTGGGGTTTTCTCAGCGCCCTCTTTGCCAAGAGTTCGGCTCCTCGTACCCCAAATTTGCTCGCCGTCCCCGTCCAGGCAGGGGTGCAAAGGAGCCGGCCTCAAGGTAAGCCTTGCGTCATCTTGTGAAATAACCTGTTACACCACGGAGAAGGAGAAGGAACTCTGCCACAAACCACAAGCTGTTCTGCTCCCCCATCCTGCTACAAACACACACCCCCAACTCAACCTCGCAAGGGTGTCCTCGCCCCCCCAACCCAGACTAGAGCTGGGGGCCCCAACCAAGTGGAAAGACAGACCGCCACCCTCAAAACCAGCTCTCCCCCCGAGGGTCCAAGGCCGGGCCCACGGTAGAAGCGCAACCCTCCCGGAAAGCGCAATGGCCCCCTACCCACCACCTTCCCTCTTTCCACACCGTTGAGGTCTCCCCACCCCCAGGCCATGGCTCATTGCAACCGGCCGGGTTTGCGAAACTCCTTTCCTGAAGTGTTTCAAGGGGAATGGGAGGGAAGGAGAGGGGAGAATCCGTTCCGACATTTCTCTGATGAAAATAGGGGCATCCCATTCCATCGTGATAATCTTACTATTTATACGCCACATATCTCAATGGCTTGCCCCAGCCACTCTGGGCAGCTTCCAACATGTATAAAAAACATAATAAAACATTAAACTTTTTTTAAAAAAACCTCCCTATACAGTGGAACCTCAATTTTCGAATGTCTCTGTTGACAAACATTTTGGCTTTCGAACACCGAAAACCCGGAAGTAACTGCTTCGGTTTTTGAACGATTTTTGGAAGCTGAATGTGCCATGCGTCGTTTGTTTTGAGTTTCCCTATTGTACTGAGGCTTCCGCTGTCAGTTTTTGGATGTTTCAGAAGTTGAACGGTCTTCCAGAACGGATTACATTCGAAAACCGAGGTTCCACTGTACTAGATTGCCTTCAGGCGGCT